CCAATATCGAGCTTTAAGGAGATCAATGATTCGGTATGTTTAGCATATATGGACTAATAGCTTAAATTTCGGCCACTTGAGTGCAAGTTAAAGTCAACTGCATTTACTTAGTTTGGGCGACCAGCTAATGCAACTAACGCTCATTCTCAGTGTATAATTCAAAGTCAGGTATACTAATCTATACCTGATAAATAATGATGAAGATCCACTCCTGGCACTTTTGAATGACATTGTTTTCCAAGGAATTTTTACTTCGATTACGTTCCGTATTATCTAATTACTATTTTATAAAGTTAAAGCAATTAATCACTATAAAGTGGCTTCAATATCAAACATGTTAACTGGACAGCAAATTTTAATTTTAAATCGATCTATGGGTGAATGACAAAAAGTCAACTTCCACTTGTAATCTTTCAAGAAATGTTAGCAATCCATATAAAGATTCCAGTCGGATCTGAATACATTTGACTATGTACTGTCCTCTAAAAGCAAATAAGATTGTGATTACAAATGGTATCGTTCAGTAGTTCTTCCTTATTTGAATGTACAACATCCTCTTAAGAAGATTGATTTCCACTATGTGACAAAATGTAAATTTGAATTCATCAAATGTTCGATATTCAGTGAAAGATGTTCTTTTCAAGTAGATTTTATTCAGAAAACATGTTAGTTTCATTTAATATTTTAGGTATTTAAGATTGATTTGTAGACAATATCATCAGAATAAACTTTGAACATAATGGAATATTAGAATTTCAAGACTACTGTATCTACAAAATTATATTCAAAGATATATAACTGACATTATACTTGTAAATGAAGGTTTAAAGAAAAAGTTGTGTGATAAGTTGGCATTCAACGGTGGTGATGTCTAACTTCGACCGGCTCAGTAGTTTAGAGGTTAAGCGCTCGAACAATAGATTGATAGTTCTTGGGTTCGAATCTCGTGACTCGGGATCATGGATGCGCACTTCTGAAGTGTCTCACAATAAGACGAAATGGCCATCCAGTGCTCCCAGTTTTTTTTGGTGATCTAACTTCAAGTGACTCATGATCTCAACTATTGAAATTACTATAATATCCACTAAAACTACTTCCAATATTAATTAATATACATACATATATGCTAGCTGCTTTAAAACAATCAATTCAAGTTAACCATGGGCCCATAATAATCATCATCTTTTTTGAATAACCAAGGCAAATTTCCCCAATTTTATATAAAAATTCATTTTTAATTTTTGTTTCAGTAATCATCGAATGAATATTGATTTTTTTTTTGTGTGTGTGTGGAAAATTGTAGACATAATTATATGCATATTTTTTTAATAAAAACCACCAATGAAATTTAGACCATTTTTCCCTGTGTAATCAATCATTAGAGTCTTTTAAGTCTGAAATCTGATTGGTTAAATTTGACCCACAGGCATATATATAAGCTTATCGTATTGATTGATCTAATCAGAAAAGTTTTTTTCTAAATACATGGGATATTTATTTACTTTAGCAGGAAAAGTCGAAGGGTTTTTCTTTATTTTAGTTCCTTTATGGAACAAAGAGTCAAAGTTACCATTTTAACTAATTTTTATGTTGCGGATTTAGTGATCAGTGAATTGAATCTTCCGAGGCGGGATCGTGGATGCGCACTGTGACTGAGGAGTCCCACAATAGGACGAAATGGCCTTAAAGCAGTGCTTTCAGGTTTTCCATGGTGGTCTAACTTTAATTGACTCATGATTTCAAATATATAAAAAAATTACTAAAATCTCCACAAGACCCTCTGCTGAAAATAGATTTTGTTATTTTGTAAAATATGGTTTAAAGTACTTTTACTCGACTCAATATGATAAATAACACTTGAAGTGTTTTTATTAAATTATGTTACAGTTTAATGACCTGTAAATCTGACACCAGGTAGATCGTTTGTTTTATAGATGAGATCATGAGTCGATTGAAGCTAGACCGTCAAGGAAAACCTCGAAGCACTGGACGGTCGTTTCTTCCTATTGTGGGACCCCTCGACAGTGCGCATCCATGATCCCGCACTCGCTAGATTTGAACCCAGGACCTACCAGTCTCGCTCCAGAACACTTAACCGATAGACCACTGAGCTAATCAGCATCCAACGGTGTTATTACCTGTTATCGATATATACATATTGTCAATCGTTGTATACAATCATTAACTTAAATCGTGTTGGTGAATAACAAAATGGAATAGGTTAAATACGAGAGTTAAATTTGAATATGTGTATTTCGTACAATCATTGATTGGGAAGCGGAACAAAGCAAAATGATGCTTAATGGACAAGGCGAGTAAGTCAAATCCACTGAGCGTCATTTAGTTTCGCTTTTCCCTCTCCTCTTTGCCTCGTTCACTTCGTTTCCCTGATTGTTTGATCAGACCAACGATTGTATGAAATATACATATTTTAATTTCATTCTCATATTTGACTTATTTAATTCCATTATTCACCAACGCGAGTTAATTCGATAATTTTATACGAGAATTAGTAACATGTATATTTCGATAGCAATCATTCATACAATTATAATACGATTCAATTGGAGTCAGATATAGGGTCACTAAAACAGTAATACTTTTCTCTGAGAATGAAATGGATTTTTACTTCTCCCCGCGCAGTTTTGATGTTCACATAGAAATGTAATAGGATAGTCGAATACTTTAATTCATTACATCACTTTTCAGTACAGGAAAAGCTTTGTCGTGTGAAAAATATTCAAGACGTTTGTAAAGAAACAAAGTATTTGAGAAATTACTAAACTTAAAAGTACACTAAGTTACTAGAGCTGATTAGCCTTTCGTTTACTTGATGACTTAGTTTTAATCTTTCTGTTTAATAGTAATTGCCTGTGTGAAACACAGTAAAATTTAATGTCAGGTATTTGTTAATTATTTTAAATGCATTAAATATATCCATTTTATGTTCAGTATCCAAAAAAATGTCTAGCAACTACACTTGTGAAAGTTCTATTACCTTTTGGACAAAGATGACATAAACGCAAAATAATGTATTGAACAAAAAAATAAACATTCACTTAGTATTGTTTGTTCGAATCTTCACATTGATGTTTAGGACTGCAACTGGTCAGTCTCTAATTGGCATATATGCATATTGTGCGTATTGCCTCGATATAGCCTTAATTCACAAGCATTCTAAGCAAAGATGGAGTGAACATCAACTCTGAGATGCAGGTACATACAGCTGACGAGTTCCAAATAGGACGAAACGCGCGTCCTGGATTCCACAGCTAGCTACCTGAATAGTTATGGTGAAACTTTAATTAACCACTTAGAATTAAGATAACACCTAATGCATTTTGTGCAAAGTTTAAATTGCAGTGATAAGTAATGTGTATGTCATTACTCACCAAGTGGAGATTGCCAGTATTCGGTGCTTGAAATATTTGGAATCAATCAAAATATCTATTATATAACGGGAAAGTGAATTTTACATAGTTCTTGAGCTAAATTATAATACATAAATGCTCCTAAGACAGATTGTGTAACTAAGTTCTTACTTTTATTCAATACGTAATCAAGAGTATTTAGTGAAGTTAGATAATGTTCTCCCTTTATTGCTCTCACTATGAATCTCGACTCTAAGTAAACAGGAAGGTGACAAGGCATTGAATTATATATGACATTTGTTAACCGATATCAGTTCGCGTTGAAAACTTTGACACTTATTTGTGAACCCAACTAAAAACTTCAGTTTAACTCTTAATACCTAACACAAACCTTTTTGCATGTTAACCGATGTCAGTTGGTGACGAAAACTCTCTAAAGTGTTAAGCCTCACTCACAATACTATTCCTACTCTTAATACATAAATTCGACTTTTTACCTCTATTACGAGAGATAATTTGACACATAAGGGTTAATAATTCAGGTGGAAGCTATTATTCCAATGTCATTTGATTGGTTTCTATATTTGATTATTTTATAACTGGGTAGTGTTACTTGACTGACAAAGTCGTTAACGTTGTATGCTTTTACAGAATTTTATTGATCGGTTTACAATGAAGTCACTAGTCTAAACAACTCATTACTATGTTCACTATGTTGTGATATTGATTAATTAAGGATAGTTGGCAGGTAAACGTAGATATGAGTTTCGTACTTATCAATATAGCATAGCTGCAATCTTGAAGATACTGATCGTTTTTGTAGTTTTTGAACTCTACTTCCATGATTTCTTGCACACAGTCTCCAATAGCTTATTAATATATAATAGTCATGGAATGCTCATCAATTGTAATACTTTTTTTTCCTAACATGGACTTAAAATTTTTATTCCCATTGTTCTCCCTAGCAATAGTATAAGGTATTTATTTTCATTCATATCTATTTACTAAATAGAATGTTTATTGATAAAAGGAACAAGTGAATTAAAACCCATAATTTATCGAAAATCAATAACATGATAGTCACAAAAAAATTATTGATAATTATAACATTCACTTTTATCATTGAATAGGTCATTAATTTGACAATGTCTAATTATGGGGGTTTTCTGTGGAAGTTTGCTTTTGTAATTTTTATGTATAGTTGAAATCATGAATCAGTTGAAGCTAGACCATCAAGGAAAACCTGGAAGCACTGGACGGCCGTTTCGTCCTATTGTGGGACTCATCATCAGTGAGCATCCATGATCCCGCATCGCGAGATTCGAATCCAGGACCTACCAGTCTCGCGCCAGAACACTTGACTGATAGACCACTGAGCCAGCATCCAAGGGTGTTAATATCTAACGAAATTGAGCAACCATTTCACCAATGTCTTCAATGAGATGATATCTCTTAACAGACCTAGTTGAACTGCACTAATTCCTGAGGAGTCCCAAAATAGGACGAAAGGGCCGTCCAGTACTTCCAGGTTTCCCACGGTGGTCTAACTTCAATTGACTCATGATTTCAACTATACATAAACATGTTTAATTATATTATTAATTAATTCATCAATTAATCAATCCACAGATTATGCATGATGAGGTCAGTGAAACAGAAAATATACGCAAAAATTTGGCTATTGAACGTATGATTGTAGATGGATGTGATTTATTGCTTGATGTCAATCAAGTATTTGTACGTCAAGGTAAGTGAATTTATGAATAAATGTGTACTTTTTGTTCATGAATACATTTTATTTTTCAATAAAGATAATCTATTAGAAGTGTACTTATCTGATGAATCAATCACATTTAAGGAGAAGAAGAAATTGAGTTTTTGTACGTAACTCAAAATGCTATGATAAGTAAGTGAGCTTTCACCGTTGAAATCATCACTGAAGACGTGGATACACTGAAAGATTGTTTCGTCCCATCACGAAACTCATCAGTACTGTGAACTCATGACCCCTCATCCGGTGTCGATTACTAAGTTGCTTAAAAAGGATAAACATTACAGAACTAAGAATGAGGAATGAATATTAACGATTCTAAAAATCTTATAATAAAACAAATATTAGATTTCGTGGAAGGAAATAGTACAAAGCAGATAGAATTGAAATTTATATAAAATTTCGAAATGTTTAAGGTTAAGTGCTCGCTCGCGAGACTGGTAGGTCATGGGTTCGAATCTCGCGAGTGCAGCATAATGGATGCGCACTGCCATTGATGAGTCTCACAATAGGACGAAACGGCCGTTCAATGCTTCCAGGTTTTCCGCATCGGTCAAATTTTAATTGACTCATGATCTCAACTATATAAAAAATTATTAAAATCTTCACAAAACCCTTCTTCTGAAAATAAAAATAATATTGAATGTATAACGATTGAACATTAAATGTTCAATTGTCAATGTTTTATTTGTTTATATTTATTTGTTCATTCATTCAATTTTTTTTTCAAAGGTTTATCTGATTTTTAGTTAAAGTCATATGACCTTAATTTTTCATTTATCTGGTTAATGTTTTTTTTTTTTCTTTTAAATGAGAAATAATATAGACCCTAGATTTCTTTTATTGATTTTAAATAATCATAATAATAAGTGGTGAAAAAATTTGAATAATAAATAATAAAAAAAGGAATAATCAATATTACTTACTCACTTACTTGCCTACTTACTTACTTAGTTACTCGCTCACTTACTTAATTATCTGTCTACTTACTTGCTTACTTACTTGCCTACTTACTTACCTAATTACTTACTTACTAACTTGCTTACTTACTTTCTTACTTACTTACTTGCCTACTTACTTATCTACTCACTTACTTACTCACTTACTTATTCACTTTTTTACTTACTCACTTACTTATTCACTTTCTTACTTAATTAATTAATTACTTTCTTACTTACTTATTTACTAACTTTCTTACTTACTTACGTACTTACTCACTCACTTACTTACTTACTCACTTTCTTACTTACTTACTTGCCTACTTACTTATCTACTCACTTACTTACTCACTTACTTATTCACTTTCTTACTTACTTACTTACTTACTTACTCACTTTCTTACTTACTTACTTCATTAATTAATTACTTTCTTACTTACTTACTTACTTACTTGTTAACTTTCTTACTTACTTACGTACTTACTCACTCACTTACTTACCTGTCTACTTACTTGCTTACTTACTTGCCTACTTACTTAGTTACTTACACCTGTTACTCCCAATGGAGCATAGGCCGCCGACCAGCATTCTCCAACCCACTCTGTCCTGGGCTTTCCTTTCAAGTTCTATCCAATTTTTGTTGATTCTTCTCATGTCTATCACCATTTCTCGAAGTAATATGTTCTTTGGTCTTCTTCTTTTCCTTTGGCCTTCACGATTCCATGTGAGGGCTTACCTTGTGACGCAGTTTGGTGATTTCCTCAATGTGTGTCCTATCCACTTCCAGCGCTTCTTCCTCAATTCTTCCTCCACTGGAATCTGGTTTGTTATCTCCCACAGTAGAATGTTGTTGATAGTGATAATCATTATTAGTAAAAGATAAATTCAGAGAAGTATTAGTAGTGAGAGTAGTAGTAGTGTGGTGTGGTCTACTTATATCCATATAAGTAGTATATGGTGTGGGTCAGACATAGAATGTATTTTGGCAGAAGACCGATGACGAAAGAACTGGAATGAAGCGCAATCGTCTGGAAAATGCATGAGCAATGGAATTAGAGAAGAAACAGTGAAGATTGAAACAATTGGTTGTTAATTTGCAAATTGACTGTTCATTGTTTGGTAATCAGAATTTATTGAGATAGTCTGTAATCTTTGCTTAAATACATTCGATTGTCCCCAACTAGTGTTCTGTTCACAACATTTGGTGTCGCTGCCAACCGGGAGGAGGAAGGGTGCTGTTCTGCGGACGCCGCTGCGGGTCTGGAGTTGAGGTGCTTGTTGGGGCAGTCTGATGCGGAGGGGTGGCGTCGAGTGGAGTGTTCTGGCGGGGCGGCGTTGGCTGTAGTGGGTGCTGTCGACGGAGAGTAGCAGTGGGACGTGCGGCTGCTGTGCGGACATCGGATGTAGATGGCTCAGCAGGCCGGTGGAGTACGGGTGTTGAACGTCCCAGGTGCCGGGTGGATGAGGAAGTTGGTGCCCCGGCAGGTCGACGGAGCTATGGAGGTCAGCGCGCCGCAGACTCGACATTCTGACGGAGTGTTTGGCACAGACTGCAGTGAAAGAAGATAGTGGCGTGGCGAGCAGAACCACCGCATGAACGAATGCTTTAAAGGGGGGACGAGTGTGGTGTGGTCTACTTATATCCATATAAGTAGTATATGGTGTGGGTCAGACATAGAATGTATTTTGGCAGAAGACCGATGACGAAAGAACTGGAATGAAGCGCAATCGTCTGGAAAATGCATGAGCAATGGAATTAGAGAAGAAACAGTGAAGATTGAAACAATTGGTTGTTAATTTGCAAATTGACTGTTCATTGTTTGGTAATCAGAATTTATTGAGATAGTCTGTAATCTTTGCTTAAATACATTCGATTGTCCCCAACTAGTGTTCTGTTCACAACAGTAGTAGTAGTAGTAGTAGTAGTAGTAGTGTGACATACTTCTTGAAATAACAGTAAAAATATCACTAGAACTTTTCAAGACTGTATAGAAATCTGAGAAGGGATAATCAAAGTATATGATAAAACCAATCCTATGTTAATATTGAAGTTAATGGGGAAGACTTGACTGATAATGAAATGATTTGGAGGTTATTGTATTCTCTGAGCTGGATAGTTTCCTGAAATAATTTTTTTGATTTACTAATCATCTTCACTGGTGACTTTTTTCATTTGGATAAATGAAACATCATCTAAAGTATGAATGACATTTCCAACTGGGTTTATTGATGAATATCAATGGGAAAAAATGATAAACCTCATACGGAGGATAATGAAAATCGTCCGCATAGACCTCAGAGTTTGAGTTAAACATCAAAAAATATAGATTGTTGGTCATTAGAAGTAAGACTTAACAAAGAGAGATCCCTTTCTGGTTATTGCATTTTTGAAACTGAAACAGTAATGTATCGGATCTATTCCCGGATTGAATTAGAAATTTCAAGGAGAAGGTTACACCGATTAATCAGTAACGTCATGAAGACTTAGGTACAGATTAATAATTAAGAAAATGGCATTGGTAAGGGGGAGGAGATTATATCTACATGCTTAATTTATAGAAGATATGTTCCATAGACTGAAGTACTAATGAACACTAGATTGTTGTTTCATTCTAGTACGGGAATGCATCACAAAGTGATTGAGATTGAAAATGCGAATCGTTGAGTACCACGACCAACAGACTGATCTAATTATTAGGCACTTGACCCGAGATCAGCGTGTTCTATTCTAAGTCCTCATTGAAGTGAGGTCAACGATATTTTTGGAGTTCGGTAGGAAAGATAAAACAGCTTTCCACTTCCCCTGGTTCTCCTAATTGTGCCCCAACTGAGGTCAAGTTATTATAAATACCACCCAAAACATTATGAAAATAGATCATTTAACATGACGGAGAATATTGAACATCAAAAACACAAATATATTCTTTTACGATATAATTGTAATCCATAGTCCTGTATGGCTTCGAGAGTGAAATCACCAGAGGAATAACACATTTTCATATTATAACAACCAGTTATAAGTATTATAACCAGGCACTTGAAGCAAAAACTGATGATGGCTACCAATAAAAATCTCATGATGCCAGTTTTGTCTTATTTCAGACTCGATCTCTGGATGTACTTGTCATATCTCAATTTGAATGTTCACTTCATGACTTAAACTCAGCACATTTCGTTTAACACCAACGCGTTATCCATTTAGCACCTGAACACAGATAGATAGCTACTAGCTTGTGTGATGGGGTGAATTTTAATTCATTTGTATTGACTGTTTGAATATTCCCAATTATTATTTAGGACTGCGATTGATCAGTGTCTTTTTAGGATAAGTTCATCTTTTCTTACGAATTAATGGGAATATCGAGGCAACTTGCATAAGATCTACATATTCCAATCTAAAATGACAAAATGAATTCCTAAACATCCATGGAAAGGTTCAAATAATCAATACAAATGAATTAAGTATTTAATGGTCTATCGTAGACAGTTCAACCAAGAAAAATCCAGTTGATTCATTTCCACTACTAACATCACTCATCTGATTCCTTTCCATTTCTTTTGTTTATTTCTTTACAATAAAAAACAATAATGAATGCTTCTTTAAATTATAATCTAATCAATAATTCTAGCTAACACTTCATTCTATAGAAAATGTTATGTCGTTGAATGTATACAACAAATTCCATTAGTTACGCTTGCTCAACAACCAAATTGTATTATTTGCATTTTACTGTCACCGATGGACCAATCTAATTTAGTAGTTTAAAGATCCCCATAGAATATCTGCTCACCTTAGGTGGTGAGCAGATTGAAGTAGTTGAGAAGTTCGTGTATTTAGGTAGCTATATAAGTGCTGGTGGTGGCGTGAGTGATGAGATCAATGCACGTATAGTGAAAGCCAGAGCGGCTTATGCCAATCTGGGCCACCTTCTGCGCCTTCGTGATGTTTGTCTGGCTGTAAAAGATCGGATCTACAACACGTCGGTGAGAGCAATTTTGCTCAATGTTTGTGAAACCTGGCCTCTCCGAATTGAGGATGTTAGACGACTCTCTGTGTTCGATCATCGTTGTCTTCGAAGGATTGCTGACATCCAGCGGCAACACCATGTTAGTAATACAGAGGTTCAGCATCGTGTGTTCGGGCGCAGAGATGACAATTCAATAGGTGTCACCATCTTGAAACACCGACTTCGATAGCTTAGACATGTTCTACGAATGTCGTCCCAGAGAATTCCACGTCGTGCATTATTTGCCGACTCTGGGACTGGTTGGAAAAAGCGGAGAGGTGGTCAGTGTATAACATGGTGTCGTGGTATGAAAGAAGGCTGCAAAGGGTTGGCTTCTGTTAGTCCTCCACGACTTCCTGGCTAGGGTCCAAGAAATGGTGCAACACAGTGGCTAGAGATGTTACCAGATATGGCTCAGAATAGAAGCCAGTGGAGATCCTGCTAGAACATATGGAACTCAAAACAACTTTCAACCAAATTGAAGGTGAGAATCTTTAATACGAACGTAAGGACAGTCCTACTGTATGGAGCTGAAACGTGGAGAACTACTACGACCATCATCAGGAAGGTACAAGTATTTATAAACAGTTGTCTACGCAAAATACTCAACATCCACTGGCCGGATACTATCAGCAACAGCGTTTTATGAGAGAGGACAAACCAGCTTCCAGCTGAAGAGGAAATTGAGAAAAGACGTTGGAAGTGGATCGGACATACATTAAGGAAATCACTAATGCGCATCACGACTCAATCCCTTACTTGGAATCCAGAAGGGGAGCGGAAAAGAGGAAGGCCAAAGAACTCACTACGCCGCGAAATAGAGGCAGATATGAAAAGGATGAATGTTAAGTGGAAAGAACTGGATAGGATTGCTCAGGACAGAGTTGAATAGAGAATGCTGATGGGCGGTCTATGCTCCTCCATGACGGGTAACAGGCGTAAGTAAGTAAGTAATATTCAACGATCACCAATTAAATGAATGGGAGAAAAATTCTCGAAAACTCTAAATATTGTACTTTTATTGAACAATCAAGTAAGAATGGTTAATCTTATACCTTTTCTGCTAGTTTTATTTTTAATAGACAATTTTTGTTTTTTCTTCATCGATCAGGAACATTAATTCAAGTGATGTGTGATAAATTACGTTCTTCTCGTTCAAGATTAGGAAATTTCGGATCATCATATCGTGAAAGAAAAGAAGCTGTACGTCAAGTATTTTTATTTACCAATCATTTATTGATTACTGCTCGTACTAATAATGGTAAATTAAGATTAGTCAAAGTAAGTTCTTTAAAATGTATTGATTTGTTTTAAATACATAGATTTCTTTCCTGTATCGTTATTGCTTAATACATAATTGTATCGAGGTAACCCACTCTGGATTTACATGTGTCGACTAACTTACTTACTTACTTACGCCTAATACCCCTCGTCGAGGAGCATAGGTCTCTCACCAGCATTCTCCATCCAACCCTGTCCTGAGCCTTCCTTTCCAGTTCTTTCCAGTAGTCAACTAAGGCTGGTCAAAATTCAGTCAAATATATCAACAGCTGGATAATTCAAATCGATCCTAGTAGTGATATAAAGATCATAGTCGTTAGGTAAATATATGATTATCAGAACTCAGTAGCTCAGTGGATGACGTGTTCGATATCCAAAGAAGAAAGCATCGCGCTCGAGTCTCAGATTAAGCATCAGTACTGTAATACATCTAAATGACAAGTCTCAGACAGAACGAAATACTCATTTTAGATTTCACTACTGCCCATATTCCATCTATTCCGTGTGTTTTAAAAACAAATGCAACCCAGTAGAGTGTGACTATAAAATATATAACCTAATGATCCTACCAATTTTATTATTTCCAAGTTTAAAATTAACTCTAAGCTGTATTCGATTTCTCAAGACATGTAGTCGTTTATTATGTAAGAGTACTTGAAGATTACGATCAGAGGGATTCCATCGGTGTATACCATCGTAATTGGTTGTAAAGCTCAAGGAACTATGTAATTTTTTCAGAACATGCATTCAACCAATAATAATAGTAATAATAAGGCATTTATATTACTCAACTTAGAACTGTACACATCCAGAGTCTGTATCTTTCAACACTTCTCTCTCACGTCTGTGAAGTTCAGCTGACAGAATACATGGGTTTTTTTTCGTCATACTAGTGCAATGAAGTACAGAGATAACAGTTCATTTATTCAGCTGAGGTACTGATAATTCAGTTTAAGTACTAGAAACAACGGTTAGTATAAAATGGAATGACCTTTAGATAATTCTCACCACTTTTAATCGATCAAACTGATTGACTATTTTTCCATTTTAAATTCAATAAAGAAATTCATCCATATGACTTCAAAAGATCTTTATTTAAGAGTGTTTATATGGCCGTAAATAGTTTTTTAAATGTTCTCTAATACATTTCAGGTTTTTGGTTTGTGGTTACTAAGTGATTGGTAAACTTTAGAAAAACTAATCCTAAGTACTTAAACCTTTGTATTGGACAGTAAAATTACTCTGAAAGTTATATAAGAGGACTGGTTTAACTTTCTTTAGTCTCAACCTAGAGAAGGTTTGTAGCTCAAGTGAATGATTTCGGTGAAGTTTTGTTCTCATATGTGTAGAAATTCGAACATTGCATTCCTACCTGAAGTCTGTGCTGATGATGTCATTCAGAATAACAACGAAAGCTGAAAGACAAAATCATCCAGTTTAGAGAACAAAACCACCTAAAACAAACAATCTTTGATTGTTTACTTTCTGTAATAACTATTATAATTAAATTTCATCCCATCTTGTTTTTTTTCCGATTCTGTTACAACAGTTTCATGCCTATCATCATAAATGACTGAATTTCTAAACAATCTAACATTTTAAGTCACGTTTATTGAGTCATTATGAATGAAATTAATTATTATGAAGACGATCACTATCGTCTTAGCTCGATATTTGCTAAGTGACCTTGAAGTTTCATTTGTCACCATCATTGATGCATCCTAATGGTAAAACTTTACTGAAAGCAGGTATCAATAAAGTTTTACAGCTTATTCATCTGCATCTGAAACAAACTTGAAATTTTAAGATTAGAAAATAAACGAATAGATTTAAAGGAGTGTTTTACAAGATAGTTTTACTTATACGAGATCTTCGAACTACGTTGTAGTTACGATGCCTATCGTAAGAATTTACCTAACAGATAAGTTGTTCGATTTGATCTTTCGATTCATTGATTTCATTGTAATATGAACTTTTAACAGTAAAAAATTAACTGTAAAATAAATGAACAACTCCATTTTATTAACTGAACAGTTCTACCATAACAGTATTGTAATAATTAAGATTGAGAAAACATTCAGATGTGTATGGCATTTTCGTCCCTTGACTACTAAAAGTCTATTTATATGTCTATACATATTAAATAGTTTAAATCACGAATCGATCATGGCTAAACCGTCATTGAGAACCTGTAAGCATTAAACTCCCGATTCATCCTAGTATGATATCTCAGCATTGCAGATCTACAATGCTACATGAAAGAATCGGAGCGAGAGCTTTCGATCTCACACACGAACATATTTAATCATAAAAATGAAACGATAAATATACCATTACTATTGATTGTTATTAATTACTATTTGTTTGTACTTTTTTGTTGTTGTCTAAATCAATACAATTACTTACAGAACTGTGGTAAAATTTCATTAGTTGAATGTACTTTAGTTGAAGATACCACAGCAGAATTATTCAATATGGATGATGAAGGTAAGTTTTTTTAAGAAGAAAATTACATGTTTAGATTACTTTTTTCTTGATATTGGTTTTATAAGGGTAGCTTTTCTTTCCTTTTAAAGAGAGAGCGAGAAAGTAAAACGGTGACAGGCGCCGGAATAGCTCAGTTGAGGGAGCGTTAGACTGAGAATCTAAATGTCCTCGTTCGATCCTGGGTTCCGGCGGGCGACTGGCTCTCAGTTTTTGCAGACAATTTCTACCTTTTGAAGAGAAATTAAAAATAATCCAATTTACAAGTAAAAATGTAGAAAATGACTTAATTTTTTGATAATAAGCCTCATTGATCTGATATAGGATTGAAGTTTTTTTCAGACATATCGATAAATTTATAATTATTTACTTAAGGAATTAGATAATCATCAGGAGGGTTTTTTGTGTAGATTTTAGTAATTTTATAGTTTAAATTATGAGCCAATTGAAGCTAGACCACCATGGAAAACCTGAAAGCACTGCATGACGGCCGTTCCGTCCTATTGTGGGACTTCTCAGAAGTGCGCATCCACGATCCCGCCTCGTGAGATTTGAACCCAGGACCTATCAGTCTCTCGCGTGAGCACTTAACCGCTAGGACCAGCGAACCGTTCTAGGACATTCGGTCTTACATTTGAATGCTTAACCTCTAGACTAGTGAGTTGACTTTTAACGGTCTCAAAATCTAATATCAGTTAATTCATAATATTACTCAATCCCCAATACTGTAAAAGGGTCTAGACAAGATTATTGAAAGAAACGTCGAAATTATTTAGATTTCAGTCAGTGAAATGATTTCAAATATCATTCTTAAAACCACAAAATATTTATAAGCAAAGATGGATGGTGGCTAGCAGTAGAATCCAGGAAGCACGTTTCATCCTATTTGGGACTCGACAGCTGGATATACCTGCATCCCAGAGTTGAAGTTAACTTCAGAACTCAAAATCATGACCGTTCGCTTGAAAAGCCATCACGTTTCAAAAGTTACCACCGCTTGAATATTCCTTCCGCTGAAACAGCAAACTTATTTATTCCTTTTCTTTTTTTAGAAAAAAAAGAGTACTATTTGTTCCTACTATTGTTCGTATTGTCTTCATTTTTTTGTACATTTAGATCAATTGAATGTTACCAATGAACAAAAATGTCAACAAGACAATACATCACAAATGACAAAAAACAATACTGTTCAATTATTAAGTACAACACCATTAAATTTAAATACTAATGTTGAATTAAATACGCGTAATTCTATTTCAATGAGTACACTGGGTACCAATTCTACTACTAATACTACAACAACAAGTAATAGTGTTAGTATGACTACACATGAATTAGGTCAACAACTTCCACAGAATTTACAAAAACGTCTCATATGTCCAGATTCAACACTTAATCGATATACCTATGTAAATAAATCAAATCAAATAGATTCAATAACAAAGTCTACAACGATAACAGGTACAGTACAACAACAATCAATCCCATGTCTATCTACACAACATAGACATTCTACCTCATTATGTATAGGAACTAATATTAATAATAATAATGAGAATGATTTACATGATACAGTGACAAACTGTTCTATTATACCAATATCTAGTACGGATATTTATTCCACTAGTATAAGTACAATCGATGATGCTAGTGCAGTTCCAATTACTACTATTACTACAATGACAACTGCTACTACTACTACTACTACTACTACTACTACTACTACTACAATGACACCAACAATGAACTCTAATAATACTTCTTCCTCTTTTATTCTAAATGGTCGTAATAATTCCAATGTATCATATTCAACAATAACTTCACCAACAATCACATCAATCATAACACCAGATATAAATATTATGAATTCTAGTTCATTATTACCATCATCATCATCATCAGCAGCAGCAGCAGCAGCAGCAGCAACAGCAACATCATCATCATGTATTCAACCAACAAGTCCATTATCATTTTCAATGTTACATCGATTCAGTAGTAATATGGGTTTATTTAATTCAATTAATAATAATAACAATAATAATAATACATGTAATAATGATAAAACAGATTATGGTAATTTAGATTTTCGTTTAATATGGGAACCAAAAAATGGTCAACCGACAAGTATATGGCTTGTTGCATCAACATTACAAGAGAAAGCCGCATGGTGTTCTGATATTAGTCAAGTAAGTTAATTGAACAATTATGATCAAAAAAGGAAATAAAATCAATAATAGAAATTTTTAGTAAAGAGTTGAATGGTTCTTGAAATCGTAAACCAATCTAAATTATAGATCAGAAAGAGTATTTTCATAGTTGAAATCATGGATTGATTGAAGTTAGACATTAACATCGTTGGATGCCGGCTCAGGGGTCTAACGGTTAAGTGCTCTGGCGCGAGACTGGTTGGTCCTGGGTTCGAATCTCCCTCGCGAGGCGGGATCGTCGATGCGCACTGCTGATGAATCCCATAATGGGACAAAACGGTCTTAGAACAGTGATTCCAGGTTTTCAGTGGTTGTCTAACTTCAATTGACTCATGATTTCAATGTAAATTAGGCCAATATTGAAAACTTGAAAACTCTGGCAGTCTAACAGCTTATTTCATGATATTAATGAAATGAAAAGATCATATATCAAAGGAATTTTGTTATTTTGTCACAAATGATTCTTGTCCTTTGAACTTAGATAAGGTTGTAAGCTCATCCAAGTAGCGACAATGAATACGGTTAGCACTTGATTTAAATAGTTGGTTATCCGTAACATTTTCAAGATTTAATAAGTATGTTATATTCGGTAGTTTTAACCATCTTTCAACTGATTTATTGAGTATCTTTTGCATAAAATAGTGTAGTTGAGGTTAAAATCAGTAACAGGTATTATTCATAATTGAATCGAAACACGAAGTTCTAATTTCAGAAACAGATTTTAAATTAACTAATCACCAATCCATGATCAAAATAATGTGTACTTAGTTATTTAGTGCTGATCATATGTTAATGAAGTTATAATATGGTCACTAGCTCAAGTAAATCAATATCGCATGCACTGTCAAGTAGTTGGAAGTAGTCGGAAGTAAACCAAACTTAAGTTACATGCTAGTTAGCACTACCTTGTGACTTGATCAATAAAATTTTGGCCGGCACTAAAAAACTGGACAAACATAATATTCTGGTGTGGGCTACTTATATCCACATAAGTATTAGTATATAAGAATGGTCGAGCATTGAAAGTATTTCAATAGAAGATCAATAAGGAAAAAACGGGAAGAAGCTCAGTTGGTATTAAAATGCATGAACAACAATAATCGGACACGATGAACTGATAATTGCAGAAGGAACAGTCAAGATTGAGACGTTTGATTGATAGTTTAACATTGATAATTTACTATATAGTTCTCATATTTTACTGAGATATTCTGTAATTATGTGCTCAAACATATTCGATTGCCCCCACTCGTCTTCTTGTTCACTACAATATTAGTAAGTAAATCGATCTTACTGAAAATCAGTCACTATGTAACTACCACACTGGTAACGTTATAGAGAATGAAACTGATTGACATGGGTCTGAATCCCTTAGGAAACATTAATTCCTTCAAGAATGCAGGTATATCTTACCCACCGGTGCTAACTAATATATCATGTAGGGTTTTAATGTTGACTACCTATAAGCTACGTACAGCATCTTAACACAATGTACATGATATCTATTCACTAAACCTTGTGACTACAATCAAAAACTCGTCGATAGAATCGTATTAATACTAAAAGTTTCTGATAAAGGGCTTGGTGATCGATTAGATTGTTTATTTATTCGAGAACTATATATGTATATATGCATATTTCTGTCTATGTTTACAATGTCTTTAATACATATAATAATTATTGTCTCTTACGCATAACTCACTGAAGCCTAGCGACTATATTATTACTATTATTATTGTTTCTATGTCGTTTTTTTATTTTGGTGACTGATCGATTGATTATTTCCTGGTCGACTTGATTTATTATTATTTTGATACATACCCAAATTCGATTGTGGTAAACTTCATATTTGAATCTGTAGACAATAATAATAATAATCATACCAGACTAAACAACTTTGTTTCCAACCAGTTAATTTTATTTTTAAATTATTGAGTGGGTATTATTGATTTTTTAAATCTGCTTTTGCAAAATGTTTTCAAAAAAAATAGTAAACAGGTAACTAAAGGGAGTGAAACCTTTTCGAAGCAGGTATTATAATTATCGGTATGAGAATTATAGACTTTTGCTGAGATCATGAATAGATTTAAGTTGGACAATCATTAATAAGCCTGAAAGTACTAGATAGCTGTTTTTAGTCCTAGTATGGAACTTCTCAGCAATGCGCATCTACCACACAAGTTTGGACCTAGGGGATTTGGTCTAGTGATTGGACGTTCGATTTTTAGACCACTGGGACGTGATCTAATAATATACATGCCCAGCTTAAATCAATATGCGATATTACATACCCATCTACCGTGTATGAGGTGAATATCTTCCTTAGACTCGACACAACTGAACTTCACTCATTACGGCTTCTTATTAGAAATCTGGAAATTTCCTCTTGAAGTTATGAACTGATGAGCACATGATAGTTATCAGTTTGGGGATTGTCGAGATTGTTGAACAAAAATAATGGTGTTTGCTTTATGGTATGATCCGTTCAGTTTCTTCTCATAACATACGTACTATGTAGGAAGACCTCAAATGGTCTAGTTTTGTTGATTATTGTTGAAGAAAACTATAGTTCTGACAAGCATGAAAGCCCTCGGTAACATTTCGATTCATATTACCCCAGTAACCTAATATCTTGGTTAATTTCACATTACATAGTCCACTATCTTCGTTGCGTATGTAGTAGTCATAGTTGTGGCTGATATAAATACTGTTGTTGTATTATAATTTCCACTTTTCGGGATTTCATGCTTCTCCTGGATTCCTTTCTTTTCTCTTCATTCGCTTAGTAGATTATTATTGTTAAAATGATTTGGGGATAAGATATTGTACTCTTTAGAATGCATCAAACTTTCCAAACATCTATTATTTGGAATAATCATAAAGCATCTCAAATTATAACACAAATATACTAATGAGTTTGTCCAATCTGATAGATTAATATACAAAGAATTTTTAAAATTATAAGAGTATGGGTTTGTATGGTTCTGCTGTCTATACTTGGGATTAGATTCATAATTGAAAGTATCAGTCAGTTGAAGCTAGAACACCAGGGAAAACCTGGAAGCACTGCTTTAAGGCCGTTTCGTCCTATTGTGGGACATAAACTCCTTCGGATGCCGGCCTAGTGGTCTGTCGGTTAAGTGCTCTGGCGCGAGACTGGTAGATCCTGGGTTCGAATCTCGTGAGGCCAGGTCCCACAATGACACCATGAGGTGACCGTGAGATAAGAGAAAATTAGAAAATTAAAAGTGGTAACAACCAATTACACGAAGGCGAAGGTCAGGCCTAAATATGAATTTTAAAAAAGTGTACTCGGAGTTTTGATTATAAGGAAAAGCTAACATCTACCAACAAAAATATAGATAACGAAAGGTCTTTCTGGTAGTTGTTTAAATGAATGCAAATATTGAAACAAATCATGAATATCCATCCAGTGCCCTCTCCTATGTTACCATTTCAATACATGGTGTTCTGAGAATGATCACAGAATTCGACTCTGAATTGTAGTAATATCATGTTGTTGTTTTTTTAAAGAAATTATAATAGTTATTTTATCTTGTTTTTTTTTATCATTACAACAAACGCTTCATTTTCAGTGTATTGAACAATTGCATTATGGGGATATTTTAAATTCAGCTCAATCGGATGTTTCCTCTGTAGCAATGCCTCAATCTATTCGGTAAGTATATTTAGTCCGCATTATTATTATTATTGATATTATTACTATTATTTTCATCTTTTAGTGTTTGTTTGATCATTAAGACTGCGATTGATCAGTCTCTTAGTGGCAAATGTGTATCCTGTACAGATTGCTTCGACATTGCCTTAAGTCACAATCATTATAAACAAAGAAGGATGGTGGTTAGTTGTGGAATTCAGGACGCATGTTTCGTCCTATTTGAGACTTGTCAGTTGATTATACCTACATCCCAAAGTTATTATTATCTTTAACATTAATATTTTTATTGGTCAGTATTTTGCACTTCAACTTAGAGTAAATGTATAATCTACTAACGACCCTAGGGAGGCTTCAAAATGACCCTCAGAAAGTAAACTCAACTTCCAGTAAATCATAATTCAGGGGATATAAATCAATGATATCTAACATAAAGTATCCAGAAAGTTTCTGAGTTTAGGGTGATTTAGGGTTTGAATTTATGGTTATGGTTAAGAGTTGGAATTAGAAACGGAATTTATGGTTAGGATGTAGAGTAGTGGTTACGAATGGAATAAAGAACGTCATGAAACGTGGCACAAATCCATGAAGTCACTCACAATTGGACTGAGCAATGTTGGTAGGTGAAGACTACCTGGTTGGGATTCGCGAGATGATAGCAATCAATGGTTAGAGACCTTGAATGACATGGCTCAAAATCGTTCGCAATGGCGAAAAATCATCCACTCTTTGTGTTCTGCAAAATTCTAATCTTCTGATTTATTCCTGTTCCTTTCTTTTTTCTCTTTCCAAATTTATTCCACTAAATCATACTCCTTGAATAACATATTGAAACCCTAATCTCTCACATTACTGCTTATATTCTCACTACTTCTACCACTATGAGATTTGAATCTAAAACTGTATCTCTGTGCTAATGTGGTATGACAACTCGAACTGCTGTACGTACGTACGAAGTTTTACGTTGTGACTGACTGACCGACTGGAAGAACGTCATGAACGAACAGTTATATAGTTTGTTCTTTAATTTTAAATATCAAGAACTTTTAATTTACCGTAATAATTTAATAAATTATGGTTTCTGTTGTATAATTCTTGTATGTCTATCGACATAATGGAATATTGGTAGTATTTAATCAGCATTTAATAAGACACAAACTATCATATAAACCTAACCATCCTTTTTTCATTGGTAAACAAACCCTGATGTCTAGCATTTTTAAGCATAGAATAGGATATCTTTCACTAAGGATTTCATTACAATCACCTGAAGCCATCTACGCCTGTCTTTTATCCTCACGCCACCGTAGACCATCCCAACTTGCCGGATGGGGAAAAGCAAATAAAATGAAAGGTATGGATCAAAATGAAATCCTCACTGAGAATTATACTTTTATTATGCTGTGCTCATCCATTAAATCGACGGAAAAGTCCTAGAAAACACTTGATATTGAACATATTGAACACTTAACAGGGATCCTCTGTTAATACACAGACACGTATCCTATCTCAAATCTTATATGTTACATCTTTGATCAGTCTCCCAATAATATACAGGTGAGGATTTTTCTCTATCTGGACTAAGGCCTTGACACGACAGGTTAACCAGTTCAACCTTGAGGCTAGTAATGCCTGAGTCTAAATTATGACTGAGTGGCCTTGTGGCAGAGACGAAAAGTATTCTATCACTTGATCGGTTGACAAGTGTGAGAGTGAGAACACCATTCAACTGAAACCTTACTCGATTTATTCTTGATTCTGATTTATGTTAAAAAGACGTGAAAAAGATGACCAACACGACCACAACGCACAAACAATCAGAAAAACACAATTATGTTCACACTAATCATTGGGGTAGAAAGGTGAGGTACAATTGGTTACTTTTAAATTACAATAATTTTGTCTTGAAAAAGGTTGTGACAATGAATCATGGATCAAATAAAAGCGTTCAGAAGGATGATGAAAATTCCACAACCAAACCATCCACCTCAGAGAACAAAACTCCATCAAAATCACCCACTTGAGCTACAAATCTTCTCCACCATTATATTAAGTTCTTTGTGATAGAGCCGTAATGACAATGAACTAGTTTTACAAACTTTCTCTAATCCGATTATTTATTAGTTCACCCGTATTTCTAGTGGAACCGATGGCATTCTGTTTACCAACTGACATATCGACCAGTGAACAAGCAATACTTGTTTACCCTCAAGCTTCTTTTAACCCAGTGACCAATCAGAAGGCGAAAGTAAAAAGAAGATCAAATCTCTTTTGTACTCAGTTCAATCATGACTCAAAACTCATACAATAATATACTGGAGATGTTTGACCACACAGGAATATAATTACTAAATTATAATGTGTACATGAATTCGTCATAAGTGATAGAAGACCGGAATAGTTAATTAATGACAAATCTGGAGCGATGAGACATAGGACAACGATTTATAACTCAAATGAAAGCTTAGAAATAAGAGAATACAAAAATACAATAGTCTAAGGGTCTACCAATTACACAATAAAAATATAAATAATGATCTTTTGTATGGTAATCTCTAAAGTTATGCATTGACACTATTCACTCCATTATATCACTTATAACAATAGTAAATATAGGGTTTTCACTAAGAATACGTGATTTATTTTGAAAGTTGTGTATTGGTCACAGATTTATCTCAGATGGGGTATTATTCAGAACTAGGATGCATTGTATAACTTTTACATCCCAGCATTGGGTTCCCCAGAGGTTTCGATAAGACTATGATTTATGGAGGAACCAATCAGATATATGATAAAGAGTTTTGAATATCGGAGCGAAATTCATTCACACATTTGGCTAAATAGCGTTTTGGCATTATAGCTGATGTCAGTTTGTAATGAAAACCATAAATCTAATTTTCAGCTCTATCGTCAACTGTTAATCATAATCTTTGTTCTTCACACAGGTTTAAAACCTTCATTTAGTCCTAGTTAGTATGTAGACATTCCCAGGGTCACTTCATCATCTCTCAAAGGTTGTCCATAAATTATGGTTTCACCGCTGTTTCCATTAATGACCAAAGAAGAGACGGAATTCAGAACTTTCAGGTCTAGTTATATGAACGAAGCCACTAGGACGCTGAGCTGGCATCCCATTATACACATTCTCAACCTTAATATTTGGCATCGTACAACGAGTAACTAATCCCACTGATAATGAGCTTTTCATTACGGACATACATAAACAATCCCAGTAACAACTTATACTAGGATCTTTGCGAAATCATCTCAACTTAAGTTTTTGATGCTACCCCCCCAGTAACTAAGGTCAATCTGTGATAGATACAATTTTAAAGTATAAAAGAAATCTGGAAATTGTTTTAGTATAATATATTCAAAATGAATCAATTAAAACGGGTATGTAATTTTGGGAATCCAAAATTTTATTTTAATGAGTTACTACCGGAAATTAAATCATACTCAACTTTATTATTATTATTTTCATTTTATTAATTATTATTCATTTAATTATGGTTAATATTATTGATTGTTTACAAATAAATTAATATATTTGTGATATCCCAACGCGATCACTGATCAGAATAATTATACACGTGATGTGAATGTGTACATGAATACTGCGAATGGTCCACCAGGGTTCTTGGTACCTGTGTGATTGCTCCACAGCATTGAGCTGTAGCGTTGAAGCCTAATATAGTGTCTGATTTTCCTATGGGGTGGGATTGAGCTGTACTGCTTACGTTGCTGCGTGAAGGTCTGGATGGTGTCTGGTTCTCTTGAAAACCAGTGCAAGATTACCCTGGCCCATAAGGGTATATTATATAACTGTGAACAAACTAGTTGATCCTGCCAGTAGTCATATGTTTGTCTCAGAGATTAATCCATGTATGTCTAAGTACATACTTTAAAACGGTGAAACCACGAATGGCTTATTGGGATATTACAAATATATTAATTTATTTATAACAATCTACCCAATGCTCAATTGATTCAAAATTATAAAAACTTGGTAACTGATTAAGCAAAGATGGATAGAAGCTTGTAATGGAATCCAGGACGCGCGTCTCATCCAATTTGAGACTCGTCAGCCAGATGTACCTACATCTCAGAGCTGATGTTCACTCTGGGACTCGAACCCGGTACCCTCCGCTTCAAACGTCATCGCGTTATCCACTCGGCTACTGAGTCCTGATAGTTACTTGCTAGTACAATGCCAATTAGAAACTGACCAGTTGCAGTCCTAACACATCAATGGGAAGATTCAAACAAACAATACTAAATGAATTTGGTAACTGATTGTTTACATTTTAAAAACTAAAACTAAACTACTTATTTTGTTTTATTATTATTATAATACTGTTTAGATCGGATCCAAAATTGTTTAAAGATGATGTAGATATTAAATTTAGTCATACATTGAATTCATGTAAAGTACCACAGGTAATTAAAATTATGCCATTTTAATATTTTCTTTCGTTCGTTGAATCATACTGAGTTAATTTATTGGTTGACATAATTTCTTTGATGTTCTAGAATTTGTTCTGAGACTAGAAATTGTAGATAACCTTTGAATTATGTCAAAGTGATTTTGAGAAAACTAACGTACCAACTAAGGTTCTGATGTAGGCTATACATTAGTGTAAGGAATAAACATTAGTATTTAGTTAGATGTCAGGGTTTTCATCACGAATCGACATTGGTCCATATGTCAAAATGCTATTTTCATAGTTGAAATCATGAGTCAATTGAAGCTAGACCACCATGGAAAACCTGGAAGCACTGAACGGCCGTTTCGTCCTATTATAGGACTCCTATTCGATTATGTAGATGGATGTATTTCATGCCAAAATCCAAGACCACCTTGAATCCCATAAATTGTGGTCTAGGCGACTTTATTCATTTTTATGATGTACTACTTTATTTTATTTAGTAGTTGAGATTGTTTTGGAATTTTTTTAGAGGCTGTGACTGGTATTAAGAATAATTAGTTCCTTTTTTAAATATCTTTTCATTGAGGAAAGAAGAGGAGGAGATGATCTAGAAACTATGTTGCATTTGGGTAACACACTTTAAGTAAATATAGTATCTTTACAATAAACCATTAATCCCAACTATTGATAATTGTATTTGAGGTTTATCTGTTACTTACTTGATAGAAACTCTTTGACATAACACATTGACGACTTCAAACGAAATCGAACCTAGGTATTATGGCTTGAGCCACCTAGTCAGCATCATATGTTGACTCGTCAATCAAAAAATCCTAATACTAATTTGGCCAACTTCGCATCTACTTCTTCCTCAATAACCTAGTATCCCTAAATTGACAAATTACACGCTTGATCAACACTATTGATCCTCAGACGAAAGCCAAGTTCCTATTGGTCAGTTGTTTGTAAACCCCTCTCTACACCAATTAGCCTCTACCTTTATTATATTTCCAATAGTCATGGTGTATACACAGAAACACTAGATCGCATTATATTATAAAATGAAAAATCACAAATATACATAGACGAGCCAAAAGTGGCTGTGAATAACTGATTGGCAATGAGTAGTATAACTGTAGTCAACGTATTAACCGGATGCTTATCACAATTTGGATATATATTCTTAATAAATTAGTTATTCAGTAATTATATAACTAGATAACAACAATAAATCAGCAAACCGGTCCCAACTTTTAGTGTTCCTTGCATTATAACACTAGTGCATCACTTACAAACTACTGATTCCGGATTCAGTTGTCAATATTTTCAACTGTAGTCAAGTTTTAGGGATTGTCCACTCAGTCGGATCAATGATCTGTTGAATCCTTATATACAGAGTTCGATTTATGCCTATGAGATCGTTAGCCTTTGTTTAACCAAAGTGCTCACTAAGTGTGTTGATGCCTATTGGCCTATTCAGATAAATTCTTTCTCAAACTACTAACTCAAAACATGGGTTCTCATTGGAACTGAGGATTGGATCTCTGATGGTAAAGTAGATACTCACTTCTTAGTAGTCCCATATTAGAATGAAAGAGCTGTTTAGTACTTCCTTGTTTTCAATGGTTGTCTAGCTAAAATCAGTCCATAATATAGACTTAATGATTTTATACTATTTATGATAATTTATTGTTTTAAGTCTTTTTCCTGTTAAATAATTTCTTATCTTTTCTTTAATGTCAGATTCGTTATGCAACAGTTAGTCGTTTACTTGATCGATTAACTGATGCCAGATTCTTATCAATAGACTTTTTGAATACTTTTCTACTTACCTACCGTGTATTTACCACTGGTCTGTCGGTGATATGGGCATTAAATCAAGTTCTAGCAAATCCGGATGTAGAAAATGGTGGCAATACACCACATTCTAATCAAAATCAATCATTTACATAGTAAGTGTTTACTACTTCTTCTCGTTTTCGCCATGCGACTCTTAAAAACTTGTTACGAGATATTATTCTTAAATAACTTGGGGGTAATTCTGAATTATGAAACAATTAAGAGATTCTCCGAGTATTCTTTAGTATCTACATGGACTACAAAGACTTGGAACCTAATAAAAATGCCCTTTAGCGAATGTAATTTTCCCGACTGCAGAGAGAATTCTGAAAAGTCAAAGGTAAGCTAGAGCAAGTCTGTTTATGCAGTAACAACTATAACTTGGGTACACCACAAATGCAACAAACTACAAAGAAAAAGTAAGTGATCAGATAACAGCAAAGGTTAGTGGGGTAATATGAAATTCAAAAAGCTATCGAGGTCTTCCTTTGACCTCAAACTATTATTTTTCCATGAAATAGAAGAAAAGGAGGAAATTTAAGATTTCCCATCAGATATACAGCATTTTAGGTGAAAATTCAAACAGGGAGCTTCGATTCTATCAAAACTGGAGATTTATTGAGTGATTATGAACATGAAATGTAGGTCCAGGTGTTTCCAATCATTAATTTTAACGAGATTATAAATTTTCAAGATTTTCACATCACTACTATTTTAGAGACTCCTTCAAAGCACTATGTGATCACTATTATGACTAGTACTAGGCACGAATGGTAAATTGCTTAATGAGCTAGTGAATCTTTATTGATTGAGGTGGTTGGGAAAAGTATTACGTATGCCTAATGGTTGCCTACCTGAACGTGCAATGTTCATTGATGTAGTAGTAGGCTGAAAAATGTAGGGGTGACCAAAGGAAAATGTAGTCATTGGTTGATGAATGAAGTCATATTTGTGGATGCAGACTACTCATATGATGTTCTTATGATTATCGTAACCACCGGTTAGAAACATTAGCTCAGAATCGCTTTCAGTGGCACAAATACATTCATTCTTTCCTGTCGAATTACATTGTCTATGAGTGATTATTTCTACTATTATTGACATGTTTAGTACTTGTGCTACTATACCATTTATCTTGACAATTTCATCCCACTGTGTTGATGTATTGTGACAACTTAACCTGATGTATATATGCACCAAATCCCACATTGTCTATAGCTAAGTGACTGTTCAGTCATTTTATACTCTGCATTCACTTATCGCGGCTTCTCTCAAATAAATTCAATGCTTTAAGATTGAGAATAAAATTTTTATTCAATATCATTGGTATCAAATGATTAGTTTCACCTTAATTAGCATGTTTAGATGAAAGACAACGTATTAGAAAATGTATGCAAAGGTTTGAATAAATTCTTCTGGTTAGCGTTTTTTTAGCGAGTTGGTTTTCTATGAGATGGAATCGCTAATCACATGCCCAACCCTCCTCCTTTACCCGGGCTTGGGACCGGCAGTAGACCCCGGAGGAGCTACAGGCGAAGAAGAGGAAGATCAAAGAACACATTACGCCGAGAAATAGAGACAGACATGAGAAGAATGAACAAAAACTGGATAGAACTAAAAAAAGAAGGCTCAGGACAGAGTGGGTTGAAGAATGCTGGTTGGCAAGCTATGCTCCATTGGGAGTAACAGATTCGGAAAACTTTCTAAAAAACACAGAAATATTAACATTAATTTCGATCAATCGACTCTGTTGTTAAGTACTTCGACAAATCCGGGAATAGATTTATTTATGTCCTAACTTAGGCTGATCATTTTACAATGCATCAATTATTATAGATTATAGAGTTTGTTTTCTAATGAGTTCCTCTGTTCATTTGTTGATTATACAATATATATGCTAAATAACAACAATGTGATGCATTCTTTGTCCTTTGTTTTAAATCTATCTTAAGCTCTCATTTTGAAAATCTTGAACAACGTGATCGATTGTATACAGCTAGACCATCAGAAGTTTCACTAACTATAAATCGTTTACCAGTTTTAGAAGAATCTGCACATAGTATCACTGATGATATATCATCAAGTCTAAATTCTATATCACAAACAGGAGATCGATTAGAAACGAATAATAGTAGTATGATAAATAGTATATCTAATGAACTTATGACAACTTTATCATTGAATAAAGAAGATTCATCAATAAACACTGAAACTCCTCTGAATTCATTTATATTACCAACAACAGTGAATGGCACAAATAATAATGTATCAATAAAATTGCCAAAAAAGATAATTCCACGTCCATTATCTACCTCAGAAACAGTAAAATATTGTTCACCTTCTATAACATCAAATCAAGATTATAATACCCCGAATGTAATGAGTCAATCAGTAATTAATGAAAGTCATAGTTTATCATCATCACCATTATCATATAATAAACAATCTAATAAACAGATTATGAGTAGAAGTTTTCAATCATCTACAATTGTTACAATTCCAATTCAGACAACATCTACAACAATGTTAATTCCTCGTTCACCTGTATATAGTAAATTTGTTGATTTAAGAGATGATCCACCGTTGGAATTACCTATTCTACCAGATTTGAAAAAAGTGAGTTATGCTGATTGTTTTTTTTACTGAATAAAGTGAGTTGATCACTTATATTTAAAGTTCAATCAACCGAGGGTAGATCAGTAGGTGACAAGATCTTGGTGAGGATTCAAAAAAAACTCTCTTGACATTTACCAACTTATGTCAGTTGTAGCTTAAAAAAGATATCAATCTGCCAATTAAGAGGCGAGTATGCTGCATAGAGATTTAATCTGTATTACTGAATGGTAGTGAAGCGTGGCCTATAAAAGTAGATGTAATTAGACTAGAAGTATTTAAATTATAGTTCTTGTAAATCAACTCTTTCAATTCATTTATTATTGAATCAGATGTATTTATTCTGTCTCCATCAGTTTGGAACCGCTGTGTTAGTTTTATACGTGTAGAGGTAGCTGACATTTTAATTTTATTTATTGAAACACATAAATATTGGTACAAAAGGGCACCAGATATATATGCGCTACACAAATCTCATTTGATTTGTGTTAGATCTGTGATACTGCTAGGATGCACAAACAGAAGCAGGTGGTTTACTTAGGGGGCCACTCCTGGAGCATTTGACCTAAAGATCTGATTCACAAGGCAGTGGAGCATCGTGAGGAGATGCAGTCCCATGGTAGCCGGTGACCAGCGATTGGTTCATACACCATTTGTTCCCTTAGGATACTGGAGCCCATGTACACCATTGGTTTGGAATCAGGGTTTTCCAACTCTGCCAGGTGAACTTTCCGTGTCCACCAACCTGGTTAAAGCGCCAGACATTCGCTTTTCCTTCTCTCAATTTCGTAAACAACACACCCTTTGAGAGAAGGCAGTTAGTAGGACTTCCATGTCAGAGGCTATATACACGTGACCATGTGAGAAAATTTCGAGAGGGAGAGTGGACTCTCCCCACTCTCTGCCGTACCAAGGGATTTGAGAAAAACTTCTTAAACTAACTGGTCATAAGGCGAATGAACAGTCCAGGAATTGTTTAACTTTATTGAAGCTCGAAAAATAAAGAATAATAGTGTCTAAACACTTGTATATAATTAAGTTGTCCATCTAAATTGGAACTAAATATAATTTATGATCTATGAATAATTTACATGATGAGTTGTTTTTCAGGATTTTTTGACTCAGTAGCATACAGGATAGATACCATTTTTACCATTGATAATCACGTTATATAGCGAATGAATCAATAATCAAAATATGGATCAATGGATTCTAGCTCATCTGAAACCTGCAGTTCCAGTGTTCGAGCTCGTATAAACCCATAGTTGTTCAGCAATAAGAAATCTCTAACCTACCTTAGTTTTTAACTATTTCTTTGGATGCAATCAATTTGTAACGTAAACTAAAATGAAGTTAAAATATTCATTTTCTGTCTGAAACATTTAAAAGAAAGATTGGTTCAACGAAGAGCTCTCTTTTGAGAGAATTCATTTTCAAAGCTGTACAATCAGTCAGTCACTCAGTTACAATGTAGAACTTCGTACGTACGTACATCATTTCGAGTTGCCATATCACATTAGCACAGAGATTCAGTTGTCGATTCAAATCTCATAATGGTAGAAGTAGTAGGAGTATAAGCAGTAATTGGAAAGATTAGGGTTTGAAGATATTATTAAAGGAGTATAATCCAATGAAAAAAGATGGAGACATGAAGAATTCAGAAGATTAGAATTTGGCAGAACACAAAGAGTGGATGCCTTTTCGCCATTGCAAACGATGATAATAATTACGATATTTACAATAATAGTGTTAATAAACTTCTGTTAAACATGGTAACAATGAGGTAGAATGAATAAAGGTATTGGAAACTTTTTTTAGTCAGGTTAGCTAATATTAGTTTTATTGTTTAGGACTTGAATCTTCATCATGAAGATAAATAGGGAAATTATAATCGCAGATGGATGGCTCAGCATGATAAGATAAAATGTTGTAATTGTGATAAATTATAATTAGGAGGATCATAGGGAACATAGATAAACCGGTTGGTGGGGGTAGAAGGTCTATGGAGAAGATGGAAGGGGTAGCAGATGACTGTAAAGAAATAAAAGTATGGAGAAAGACGATCGTAAAATATGAGGTTGTACCAATTCCTTTCGGATACACAATCCTGGTTTTACCACATGTATGACTATTGCTTCGGCGATGTTAATAAGATACAATATAACTGCCTTTGGCAGCTATCAACTTACCTTGCTGATGACCTTGAACTCAGAGTCCGCCTTGATTAAGTAATCTATGTTCTCAAAGTGTTCGATTATTGAACTTTTTTATTTAGCCATTCCCGCCTTCTTTTAGTCATGCAGGGTTGTTTTCTTGAATTCTTTCGGATCAAGTAAGCATCAAGAGACCTGGTAGATAACTATGTTTATTCTAGTTCACTGTTACCATGTTTAAAAGAAGCTTATTATCACTGTTATTGTAAATATAATTATTATCATCCTGAAAAATAAATATAAATATTTGTGATCGTTTGCAATGGCGAAAAGGCATCCACCCTTTGTGTTCTGCCAAATTCCAATCTTCTGAATTCTTCATGTCTCCATCTTTTTCTCTTTCCATATTTATTTCACTGGATTATACTCCTTCAATAACAACTTCAAACCCTAATCTTTCCAATTACTGCTTATACTCCTACTACTTCTACCATTATGAGATTTGAATCGACAACTGAATCTCTGTGCTAATGTGATATGGCAACTCGAAATGATGTACGTACGTACGAAGTTCTACATTGTAACTGAGTGACTGATTGATTGCATAGCTTTGAAAATGAATTCATCGAAAAGAGACCTCTTCACTAGATCAATTTTTCTCATTTTATATCTCAATGCGTATATTCCGTTTAATGAAACATTTTTTTGTTTCCTAAAATACTACTTGATCAGACGGAGAGAAAACAAAAACAAACTGAATTCAAACAAAAGGTAGACAATGTCATCTCACCTAATTCATCTTCTTTAACTGATCAAAAAGAATTCGTGAATACCATAAAAGAGCATACACGTTTAGCTCCATTAGCATCATGTGAAGTAGTACCTGATGAATCTGAGTTAACAAATTTAAAACAAGAATTATTCAATAACAAACAACTATCTATATCTACAAGTAACAATGTCAATAATACCAATAATAATGACAATAAATCTGAACCCGATCCTAGTGAAAATAATTCACTCAATCCTAATTCACATAGTATAACATGTAATCATTTAGACAATCAATTGGATCAATGTAAAAGTTTGTTAAATCAAGAAAAACAATTGAAACCGGATTATGATGTAATGACAAAACAAGAAGAAATCAAAACAAGCGAACGATATAAGCATAATTTATCAGCAGACATATCAAAATCAGATGTGGCCATATCAATTTCATGTGAAAATCAGGTAAAATTAAGATATATTGTTTTTTTTACCTGAGTACTGTTAAAGGTATGAGGGTGGTTATCCCTTCCCTGTTGCCCACACCATGGAAAGGTTCTTCTAGAGGTACCGGAAAAAGAAATAGGGTTAGAGTTGACCTTAGTGACCTGAGGGCATGACCGCAGTGCCCAAGGAACAACTGCTTGAAACCGGTCACACACGACCATTTTGTGGGTGATTTTTGTGTTAGCTTCGTACTTGCTCAGACCCTATCCACGGAGACGGATATCCGTTGGATAAGGCGGAGTGTACACTTTTAGGGTCGACCTTTTCTAACCCCACCCTTCCCTTATGGGAAGGAAACACCTTACTGCCATCACACCTCTGTACAACCAGCAATCTGACTTCGCCTTAGGACCTTGGCTTTGCCGCTTTTAGTCTTATCGCCCACCAACCGATCTACCTGACATGGTTAGACCTTGAGGAACGATTGTTCCAGCCAGTATAGCTCGATTGATTCATCAGGACAGGCAAGCCCGACCAACACGTCTAGGTAGCAGCAAAACTTCTAGTCAACGCTGACTGGATAAAATGCTTCTTAGTGTTTCCTGAGCCTTTCTTGTCTTTTGCGAGAAGTTTTATGGATCACCCCAACACAGCTATGACCCTGCATCTGGGGTTTGAAATCAGGGCTTTCGATCTCACATGCCAACGCATTCTGTAGCGCTCCTTTATTTATGGATTAACCATATAATCATTCCAAAGAGAACATTGTGAAGAATATGAAAACAGAAAGGTAAAAACGGAAGGTTAATCCCATAGGTTGAGTAATGCTTCAAAAAATTGACTATCTGACTAAAGCGTAGATACGAAGTAATGAAGAATATCACTGAGGGAAAAAACTTGCCAGATGAAGTTTTAAAAGTAACATCATCTAGGTGAAGCAAGATAAGTGATTATGCATATTTAGATGAACAAATATGGTTTCATTTCCTTTTCTAGCAATAATTTTAATAAAGCGTAGTAAATTTGGATTCACTCGCTTACTGATTGGCTTGAGGGATTTTGAAACGTTGACATCATGTTTATTGTCGATAAACAACTAGCTATTGGACTGCTTAAAAAAGATGTTGATAGATTCTCAGGTGGTTGGACGTAGTTAGGAGAATATCCTAAAACTAAATTTTGTGCTACTGAACACTAGTCTAAAATACGAAGCTTGGTGGCGCAGAATTATAGGAATGACGAGGTGAAAACTAAACAATCGGTCTGCAAATTTTAGCACAAAGTAATTTTTTTTAATTTGTAGGAAGTTATTATTCAATGATTGACATCATTTCAAAAGTTGGAAGAACTCCTAGTTTAAGACGTCTCGGAAGCCTTCGCCTGAAACACCAACAAAAATAGCCGATGATGAACCTCCAAACATTGTTATGAGCATGATAACTTTATTTAAAGAAGATTTGTAGCTCATGTGAATGATTTTAGCAGAGTTTGGTTCTCTAAGCTGGATGGATGATAGGACCAAGGATCAGATCAAAGGGAGATGTAATCGAAATAAAGAGGTAAACAATGATAGGTTAAAGGTCAACAATAATAATCAAGATCAAGGTCAAAAGGACGAGTTGTGAGTCATATGTGGGGAAATTCGAACACTTTGCTTCTACCTGAAGTTTGTGCTGCTGATGTTGTTTAGAAGAATAATGAAAGCTCCACGATCAAATCATTCAGTTCAGAGAACAAAACTCCACCAAAGTAGAACTTTAGATAATACATAGATTGCATTTAATTTATTTATCCAATAACCTTTGAAGATAGAATAATAATAATAATTAGAGGTGGATGATGTCTGGAAGGTGAATCCAGGATGTGTGTTTCGCCATCGTCACTTGTCAGTTGGATGTACTTTCATCTCAGATTTGATGTTCCCTCTGAGACTCAAACCTAGTCCCGTTCGCTTCAAACGCCAAACAGCAAATACGAGGAAACGCGCATCTTGGATTCAATTACTTACCGCCACCAATCTCTGTTTATAATGCTTGTGACTTAACAGCAATATCGTGACAATCTGTACGGGATGCACATATCCCAAGCAGGGGATGATCAATTACAGTCTTGTCTCCTTTTAGGTAGTATTTCTAGACTCACATGTAAGAATAATAAGCCCGACTATCTACAGTTATTGACAATCTATTTAAAAATGTATATTACTTACTAGTGATATCCTCAAAAACAACATACACTAAAATGAATACAATAATAAAACTTTAATTTACTTACAGATGAGTTTTGTAAGAAAATGTCACTGATATCGTATCAGTAGTCAGTGTTGGTTTTGGATCTATCTATTCGAAAACGTTTTTGACCATTCAATTACTGAATCAGTTTTTTAAAACTTTATCTTCAGATTCATATTCAAAGTGTAGAAGTTTAAAATTTTAGGAATTAGTAAATCATCCATACGTTTCATGCTCGGTCATATCAAATCTTTCTATGACTGAGCACAGATTCAGTGTCTGTTGAGTAGTAATATTGTAGTGTGTGTTGCTAATGTCGATAGATATAAGTAGTATGTGTCACCAATCGGAAGTGGAATGTCTGGAGGTAGAAGGTTGAGAAAATCAAAGAGAACAGAACGAGAACAGAGAGTGATTGGTATGGGAAAGAAGTAATAATCGAGTCTGAGATAACCGATTGAAATTTTGCAAACGAAGTATTTTCTGTTTGGTTCTCAGATTATACTAAGATATTCTGTAAATTTGTAGTCGAATACATTAGTTTGTCCCCATTTGTGTTCTCGTTCACTACAGTATTGGTATTAGCAGTACCAGTATTCGTGTAAAGAGATCTTCTAAATTATGTTATTCTCTGATCATGTAATCTACATTATTATGATAAATAGATTGACTATCGACTATTTGGATCATTAAATGTCTACTTTGAATATGAATTTTACGTTTCATGCCTATTTTTCTGTTTTAAAGCCAACTGAACATTTCAAATATCCACCAACTGAAGAGATTGTTGCTAAGGATGTTACAAAGACAAATGAGAAAAGTTCAGATCATCTAAGTATGTCAACTAGTCAACAACGGTCGAATTTTCTTCATTGGCCATCCAATAATCATATTCATAGCAGTAATAATAATCATAATAGTCACTATTCCAAACTGTCCAAATCCCCATCATCACTTCATTATTCAAATGATAATAATCGATTATTAGAAAGTTATTTAAATCAAACTATTGGATCATCATTACTATCAACAGAAATCAATACAGATCGGATACAATCAAGAAAAAGTTTTGATAAAATTCCTGAAGGTAAAGATTAGTATATTAGTGATCATAATAAATTGTAATTTATTATTCTATGCATGATTTCTCAGTTACATTATTGATGACATTCGATAAAAGTAAAACATAAGGCTGAATGGCGAGACTATAATTTATGGACGAGCCAATCAGAAGCGTTTGAGGGGTTTCAAGGTCACGGCGCCAATTTCAGTACCTGATGCTCATGTACGATTGGTTCACAGAGAATTTTAGAGAAGATGTGACAATTAAGCGACTACAACTCATAAAACTACTAAGAAGTTCCTATATTTGTAATTGCGGGAATTAAATGACTCGTAGACCTTGTGCAGACTACCGTGATGTTGTCCTTCGATGTAATATATGTTGAAGGAAGACGTTTGCTAGAATAAGAACCTTTATCGCTCGATCCAGATTAAGACTAAGGCATATTATAATAATTGCCGCAAACTATATCATAAAAGCATCAGTAACACCGGTTGCAATGATCACAGATGTTGCTGAAGCATCGGCTGTTCAGTGGTATGAGTATTGTAGGGACATATCCATAATAAAAATGATAAACTTACACAACCGTAGTGCACACAAACAATAATGAAACTATGTGGTCGAGGCTGAGAGGGTTTTTATGACCTTATCATGGTTCCAGAGACCAACTATTGAGTCATATGGATGGTTTCCTCTACCTTATGCATTACGATTTCGGAACTCTTTGAATCTTTTTCTAACCTTGACAAGTTTTTGGACCATGAAAAGGAAGTGTCTCCACTCTAATTCTTTGGTTTTGTTATAATACATTTTACTCTATACTAACTTTCCTTTCCTTTCTCAAAGTCATTTAAGATTCGTTCGCAGGTCGTTCATAAATTATAGTCACGCCTTAAGATGAGTAGTAAAAATACCTTTGTATCTACATCATTCCAAGATCATAATTGTAAATCCTCAATCCTCCAATAAATTTCAACCTCATGGCATCCATATTACTAATTAAATAATCCTAACAACAACCAAGACAAATATAGGCAGTCCTAGAAACTCATTCAACTTCTTATATGGATACAAGAAGATGGATAATTTATATCCATATTGCAGAATTTATACATCCTTGTTCTTTCATTTTACATGACGATCAACTTGTAGAATACTTTAACAGATATGTTATGAAATACTAGTGTTTTCTTTTCCATGAACTATCCATTTACAGAAGGTAATTTCTGATTGATTATGAAGTGACTAAAAATTGATCAGGATTGACATAATTTCGTTCTCATATTAGACTCTTGTTAGATGAGTGAAGTGAAGTCATAACAAAAAAATAAGGAACTTATTATACAATAATGTGAATCGTGATGACATTATTGTTTTGTGGTGAAACATACCTGATCAAGATGAGCTCAGTGGTCTATCGGTTAAATGCTCTGGCGCGAGACTGGGTTCGAATCTCTCGAGGCGGTATCATGGATTCGCACTGCTGAGGAGTCCAACAATAGGACGAAACGGCCATCCGGTGCTTCCAGGTTTTCCATGGTGGTCTATCTTCAATTGACTCATGATCTCAACTATATAAAATTATTAAAATCTCCACAAAATCCCTCCTGTACTCAAAGTGTTGATTACGTGGAAAATGACATGTACATTTGAAGATTATCTTAAGCAAAATTTGAAAGTCGACAGTTTACGATAGTCTTACTACCAAATTATTCTCATTTTATTTTTCATTTAGATAATATACAACAACAAGTACCATTAGAAAGTCAAAAACAATCAAAAGATACTACTGAATTACATCATAATAGTACTTCAAACATACAAACATGTAATAAACAATCTACAGTAATACTGAAATCTTCTTCATTATCAATCAATAATAATATTAATAATAATAATACAACCAAATACTATCCAGTTGCTGACAGTTTAGATTTAGCTACACGTTTGACTGTTTTAAAAAAATCACCAAAATCATTTACTGCATGTCAATCATTAGCTAAACATACAATGATTGCAGCATTGAATTGCTCCGGAGCTTTTGCTCATTTAAAAACAACACCAATAACAACAACAACAACACAATATCAAACTCAACAGCTATCAAATGATAATAATACTACTCAATTGAAATATTTAGATAATGATATAGAATATAAAAATATTATCATCCGATCATCTCCATCAAGTCCTAAAAAGTATTCCACAGAGATTTCTTCAGATATCAAAGTAAGTGTTGTTGTTTGTCTTTTGTTGTTGCCCTATATTGATTAGGTAAATTTCAGTTCAATCATTGGATTAACCACAGTTTCTCACAATTGATTGATCACTGGATGGTGATCAATTTCATGCGTATCGAGTCCTTCTTAGTGTTGATCGAATGCTATCGATCAAGTTGCAACCACAATTTATATACTAAATACTTATCTAATTTTTGATGAAGTTTTGTTCTTTGAGCTGTATGGTTCGGTCGTGGAGCTTTCATCAACCTTCTGAATGACATCATTAGCGCAAAGTTTGTGTAGAGAATAAAACTTCATCAAAATAATCCACCTGAGCTACAAATCATATGAGCGTAGTACGCTTCTCGTTGTTCGAAAATGGGAGAATTTTGCGAAAAGGCAAGCTTCCACTGGAGAACAATTATATTTTCTCCACTTATTTAATAGGCGATTTATTTAACAGGGGAAATGATAAGTTATCATTTGTGTAAATGTGAGTAATAGACATTACTGCATTATGTATACATTTTGATAGATCAGGATTTTTAAATGTATGCCTCTCATATAACTTTGCTATGAGGCTATTCAGTCGATGTCTGATTGAGTAACTGACCAAACATGAACTGTAAGAGGAGGATGTGTAAACGTTTGCAAAACCTGTCTATAAATGATTTGACAATAATAATAAGATGTATGCTCAGACTGATGGTAAGACTACAATTTATAGACGAACCAATCAGATATAAGATAATAAATCTTGGATTTTGGAGCGAAATTCATTCATACATTTGGCTAAATAGCGTTTCGGCATTATAACTGATGTCAGTTCGTGATGAAAACCATAAACCTAATTCCTAAACGTAACAATCAACTATGAATCATAATTCTGATTCCTTACACTGGTTTATAACCTTCATTTAGTTCTAGTTAGTAGGCGGACATTCCCAAGGTCACTTTAATGTCGCTCAAAGGTTGTCCATAATCTAAAGTTTCACCAGAGTGATTTGATTTAGTGTGAATAGTTCTTTGATGTTAAGATGAAAAAAACAGACCATAAAAAATTTTTTAAAAATTTCACAAGCCTCGTAAAAACTTTGTGCAAAAATGAATTTTAGCATTCTGATTCAGAAAGGAAGACTTTTTATGTGATCAGTTCGTACTTGTATTTGGTTAGTAAGTGATTTAAAAACCTTATTTATCGCCTTCAGTTCGTTCGGAATTAAGAGCACAGTGTATTTGTTATCAACCATTTGCTTTTGTTTAATTGTGGGTTTTTGTGGAAATCAATTTATCAATGATAGTCAACAATGATCACAAACCTCTGTATAGATAATTATCATATACTTACTAATGACTAATTCGGAGAGAAAACTTTAGGATTCTTATGAAAAGCTGTGACCATTGGAGTTTAAAAATGTTGGATATAAGGCAGTTATTCGCTATAAACAATGAAAACTGTCGTGGAATATTTTGAATTGATTGAAATTTGACATACGTCGGTGGATTCTTGCTGATTGGTCTCAAGGTTATGAGTATTAAGTTCGATTCCTGGTGGAGTCATGAATTCTCACTTCTGGGAACTCTCATATTTAGATAAAATGTTTTTCGAGTTCTTTCTGAAATTCCAACAACTATTTTTTTTACAAAACATTTGATGTCTGAAATAAGTCATCCATCATTCCCCAAGATCTTCAGCTTAGATACTGTAACAGCTCCTGTGTTTTCCAGTATCATTGTATGATAAGATCAGTCAGTTCACTGGTAAAGTATACTTAAGTTAACCAATGATATCTTTCCATTGTTATTCTGACTCTTAATCATAATATATCATACTAATAGAATGCAAAACAATGTGTGAATATTCGTGGTGCCTCTGAAGAAAGCGAGAACATCGATATGGATTCATTCAAAACTGTCAAAAATGTTTCTGCGAAATCCGCCGGTGTTTTAGAAGCTTCAACAAATGCTAAACAATCAATTCAAAACCAATACAAACAGGCTGGAATAGTCAATTTGAATCAAACAACAAATGAACCGGTGGGTCGATATTTTGATTTGTTTATTCATCACTACTTTAGTGTTTAATAATTCATTAGATTATAAGTATTATGAATGTATTTTCTTAATACAGAATGATGGACATTTAATTAGGAAAGTAGTTTAGGTAATGTTGTTACATATTGTCATTATTTAGCTACTGGCTTGTAGTAGTGACCGAGTTTGAATGTTATGATGATCCAATCTAGCTGTATTGTCTAGAACACTTAATCTTCTAAGTGCTATCGTGACAGCCAGGTTCATTTCAAGGCAATAACACTAAGAGCAACAAACTTAAGGTCTGAGGGAAAGGTAGTACTACCTAATGCATGGGAATGTGGTAACAGAAAGGTATTGTCCTTAGACATTCATCATTTGATTTCCAACAGAGAATGGAATGGATTCGAAATGGTAAGTACTAAAAATATTGCACATCACACGACAAACAGCAAGCGCTGTATAAACGGTCTAAAATACCACGTTTTTGTGACTACTGATAGAAAACTATAGCTACAGTCCTTAGAAATCTGGTTTCCCGGTCAGGATTTGACTCTATATCACTCATAGTTGATTAGCGGTATTACTGTAGTGAATGGGGACACAAGTGAGGATAACCTATTATATTTTTGTACGAAATTACAAAGTTACTTGGTAGAATGTAAAAACCATACTCAAATACATCATTTACAAAATCTTCATCAATTGTCTCAGACTTCATTGTTCCTTCATTTCCATACCAATTACTTTCTGTTCTCGTTCTTCCCTCTTCGATCTTCTCAACCTTCTGCTGCCAGGTATTCTATTCCTGATTGGCGTTATATAGTATATATGTGGACATAAGTAGCGCACACTACATTACTAGTGTGCTATTCAGTCAAAGACTGAGATTTTTACACTGAATGGTTATTAAATACTAAGCACTGACATGGAATTCAATCAGGATTAAGTAATAAACAAAATGATATTGATGAAGTTTTGTTTCTGATCTGGATGCTTTGATCGTGGAACTTTCATCGTCCCTCTGAACGACATCATCAGCACAAACTCCAAGAGCGAACCATCAAGCTCAGAAAACAAAACTCCATCAAAATCATCCGCCTGAGCTACAAATCTTCTCCACCATCTCAAAATGATATTGGGTAATGTCAAACAATAGATAACGGTAAATGGAAGGTGTTTACACTGGCTAGATCATTTCTCATTTCAAATCTTGTTAGTATTTATAATATTGTAGATTTTGTTCTTCCAAAGTATACTGAGAAGAAAAGATTGGACATTAAAACTGTTACATACATGCCAAAGTATTTTTATATTATTATGAGAAAGAGTTTTGTGATCTGATATATTCATAGTTGAAAGCGTGAGTCAATTGAAGCTAGATCACCATCGAAAACCTGGAAGCACTGGACGGCCGTTTCGTCTTATTATGGGACTCCTCAGCAGTGCGCATCCACGATCCCGCACCCACGAGATTCGAACCCAGGACCTACCAGTCTCGAGCCGAAGCCCTTAACCGATAGACCACTTAGCCGTTATCCAGTGGTGTTCATGTCTAACTCCAACCAATCCACGAAGTTGAGCAACCGTTCACCAATTGTCTTCAGTGAGTTGATATCTCACAACAGACGTGGTTTGAACTCCAATGATCACTGCTTCTCACTAGAACTCCTGGATTTACCTCTCGAAGTCAGCCACTAGTGAACGTATGATTATTTTTATTATGAGAAGCGGTTGTATATGAAAATAATGGAAGATAAATTAAATGTAGAACGAAGAGAGGGATGATAATAATCATGAACAAAGTAAAACGTTGTCATATTACCCTGGAAACAAAAATAGATTAATTATTCCTAGGCCAGGTTCATATGTACTTATAAATCTGATATTTAAATAATGCACATATGAATTAGAATAAATCTGTATCTATAGGAATGAAACATGACCTTGGGAAACAGGAAGATAAGTAGGTAATAACAACCAATCCGAAATCAAGAAACAACATAGATAAGTACGAATTAGAAAACATATTACTGAGATTATGTCTACGGGAATGAAATTACAATTTATTGACAAATCTATAATCATATGCACACTAGTGACTGACTTCAAGAGATATTTCCTTGAGTTCTAGTGGGAAGCAGTGACCAGTGCAGTTCTACCAAGTCTATTGTGGAGATATCAACTCACTGAAGACAATTAGCGAACGGTTGCTCAGACATCGTGGATTGATTGAAGTTTAACATTAACACCGTTGGAAGCCAGCCCAGTGGTCTATCGGTTAGGTGTCTCGGGTTCGAATCTCGCGAGTGCTGGATCGTGGATGCTCACTGCTTAGGAATCTCACAATAGGACTAAACGGCCGTCCAGTGATCCGAGGTTTTCCCTGGTGGTCTATCTTCAATTGACACATGATTTCAACTATGAAGAAAAGACAGACAAATTCACATCTTAGTGTTGTGAATGAGAACACATGTAAGGACAATCAATGTATTTTTCATACAGAATTGCAGAATATTTTGGTAAAATATGAGAACCATATGCTGAATACTTTATTTGCCCATTTCCATCATTTGTCTTTCACATTCTGTATGATTCTTTAACTTCGTAATTCCTTTCTATTTTCCCTTCGATTCTCTTCAACTTGATCTACTTAACCTTATGCTGCCATGTTTTATCACTCCCAAATGGTGTTACATACTACTTAAGTCGATAGACATAAATAGCATACACTACACTAACACATATCAATACAAGCTTCTATTTCCCTGATAATCAAGCTGTTTTTAACTTATTCTCTATTGGTTCACATTAACGATAAAGTCTCATTTAATCAGACGTGAGTTCATGGTGAATTCCGAATCAAAATTAATTTTCTCCATGTTTCAATGTAATGACTATTGGAATTGAATTGTGTGGAAATACCCTTTTTTGTTTTCAGCGTCAAACTATTCGAAAGATCAAAGGAAAAGAAATGGATCATTTAGATGAAAATAAACCATCCTTAGAAACAATAAATTCATTATCATCAAGTAATATTCAACGAATTTCAGATATAATTTTAAAAGATAGAAATGATTCACTTATTCCACAACATTTAGGAATTAATGATTGTGCTAGAGGATCCGTAGTATCATGTAAGTTTATTCCCAACTCTGTAATACTTTTACTATGTGAAATCAAACGGATTGTGTTTTCATCGTTTAAATCATGAGTCAATTAAAGATAGACAACCTTCGAAAACGTGGAAGCACTGGATGGCCGTTTCGTCCTATTGTGGTACTTTTCAGCAGTGCGCATCCACGATCCCGCCTCGTGAGATTCAAACCCAGGACCTATCAGTCTCGTGCGTGAGCGCTTAACCACTAGATCACTGAGTCGGCCGGCATCCAACGGTGTTAATGTCTAACTCCAACCAATCCACGAAGTTTAAACAACCGTTCACCAGTATTTCCAGATTTTCCATGTTAGTCTAGCTTCAATTGACTCATGATTTCAACTATGAAAATACTGAAATCTCCGAAAAACCCCTTCCAATGGATTGTATTTAACAGTGTATGCCTTGTCCTATTTGGGACTCATCAACTGAATGCACCTGCATTCTAGTTTTAATGTTCACATTTGAACTCAAACCCATTACTATCAAGTTCAAATGCTACAAGGTTAAGCACCGAGTCCAAAAAGTCAGTTTCTTGCCAAACATTTATGATATTCATATCATTATTAGTTATTATTTGAACGATTTAGTTATTGATACTTAAAACTGAATAGCTCAGTGGTAACGTCTCTGACAGTGAAGCTGAGTGTCACGGGATCGAATCCGTCGGGGAGATTCAGTTTCCTCAAGATTACAGGTACACTGCACTGACGAGTACCAAATGAAACGAAACCCGGGTCTAGGGTTTCCTGTTGACTACCTCCAACCACAATTTAATATTTAGGACTGAATCTCTACCAGTCTTTAGTGAATAAGATTGATTTATTTAATTTATCTTCATCCCACAATAGAGATGATAAAACATTTTGCATCAAAAACCGATTAAAAATGTATATTAGGGACTTCAATTCAGTACTAACCGGCTGTTTGATAAACGTTGACCGAATTATATGGAATAATGTCTTCCAATTTTTTTCCTGCAGTATTGAAGTCTATAAAATTGTTATGACTTGACCTAGCCGTCGCCAATTTGTTATGTTTTTGACCTAGGCGGTAGCCAATTGTTATGACTTGATCAGGGTCGTCGCTGATTCGTTATGACCTTACGAATTTAACAAGGACGTAATTCGCGTAAATTATCCACCAATAGAATACGACTTCTGCGACCTTCACACTGTGACAATGACGTTCGATTAGTATTAGTAATCTAGCGTCCTTATTGGCCCTTATCCTCCTAACCCGTCCACTTGAGTCCAGAACACCAATAGCAGCTTCGGCAATACGAATCGTTTATTTCAAGCATACTTTGTTTATATATCAGACAGACAGGCCACATCATACCATAAAATAGAAAATAATATTTGTACAAATGAGGCCAAATGAGTCTGTAAACGTGGGAGACAATAATCAATAAAACTGAGTATAACATAGGGACAGTAAATCATATGGTAATAATCAATAGATCAAAATGAAGCTTACAATAAGATGAATATAGATATAGATAATCTAGTTACCGAATAGTTATACAATAAGAATGATAGTCCAATAGTAGGTCCTGCAAGTTACCCGTACTAATGTCTTCGCTACTACATAACAAAAATGTTTACATTTATGATCATTGTGTAGAAACTAATTAAAACTTGGCTAGAGGAACATTTTAAACACAGGAACCATGTACTCAAACTCGTCATATAAGTGCCCGCTTATTTTCAGAAGCATTTTAAGGAATTCTATTGTTAAGCTGTAACTAGTTGAGTTCATCCATGTTGGAAGTGAAACAGTCACTCATCAATAGTATTACAAAAATGATTGCACCATATCGTGCGTTGAATGTGTTATATCGATTGAGTGCGTTCTTGCCCAGTTGATATATATGTACGTGATAATCCTCGCCAATCAGAACGGAATGAATTATCGATCAGAGATATGATACACAAAAACCGTATGAGCAGTCTTAAGTACTTATCATACCTGCTTTCTGTCTAGCCCAGTCAGTTAAATCCAAAACACCAATAATAGCCTCTACAATATGAATCATTATTCTCAAACATACTGGGTTTGTATACCAATCAAAATGACCACATCGTACCATAAAATAGAAAATACACATTTGTACAAGAATTGACCAAATGTGACTGTGAATAGGGGAAACAGTAATTAATGGACTAGGGATAACTCAAGAATGGTAAATTGTGTAATAATAGTCTACAGGTCAAAATAAAGCTTCCAATAAGGAGGACAGGATTATGAATAGTTTAGTTACTTAACAATTATACAATAGGAAATATACATATCATATTGGTCTATAAATAATCCTCAAAAGTTACGATTCAGAATTCTCCACGGGATATAACAGAATAAAGTAAAATTTTGAACTATTGTACCCCAATTCAATGGTTTAAAAGTCAAACGTTACCACGAGACCAGAATGTCCTGGGTTCGGTTTGTGATGAAGTAATGGATATGTATTACTGAAGAGTCTCAAACTAGGACGAAACAGCCATACTGTGCCTCCATCGTTTTCAACAATCATCTGTCACAGATCAATGTGTGATGTGAACTATAAATAATAGAAATAATCAACTAACTATTGTCGGGTCTGCAAGCAAAGATGGACAGTGGCTAGCAGTGGAATCCAGGACGCGCGTTTCGTCCTATTTGGGACTCGTCAGCTGGATGCACCTGCATCTAAGAGTTGATGTTCACTTGATGGGAAGATTTAAACAAACAATACTAAATGAATTTATTGTCGGATCTGTTGCAATTTATCAAATAGTTATATATCAAGGAATGCCTAAATCATATCAACTCATAAGCCAATCCAACATTCAGATAAGTTAATAAATTAAGGTGGCTTAAAGCAATTCGCTGACAACCGATACACTAAAAAGCAAACATCTTTTAAATTTCAATATCCATATGGATATTGGTGTCAAAATTTTCTGATTTATATAGTATTATATTTCTTTTAAAACAAAAAAATCTTTTCATAGGGTCAGGAGTTTCAAATGTATCAAAACCTAAACGTCCATCAGTGTTCTCATGCCCTGAAGCAGAAATTGAATCACCAAGATCAAGTGTTGTAAATCCATCCCTTTGTGAATTAGCTTCTAATAAACGAACTCGACCAGGAGCAGTGGTTACTTCTTCTAGAAGATCAAAACGACGGTAAATGACGGTTATTGGTCTATAAATATTATTTCAAAGTATTTAACTAATAAGTCTCACTTTCGTTTCAGTTGAAGAGTAGTCTTTCTCAAAGGACCACTAATTACTTAGTTTTTTTAAAAAAAATTTTATTGTTTAATGGTAGTTCTGATATTCAAGTGGAGTTTCAGTAACTTATTTCCAATTTATTTCAATGCACTGACCTTTTCTATCTTCTGATTGGTTGTTTTCATCCTTAGTCTGTTAACGTTTTGTATCCGAAGGTCAAAGTTATCACCTCCGCCTCGCCGGAGCTGGTGGGTTATCACCATGTATATACACAGAGATATTTTATCACCATTTCAATTTAGAATATCAAGCTTTTTTCTTAGAATTCCTGACTTCTCTCTCTTCAATCTCGTAAAATACTATTGTTGGTGCGTTATGTATTAGTCTTCCAGTCTATCTAGTTAGCACTCGTTTTGCACTACAAGAATCTCATAATCGTTTGTAGTTCATAGTCTTAAAATTGAACAAATTCACAGACAATTAATTTGCTGTTAAAACGTAGTTATCACCATGAACTAGTTTGAAGCATAGACTTATTAAAAACTGTCCAATGTTTCATTGGTTTTAGGTAGTTTGTTCATGATGAGAACTCTCTTCAAACTAAACAACTTCAGAAAATCTCGTATCTTATCAATAATCATATGACAAGCTTTCCAAAGATCTAGGTAGTAGCCCTGAAGACGCAGGGAAACATTTTACCTAATCTGCATTGAATAGAAGTATTTCAGATACATATTAATAGTGAGAAGTTATGTGTCACATTTCCTGGTACTATATTTTGTATGGTTGAAGAAATTTCCAGAAGCACAAGATCATCTGGAATACTATAAATACCGTCGACTTGCTGTACATAAACTAACTTTGGAGTAAAGCGTTTTTTCACACTTTGCACCTATTCTCTCGTGTTCAAGTTACTGAGTAGATTTAGCCTAGGATTATTAGAAGAGCTTTTGAAACTGATTCAAGCATTCAGTCAAAAGGCTTGTCAAAATCCTAATCCTATTTTTTGGTGCTAATTTATAAACTTCTTTAGGTCGTGGTAGGTTGGCGAGTTGTTCCATGGTCATCTTGGAGCCACTCAAAGGTACTCCATAGATTATGGTGTCACCATTATTTCTATATTCAAATTACTTAGTCATTATTGGAAATTTGAAAGCTTAGTATTATAAGTTTGGTTGTTTTTCTTCTTGTAGATCGAGTAACACAGCAGCTGCTCAAGCATTTGCAGTCGCAACAGCAGGTAGTGCTAATCCTCTAGCTGCAGTTGGAATTATGGGTTTAGGACCGAATCTCTTTCGTTCCGGTGGTTATCGTTTCACTGCTGGTACAGCGACTTCTGTAGCTTCACAAACTGGTCTAAGATTAGGTCTAACTCCTCATTCCAATCCTTCTATTGGTAACATTACTAATAATAGTAATAGTCCGATTATCAATAGTGGTAGTAATAGTAGTAATAATATCATGTCTCCAGTTTTCATAAATCGTTCACAAGTTCAAAATACTTCTGGCTATACTTATCCATTATCTCCTGGTATTTCTAATAAAGTAATATCACCAACAACCATAGGAACAAATGGGACAGTAGTAGCAACAACAATAATGACTTCATCCATGGTATTAACAACACCGACATCAAATACTACATTTCGTTTAAATTTAAATAGAAGTGGATTGAATATAATTACAACATCAACTCCAGGAACAATAACCAATACTAATTCAACATCAAATAATAATACATTCAATTTTCATCCATATAATTTAACTAGTCCAACTTTAATACAATCATCATGTCTTGGTGTTGGAACCAATACAGGACATTGTACAAATCAAGCAAAACGAAATACAATGTTAGCAACAGCATCATGTTTACGTGTATTGAATGTTGTAAGACATTGGATAACTAAATTTCCAGATGTGAGTTAACATGACTTTTATTATTATTATTATTATTATTATTATTATTATTATTATTATTATTGTAGTCAGTCATTGATGAAGATTAGTAGTATTGTAGTGAACAGAACACTAGTTGGGACAATCGAATGTATTTAAGCAAAGATTACAGACTATCTCAGTAAATTCTGATAACCAAACAATGAACAGTCAATTTGCAAATTAACAACCAATTGTTTCAATCTTCACTGTTTCTTCTCTAATTCCACTGCTCATGCATTTTCCAAACGATTGCGCTTCATTTCAGTTCTTTGCTCATCGGTCTTCTGCCAAAATACATTCTATGTCTGACCCACACCATATACTACTTATATGGATATAAGTAGACCACACCACAGTATATGAGGGGAGAAGTATTTATTTATTTATTTGAAGACCTAAATATAGGTACAAAGGGGCACCAGATGTATATGCGCCACACGAAAAATTGTCATTTCATTTAATTGTGTGAGGGCTATGATACTCTCCAGGTGCCCAGACCGAAGCAAGTGGTTTTCTTAGGGGGCCACATCCGGAGTCTTCGACTTAAAGGTCTGATCCACAAGGTAGTGGAGCATTGTGAGGAGATGCAGTCCCATGGTAGCCGTTGACCAAAGATTGATTCATACGTCATTTGTTACTTCAGGATACTGCAACCCATGTACACCATTGGTTTGGAATCAGGGTTTTCCAACTACCCTAGGTGGACGCGCCGGACATTTGCTTTTCGTCCTCTCAATTTCGTAAACAACAGTAGTGACACGAGAAGGAAGTGAGTAAGACTTCCTTGACAGAGGCTATATACGCGTGACCATCTGAGAGCATTTCGAGAGAGAGAGAGAGCGGACTCTCCCTACTCTCAGGCGTACCAAAATAAATGAAAATTAATTAACTCATTCTTCAGGTACTTTAGTAAAATTTACATTCTAAATGTGAGAGCTAATGATACTAAACGGTTACTCAAATCGAATTAGGTGAAGCTTGACTGAAATCTGTGATTTTGTGGCTAGAAGTTAAACATCTTAACCATTAAACCATAACGGTAAGGTACAACTGATTCATGATTATTGTTTATCAGATCTACTGAGTGGATTTTACATCAATATAAAGTATAACTAACCGGAAAATAGGATTTTTCGCTAGTAAAATCCTTTAACAAAAAATGGGATAGAAGGGAGTGAGTTATGCTGGTTATTTATTCTCCAATATCGTTAACTCTGACTATCAGATGTTATTCTTATCCTTGATATCAATAACGGAATATTTACTTTTATTTACATATAATATGTATAAATGCATTTCGTATTGTTTGTTTGAATCTTCCCATCGATGTGTTAGGACTGCGACTGGTCAGTTTCTATGTGCATACTGTGTGTATCGCCTCGATATAGCCTTATTTCACAAGCATTATAAGTAAAGATTGATAGTGGCTAGTAGTGGAATCCAGGACGCGCGTTTCCTCCAATTTGGGACTCGTCAGTTGGATGTACCTGACATTTGTTGATGTGTACTCTGAGACTCAAACCCAGTACCTTCAGTTAGAGAACAGTTGAAAACCAAGAAACACTAGAAAGCTTGTTTTTTATTGATGTGTGGTAGTGAAAGTACAATATGATTAATCGTTGAGTAAGGACAAACAGGTACTTAGCCTACTGATTAATAAATATGTGATTTCTTTTCCTCTTGTTGATTTCTATTCTGGGTTCATTGATAGTGATTAAAGTATTCTTTAGTCTGGACTCCAGTTCTCTGTTCTGGGTCATGTATTGTGAATCTGATAGAACGTGACTAGTTTCATTATCGTATTACCGTATTGTCTTATTATATTAGAGTGAAAGAAATATATTTCAAACTATTCGTTATAGTACAGAAATACCTTAAAAGTGATTATCTACGACTAAATCAGGGATCAAATTGAGAAACTTTAGCCTTTAATTGGTGCTTCTAACCTTAAAATATTTGAGTTATGACTTTGTAGTTCACATATACATTTTCAGTTAAGCCGTGGTGATACACTATCACCATCCATTATGATTGGTAATATTTGTATCCTACGGAACATAGATGAAATTGACTGAACTCAACTTCTCACTGGAACTCTATGAAATACTGTATAAAATGACTGGATTTTTAAAGGCAGATACACTAATAAGTCGTTCATTATAGTTCTCTAGTCAATAATTTTTGGCATGGTAATTATTGTGACGGGTGTTATCCAAAATGTGATACCGATATATTATGTGCTACGCACTAGAGCCCCAACTGACTACTTAACCGAGAATACAAGAGTAAGTAAGAAAGTGTATTGAATTATCGAATAAAATGTGCAAATAACTCATTCATAGGAAATTGATCTACCTCTTAGCGAATGAAATGCACTTATCCTTTAGGTCACTTCTGACTGTTACTGTTGACCTTCTCATTAGGCTACTTATGATTAGCTATCCATATCAGTGATCTGAATATATAAAGTGACCTGAATAAGACATCAGATGCATTACTAATATCATTAAATAATTGAACGAATCACATGGGAAGTCTATTTTTGTTTTGGAGAATGCTTAAAATTTATACAATAAGTATATTTTAAAAAATTGGTATAGGGGACCTACTTGTTAATTTTTATTAAATGTTCGAGTTATGCATAGATACCCCAAAACCAGAGGACAAGTTTTGTCTAAAAGTATAGTACACCTTCGTAGAATAATAACAATAGTAAGTTTTGAAGAACTTTAAATCATCACCTGATAAGTCGTCAACTTTGTAATCAAAATCATGAACAGAATAGAAGATCTTTTATCAAGCAAATAAGTAAACAAACACGGTAAGCAAGACATGAATGTATCAAGAGGAACCTGTTGATTCCAGATGCAAACTAGTTGAGTCAGTCAGTCAACTTTTACTAATCATTGGGATGATTGATGTAATTTTTAATAAGACGTTTTATTCAATAATTGTGATTTCTTTCAAGATTAAAAATGAATTTCATATCATTTCATTTATCATGTTTTTTTTTACATGTAGGATTTTGAAAGTGATCCAGTTTTAAAACGAGAAATGCTAACACTATTAGATACTTTAATCACTTGTCCTCATTTAATGCCTAATGATCAAAAAGTAGTTAATCAATTATTACTTCAAATGATTTCAGATCAATTAGTACAAGATAGAATTGATCTTGATAGTATATTAACTCCAAGACAAGTAAGTCAATATTGTTTTAAATTTTAATTAATCAAGTTTTTTAAACTTTGATGTCTAAACTATTTTAGCAAATAAAATTTACCTACTTATAAGTAGTTGAGTGTGAGTAACTAAAACAAAACATTTTAGCATCATATGAACTTAAAAAAAGGATGTTCCTACTCTTCTCGATACCAATTTCTGTACTTTACCAAAGGATAACTAACTTTGTACACAAAACAAGGACATTGGCTGAGGGATCTTCTTTAATGGGTTTATCATCTGCATAAACTCTTTGATCAATAAAACATTGTGTATTAAAATATTTAATTTAAGTAAATACTAACTTACAAGTACAGATTTTTTAAACAATATATTTGTGTTATATCCTAGCAAAGACATAAGTACAGTTAACTTCCAGGAGCTATTAATGAACTATTATTCTATATATTTTTTTATTGCGTAACTATTGAATAATTAGATTGTGTATATTCATATTCATCCTATTATAAGCTTCATTTTGACCTATGGATTATTATTATACGAATTACTGTTCCTAAATTATATTCAGTTTATTGATTATTATCTCCCACGTTCACAACGACATTTGGCTTGATCTTGTACAAATATCATTTTCTATTTTATGGTGTGATGTGGTCTGTCTATCTGATATATAAACCGAATACGCTTGAAATGAATGGTTCGCATGGCAGAAGCTATAATTGGTGTTTTTAGACTCAAGTGGAAGGGATATGTGGATAAAGGACCAATAAGGACGCTAGACTGCTCGTACTCGTCGAAGGTCATTGTTTTGGCATAATGCTAAGATTAGACAAGTCGTATTCCCATTGGTGGATAATTCACATAATGAAAATCCGGGCATATGTTCACAACAAATTGGCCAATGGTCTTTTGTTTTTATAAATTCATAACACATAAGTTAGTGACTTTAAGAAATAGTATCACGTTTTGATTTGGTCGCCTCTAGCGTTCTTCCAACCATCCACAACACTAGTGATCATTGGGCGTTGTGGTAATCAATGTTCAGGCATACGTAACACATGGTTCAACCATTTTAGTTGATGAAGATATACAACCTCAACAACTGATATACCATCATTACCTAATACCCAGTGCCTACAGTCTTTCTATTTTTTAAATTCATAACAATTTGCTTTTAAAAGATTGATTATCAGTAGTATATTGTTATTTTATTTTATTTTTGGCTTAAACTAATAATCATAGATTCCATCAGAGAAAAATTTTGATCAATTATCTGCATTGGATATTTCGGAACAATTAACTTTTTTAGATTTTCAAATATTTCGATCAATACGTAGCGAGTAAGTTCCATTTTGTTTCCAAATTGATTCTTGAAACTTCTATTCCATAAATCTTTTTAATTAAATAATAGAAATAACTTATAATGAGTTGTCATGTAGTTATGATATCTGTTAAGGGATTACTACCCCTAACTCCGAGTCTGGAAAGTTGGAAAAATGAAAATTTCGCAAATGAGATAAAAAGTGATCTTGGTGGTCTTGTATCAGTATTCCGACACCAGACAATGGGTTTCAAGCGCTTCAGGCTGGACTGTTTTGCTTACTACCCTTCATATGTGTTGTATGAAGTGTAAGCTGTATGACCATGTAGAACTGAAGGTCTTATGTGAGATTGGAGGATTGCCATTGACATTGTGGATGGTTTGGCATTACTTTGGCAAGTTTTACTGAATGTTCATTCTCAAGATCGATTTGTTGGTTAACCAATTTGATTCTTACTGGTGGTTGTTTTTTAGTGTTCTCAAGAGCTATTGTCATTGGAATATTGTAAAGCATGTCGCCATTGCTAACAATAATGAGTTTGACTGTCGTGTAAGCGGAATGGGTCAACTTTAGCCTGTTCATGCTGTGCATATTTCATTTACGCGATCACTGATCGGAATAATTATACATGTGATGTGGATGTGTGTAGGAATGGTGCGAATGGTCCACTAGGGTATTTGGTACGTGTGTGGTTGCGCCACAGGATTGAGCTGTACTATTCAGATTGCAGCGCTGGAGCCTGTATAGTGTAAGGTCCTCCTGTGAGGCGGGATTGAGTTGTACTGTTTGGGTTGTCACGTGAAAGTCTGGATGGTGTCTAAGTTCACCTGAAAACCAATACAAAATTACCCTGGCCCACAAGGGTATATTATATAACTGTGAAATGTAGGATATCTGTTTGGATTTATTTACTTTAAAAAATAATTCACAACATGAAAAATGACATCAGTTCAAGTAAAGTTAAAAACTTAGAAGCACTGAACAGTTCTTTGGTCTTGGGTTTAAGGATTATTTAATAATTTGGAATTGGCACTCCATAAAAGATTGAATTAAATGTATTCAGATCTTTAGGCTAACAGAACACTACTAAACTGTTAATTTGGAATACGGTAGTCTACAAAGTTCCTGATACAGTTTGATTGATATACGGAGCAAACAAAACCAATCATGAGATGGCTCCATGTTTCATGATTAACAAAATATAAGTATAGACTATTTATTGTAAGTGGTTTAGTCCCTTATCTAATGTCACTATCCATATATCCATGTTAAGATCAGTCAGTTTATATAGAAACATACATAATACGTAAGTATATTTATTCGCGTATATAGCCTCTGCCAGGGACGTCCTACTCACTGCCTTCTCGTGGCGTGGGTGTTGTTATATGTCAGAGTATTAATAGAATTAATGAAAGTCTATCAATTAAGTGCTCGCGCGCGAGACTGATAGGTCCCGGGTTCGAATATCGTAAGGCGAGATCGTGGATGCTCACTGCTTAGGAATCTCACAATAGTATGAAACGGCCGTCCAGTGCTTCCAGATTTTTCATGGTGGTCTATCTTCAATTGACTCATGATTTCAACTATGAAAATAGTCTAAATGCATCAACATTGTGTACGTTATGTTTTATGTTAGATAGACTGAGGTAGTTAGGAGGGAATCTTAGACTTTGACTTCATGTTATTCAAGACTCATCGACAAGGACTAGTTTTAATTAATTTTTGTATTAGTTGTCTGAATCTTGTGATTGATTTTTTGGGACTGACATTGATCAGTCACTTTTTGCCACATATGTATCCTGTTTGGATTGCTTCGATATTACCATTAAGTTACAAGCATTGTATGCAAAGATGGATGGTGGTAAACAACATAGACTGATCAGTTGAAGTAGCAAAGTTGATAGCGCGATGGCGTTTGAAGTGAACGACACTGGGTTCGAGTCTCGCAATGAATATCAATTCTTGGATGTAAGCACATCCAACTGACAAGTCTCTCAAAAGGAATGAAACGCTCATTCTGGATTGCGCTGCTAGCCAACATCCATCTCTGATTTAAATCCAGTTTTTCAGAAGTTTATTTGTTGTGATTTAATATGAAGTTGAAAAATATCTTTAATCTTGTGAAAATGTATTTCTTTTTTTTAAACAGGGAATTACTTAATCAATCTTGGATGAAATTAGACAAAGAAGAAAAAGCTAAACATGTTCTACTTGTTTGTAAACGGTTTAATGAGGTAAATACTACTGATTAATGATTATTCAATCTTCCCTAATGGTTATATCTAGTGAATTCGTGCATGCTCTGTTTGATACATATGAACGTGCTGATCCCCGCCAATCGGAGATGAGTAAATTATCGAACAAAGCAATAATACACAAAAGCCATGTGAGCAGTCTTGAGTACTTGTCGGTCCTGCTTTCTGCCTAGCCCAGACAGTTAAGTCCAGAACATCAATAACAGCCTCTGCAATATGAATTCTCAAACAAACCGGGTTTATATACCAATCAAACAGACTACATCGTACCAATAAAATAGAAAATAACATTTGTACAAGATCCAGCCAAATGTGACTGTGAATAGGGGGAACAGTAATCAATAGACTGGGTATAACTCAAGAATGATAAATCGTATAATAATAGTCTATAGGTCAAAATAGAGTTTATAATAAGAGGGACACAAATATGAATAGTTAAGTTACTTAGCAATTATACAATAGGAAATATACATACCATATCGCTCCATAAATAGTCCTCAAAAGTTACGATTCAGAATTCTCCACGGGATATAACACCTTCCATTTTTTGAGAGATCCGGAGTTGATATCCGAATTTAAAATTGTCCCGAATTAATCCCCCCCCACGAAACTGTGTTGGATCCTCATATTCGCAAGTTACGTTTGAAGTGATTCTGTTTATAACATTTTTCCTGCATCCATTAGAGAATCTGCTAAGACTGACCAGATGATGAGGATCGACATTTGACATGAGGTCAGAGTTTGGTTCTTCTGAAATATCATCACACTTATCGGAAGTATCATGATATAACACTAATGGTTGTTATTCATATAGAATTAAATTATTCAGATTGTTAAGCAAAGTCACAATTTACATTATGCTTTCTGAATGTATATGATATGTATTCACACAACTAGAACAGTCAAATGATAAGCGTTAAGGGCTTTATTCACTCAACAGTTAATACTGCTGAATGAACACTTATTTCATGGCAAAAATCATAAAACATCTCACAAATAGAATCGTGAACAAGACGCTAAACCGTAACTATGAACCCGCTAGATATCACATACTACTTAATACATCACTTAGGACTTCATCCCAGCCAACCTGGCTTAGTCGATGCATCATCCATAAAAAATCTGCTTGGATTAACATTTTGCCTGGCATTAGTCTCCAGCTCTTTCCAAGGTTTAAGTATACTCATTTTAAGCCAACAAGGAGTCATTGCACTACAAGAGAAATATGATGTACACTTTACCATAAGGTTAATCTACTACCATTATATTTACTGAAGTGAGTGACTTAAACAAGACAACTTAGACTGAACTGATGTAAAATTCTCTGTGTATATTAAATCTAAAAGGTCAATTTCACGATATTATCTTAAATACATTGAGGAGCCTTACTTAGAGTAGCTATATAGAGTCTGCCCATTTGGTAACCGCAATTACTTACCAGGAAAAGCATACTCCATCGGTTACATGGTAAAACGTTATAATACCTTAAGAAAGACAGATTTCTTCAGGTACTCACTCAAGTTTCATTTTAAATCAGAAAAAAACTGGCTTGGAAAACCAAATTCTTTGATCATTCATTGTTTTACCATCTCTTGTATTGTTCAGAAGATTCATCCTATACTAGTTAAAATGTAACTCAAACCTTTTTAAATTCACTTGGTATTATTGGTTTGAATCTTCTCATTGATCGGCCTCTTATTGGCATATGGGCATACTGTGCGTATTGCATCGATATAGTCTTAATTCAGAAGCATCATAAGTAAAGATGGATAGTGACTAGCAGTGGAATCTAGGACGCGCGTTTCGTCCCACTTGGGACTCAGAGTGAACATCAACTTCGAGATGCAGGTGCATCCAGCTGACGAGTCCCAAACAGGACGAAACGTGCGTCCTGAATTCTACTGTTAGCCACTAACCAATTTTTGCTCATAATTAAACCTTTTTGTTAGCATTGATCATTAAATTAGGTGTTATCCACATATTTTTTACTCTCTCATTTGTTGATTTAGGTTAGTCGCCTAGTTGTTTCTGAAATTATATCACGAACAGATTTAAATGATCGAGTGATGTGTATTGATAAATGGGTAGCTATTGCTGACATTTGTCGATGTATGCAAAATTATAATGGTGTATTACAAATATGTTCAGCATTAGTGAATAGTTCTGTTTATCGACTTAAACGAACCTGGGAACGTGTTAGTAAACAAACAAAACAATCAATTGATCGTTTACAAATGCTTGTTGCATCTGATGGACGATTTAAATCAATGCGTGAAGCTTTACATAGGTATGTTGAATTGAAAGATATTTTGCATTGGTTGATCAGTTCTGAATATGATATGTGTAAAGTATTGATATATCTATATTGATGAAGGTCGGTAGTAATTTAAAAGCACCATGTTATCTAGCAGTTGGTGGCATTTCTGTGAAAGTTATATGTACAATGAAGTATTCAGTGGGTCAAACTTGAATGATAAAATGTGACGTTTAATCATTTATCTCACTGTTAGGATGACTCGTTGGCAAACTCAAGGAAGCCTCTAGAAGCCCAGAAAGAACCGAAGACGACATTCCATCCAATCAACGCTAGAGGAAAATTCTAGAATGTCGACATGTAGCTCTCCTATTGGTTGCATAAGAGGGCCCTCCCTGTGTGCCTATTAGATGTCCGAAATGATGATTTACTTTCAGTCAAAAACTACAAATACATGAGATTTTTGTACTATATTGGACAATGTGTTGAGAATAACATTCCTACTTACTAGTCTTCTGTCTTCTCTCTTGCAACGTTGTAGGGTTTTGATCGTTCAAGTAGTTTAGTAGAGTACACGGCATACGAAGAATCTATGTCCGAGATATAACACTAACCCATTTTACATCATTTAATTGACTAATTATGATTGAACAATATGACATTGGTTATAGATTTCATGTCAGCTAAACTATTTCTACATTGAAATCTATTTGTGTTACATTTATTCAATACTTAGAAGATTTTAATACTTAGTTCTAAGAATATAATATAACCTATGGAGATTGAAAATAAACATAGTTATGCTTTCATCGTAGAAGAGTAAACAAAGAGATATCATGTATAATGTAAATCTTAACGAACCTAAAGTATTAACTGGAAAGGTATTATGTTCAGTATATTATAAACGTAGTATCATGTTACGATGGATTACTAACTAAAACTGATACTTTTAATTCACTAATGCGAATAAGGCATACTCGCTTGATAAACGATTTCATATATTAAATTCAACTTAGTATTGTTTGTTTCAATCTTCCCATTGATGTTTAGAACTACCATTGATCAGTCTCTTATTAGCCATATGTGTATACTGTGCGTATTGCCTCGATATAGCTTTCATTCACAAGCATTGTAAGTAAAGATAGATAGTGGCTAACGATGGAATACAGGACGCTCGCCACTTCGTCTTATTTGGGACTCGCCAATTGAATGTACCTGCATTTCGGTAGCTGAGCGGATAATGCGATGGCTTTTAAGACAAAAGGTACTGGGTTGAAGTCTCAGAGTCAACATCAACTCTAAGATGCAAGTACATCCAGCTGACGAGTCCCAAATAGGACGAAACGCGCGTCCTGGATTCCACTACTATCCACTATCCATCATTACTTACGATTTCATATATTACCATGTATCAATGGTCGCCTAAAGGAAACTATTATTCATTTCCCCGTGTTTTTTTTGGGGGGGGATTTTTCCGTCAAACTAATAGTGCTAAAGTGAACATTAACTATCGGAATCGATCTTGTAGATACAGACAGTCTGCTTAAAAGATTCAAACAGACAATTTTCCTAACACTTTTTGCACATGAATTTCATGATCCTAAGAGAACAAATGATGAATTGACAAATGTTAATGATCAACTATGATAGGAATTCATTTACTAATATCACTGCACTGACTTATTGTTTAAATTCTTAGGTTGATGCAGTTTCCTGTATAGTCTGAATTTTTTATTTTTACTTCCATCATCCAGGATTTGGAAGGATAAACTAGTATCTGAATTAATTGTTAGGTCATACCAGTGCACATCACTGATATAATTGACTCAAGTAAACTATCCCCATAATTTGATATAGAAGGGTACTATAGAGATTGTTGGATTTAACGTTTTACATCATAGACTGGTTTTTCGTTAATCAACCATTCAAAATATAAAAGTACTAGGTGATGATCGTGAAACAACTTGGAAAGACAAACCATTGGATTCTAATCTGAAGATCGACCATTAGTTGAGAGATATGAATATCTTAGGTTTGACTTTTGGTGTGTTCAAGACTTGGAACAACTGTGTAATCTCATACCAGAATGAAATAACTGTCCAATGTTTACTGGATTTCGGTATTTGCCTAACCAAAAATATCAGTCACTAATGTAAAACTTCATATTTCCACAAATCTATTAATCTATACATACCTTTTTTTCATATTCACTTATCTTTAGATGTGATCCTCCTTGTATTCCATATCTTGGAATGTATTTAACTGATTTATCATTTATTGAAGAAGGTGCATTAAATATTACAGAGAATAATTTGGTCAATTTTTGTAAAATGCGTATGGTATGTAATGATACACTGTTTAATCGTATTGTCTTTAAACATGATCTCATATTCTAATAGTTGAATTCATAAATTGATCTAAGTTAGATCACTGTTGAAGATCTGGAAGCACCTGAAATGGTTTGAAACAGGAAGAAAAGTGTCCTAGATTACACTTCTAGACATATATCCGTTTGAAGGCGTTTTCGTGGATATTTCAATATTTTCATAGTTGAAATCATGAGTCAACTGAAGCTAGACCACCATGGAAAACCTGAAAGCACTGGACGGCCGTTTCGTTCTAGTATGGAACTCCTCAACGCGAAGCTGGTAGATTGTGGGTTCGAATCTCGCGGGTGAGGGATCGTGGATACGCACGGCTGAGGAGTCCCATAATAGGACGAGACAGCCTTAAAGCAGTGCTTTCAGGTTTTCGATTGTGGTTTAGCTTCAATTGACTCATGATTTCAACTGTTTTAGAAAAGCTTAAATATTGATCTGTTTTCTTTCTTTTAATTACAGATAGCTCATGTAATACGTGAAGTTCAACAATATCATCAAACACCTTATCTTATAACGCATAGACAAGAAGTAAGTGCTATTAATTCACTTTGAAATAATACATATGATGAGTATAAAGGAAACTGTTTAGATTGTTGGCATTTTCAAAGCTTAAAGCATGAACTGATCTTTGTTAGACTATCATTGAAAATAACGAACAGCTAGATGACCATTTCGTTGTAAATGGGTACTTCTGCAAAGTTTCATACTAGGGCGAAATAAGGTGTCCACTACTTCCAGGTTTCTAATGAATATCTAAGTTAGACTGGTTCATGATTTAATAGGAAATTCAACAATCTTCATAACCCTGTTTGAACGAAAATTAATCCAAACTGAGTTATTTATGAATTTCATTATGGGATAATATTTGTAAAATACAATGTCTCTTCTTTATCTCGGTTGTGATACAACAGTTCTCCTATTGATGAACATTGCTACCGACAAACTATGATTTCAAATTTGAATAAACGTCTATGTTACCTGGTTGATGATCCACATGCGAATCGTTGATAATAACTATGATCTCACTAGTGGCTAACTTCAACATGGATTTCCTAGAGTTATAGTGAGAAGCCGTGACCAGTAGAGTCCAATCCGTATCGGATGCAAGACTGGTTGTGAAACCATTAAAAGCTAGGGAGGATCTGATGACCGTTTCGTCTAAGTCTGTAGCTTTTACCTTGATGTGGCGGTCAATCACGAAACTTGTATCCAGCGTTTTCTACTGATTACCTCTTATCATCTAACAAGGTGAAATTTGAAAGATTACGATAGTCTAGAAAACAATAAAGATTTTAATACCATAAACATCCAATGCATTGAACTTATCAGTTTTATAACGAATGTTCTTTCTGCTATTGCCTTTCATTTAGGTTACTGACTATTTATTAGATCCATCAAGACTTCTTGATGAAGAACAAACTTATCAGGCATCATTAACTATTGAACCAAGACAATCAATTAATCGACAATCATTATCAGGATTTACATAATCAATCAATCAATCAATCAATCCATTTGTTTTAAATCATATACATTGAAATTTTAACTAAAAAAAACAGAGATATTTATTTTATATATATTTCAATAAATAGATAAATGTAAAAATGATATTGCCTTCTGGTCAATTTGATCTTCTTTTTTGGGGGGGTTTTGCGCCATATTCTTTCTTTAATCTTTTCTTTTCTTTTATGCTTCTCTTTTTTTTAATACACAACTGTTCCTTCGTGTCTAGTCACTAAGGTAACATGTTTGCATTTATGTTTTATGTATCATAAAAGGATTAGAATTATTGAAAAAAAAATTATTGATGTTTTTCGTCTTTACCAATATTGATTGGGTTTTTTTTAATGAAGCGAATTATTATTTGGACTCTTGAATATGACCATTGTACATTCCATAGTAGATTTTTATTCTATTCAGTTTTCTTGTTTTTTGAGGGGGGGGGTAAGTGGAGGGTGGGAAGACGTAAATGTTATACTCCTTTGAATTCTTTGAATTCCATAATAAAGTTAACTACTATCTTTTTTTTTCATCTATAGTTTATCTATTTTCTTTATTGTATATGTGCTCATGTCATTTCGACCATCAATGTGATCTGTCTATATACATATATATAGTTTCTTTGGTTTATTTCCTCTTATTTGTTTATAAAACTTTACATCATTATTGTATGCAACATTCCATTTCAAAAGGACAAAACTCTTCTCCATGAATCAGATTATAAATTTTCAAGTTTGTTATTGTTTCTTCAATTTTTTTTGTATTTGAGCGCCAATTTGAACTTTGTACTTATCGATTCATCAAATATATGAAACTTGATGTTGTTGTTGCTATGCCTTTTTATTTGTTGCTATGCTTGTCTTTATATACATATAGATATATATTTAAGTGTGCATGTTCAATATTTCATATAACATTAAATGTTTTTTTTCAAAAATGTTCCATTTATGCATAATTTTTTTAAACTCTGATAGTTTTATTCATTGAATTCATTTTTGTGATAGAAATATATTTTTCCATTAACAATAATTAAAAAAAATGTTTTATTATTTTTTTTTGGCTTCATGCCAAATTCTGAATTCATTTTTCCGGCTGATATTTTTTCTTTTTTCTTTTATTCTCTGTTTTTTTGTCATTTTTCTTCAGATATCAAATAACTTTTATTATTATTATTACATGTTTAATTGTTTTATTTCATAGAAAAAAAGAGAAAAATTAAAGAAGAAAAAAAAAGAAAAAAAAAGATGACCGCCATTTTATTTTAGTTGTTTTTTGTTTCCATGGAAGTGTCAAAATAAATCGATTGATTTCATATGATCAATCTGTTGTTGTCATGGTTATTAATTTTTGTTTTTTTAAAAAAAATTATTTTATTGAATCAAAAACATTCAACATTGAATCATAAAAGAAAGATATAGAATATTGTTGTTATGTAATCTGTTCATGATGATTAATTTCTTATGAATGTATTTGACTTGTATTGATTGTACTTCTCTCATTCTTTTTCTTTTCTTTATTGTTCTTTTCTTTTTTTCTTTTCTTTTTTTCTTTTCTTTTCTTTCTTTTCTTTTTTTTTGGTTTTATGTGTATTAGATAATAATAAAGTTAAAAATAATTTTTTTTAAAAATCAAATTTCCAATTATGTTTTATTCTTAATTATATAAGAGACGCTGTGTTTTTTTTTACTTCTTTATTTCATTAATGTTAACAAGAAAAATTCTATTGCAAATCGTAATTGTACTTTTTTATTGTAAGATTGAAAAAGTAAATTATAGAATGATACATTGAAACTTTAATGTTCAAATTGAATTCTCTTCTTTAATATCATTTGATATTGAAAAATCTTTGGGTAATAATTAATTTTTCATTCATATTGGTGGTATGGAATTCTTATATCCATAAAAGTAGTGTGATGTAGTCTACTAATATTCTCGCTCCCAAATACCCTGGTACGGCCGAGAGTGGGGACAGTTCGCTCTCCCTCTCAAAACGCTCTCACGTGGCCACGCGTATATAGTCTCTGTCAGGGAAATCATACCCACTGCATTCTCATGGCATTACTGTTGTTTACGAAACTGACAGGACGAAAAGCGAATGTTCGGCACTTTAACCGGGTTGGTGGGCACGGAAATTCTACTTAGGGGAGTTGGAAAACCCTCATGCCAAACCAGTGGTGCACATGGGTTCCAGTATCCTGAGGGAACAAATGGCGTATAAATCAATAGTTGGTCATTGGCTACCATTAGACTGCATCTCCTTACGATGCTTCACTGCCTTGCGGATCAGACCTTTAGGTCAAAGGCTCCGGATGTGGTCCCTTAAGTAAACCACCTGCTTCAGTTTTCATAACGAATATAGTGAACAATATTACCTGTATCGATTAAATTCAGTCTTCAATCCTTACTCTGTACCCGAACAGAAGAAAGCAAGGAAGGAATTTTGAAGACATGCATTATTATCGAGGTTGATCCTTCCACACGAATGAAAAGTATTTTGATGAATAATTTACTCGGCTACTGTATAACTAAATGTCTTATACATTGTTTTAATTTGTTTTAATATTACAATACAATTCCATTCTGTCCATTTCAAACTCGATTTCTTGATTACGTCTTGCAGAATTCGGTATTAGTAGTTTTTCGTTAAATTATCTCAAATTCACCCATATCTATATGTTTACGTATCATGTTGATAGTGTGTAAGCTTCCAAAAACATGCTAAAATCACTAAGAAAATAGGTAACTATCTAATCTGAATGTGAGGCAAATTACTTTGTTTTCTAAGACGTTTCTATTTGGCGTTTGTTATACAGAAGATTTTAGCCTCTCCGGGGGACAGTGAAAACTTTATGAAGAATTCTGAGTGTTATTAAAATACATGTTAGGACAATTCTGAAAATATTTATCATTCCAGCCAGTTTTTCAATATTTTTTCATAGACCTCATCCTTCACATAGACTAAAACCCAGAGAATTATTTAAGATGAAATCAGCTAAATAGTTCACAGTGGAATGTGAAAGAATCAGTTTCAAAGAGTCAGCCTAGTAAATGCGACTGAGTGACCAAAGTATTAACATTTATTTACATTACTGAAAAAAACGACTATCAAAGTTGCCTGAACTTTTAGAACTAACAGTTTAGGGTTTTTCAATTATTTCTGGTTATCAGTTTTTGTTTCAGCTTATTATTCTCATCTAGTTTTTTGAAAACATCTGATTGATGACTTTACAATGCAATAAACCAATTCTCAACGACCGGGTTGTCGATACCCTGTGGAGAGTGGCATTCAGTGCAATGAATGAAAAGAATGGTAGCACGGAGTTTGCACGATTTTAACGCCTGAAGATTTTAAATATTTAGTAAAATAGTAACGTGTGATTGTCTTAGCAATGCTGATTGGACATTGTGTTGATAACAGATCTACTTAACCATCTAATACCTGAAGATATCTCTAGAGTCACCTTAAGGTGCTTAAGGTTCATAGACTAGGTAGCCAAACGGATTTGAAACAGAATAAAGTCAAGATGCTAAAAGTGTTATTTTAATTACCCAGTGAAAGGGACTTAATATTACAGAATGGATATGAACTAAAGGAGCTAGAAGCTTTTGTCCGTGAAGAATCGCCGCTCTCAGACCGCATGCAAAGTCGAGAAGCGGAAAAGGAAGTAAGACTCAGATTGGATGCTAGCGAGAAGTACCTCAGAATTGTAAATTGTTTGGTGGTGAGGCTTCTACAGAGATTGATCCCAAAGCCACTTTGAGTACAGCACGGTGTCATGTAAATGGTTTTCGGATCTGTTACACAAACCTACGGAGCTTCTTCAAAGAGCGATTGGAACCAGGATGTAATAGCTATCACAAAACTTGACTAAAGCAGTCTGTAGTTAGTAGGGTACTTGATTTCGATATCTATACGTTAGTATGAGAGGACGAAACTCAGGAACATAAGGAACAAGTAGCTCTATTAGTTAAGACTACCGTTGTCGAAAGCATATCCAAGTTTAAACCTTGAGGTGAATAGGGTCTTGCTGTCTATCGACACTCTAATGAACTTGCCACAGAGAAGAAAAGTCCTTAAACTGAGTTATCAGAAGCTAGTTGATATGGTTTTCACATGTGCCCTTGCGCATCATGAGTTAAAAGCAGCTAGGTACAACCAGTACTCTAAATAATCTCTACATGATTCGTATTGACCCATTATCAGGATGGTGTCACAAACCCCCACTCTGTGCTTAACTTAGATAAGAGTGACCATGAAGTTCCATTCTTTGGTTTTCAGACCGTCTTCAACAACTGTGTGCCAGGTGTTATCGAAATTAAATAATATTGAGAATGGCATCAACAGAGAGTACGCGTGAACCCCAAATTGCTTGTCTGGTAAACTTTAGTTAACGAAGTGCCTCAATGTACATTTTGGGGGCATGTTATTACTCCCGTATATAAACGGTCTTCTTAATCTCCCACCATCATTGGTTTTATTATGTGCTAATGATGCCCAGATACGCAGAACAATAGAAAGTAAGAGTGGCAGTTTAGAGCTTCAAATTACCTGGACAAAAATCCGAATGGCCCAGAATTCGGCAGTAATGGACAAGTGTTTCCAAGTGCAATATGTTGCATATCAGTTATCGAAGTACATATACATACATGGTTAATAACATTGAGCTACCTGTTGTTCAGGTATACAAAGACTTATGAGAGATCGTCAACTTAGAATTGAAAACTACTGCACACTGCCGTTAAATAGCAGCAAAATGTTTCCATGACTGTATGTTTCAGAAGAAAGACAATAATGACATAAACGTGTTTGAGCATGTGATCCGTCACTGTATGCAGTATCAAAAATTAATAAACCTAGCTTTTTAGAATTTCTATTCAGGTTACACCATGAATTTGTCTCTCATAAAGGTGATACTAAGAGAAATAGCGCCCAGTCTTTTTTTCGCTGTACAAAATGCATGAACAGTGCATACTTTTGTACATATACATGCACGATGAATATCATTGAGCCACCAGTTGTCTAGACACACAATGACGTAGAAGTCGTCGTTAATTAAGGCTTAAAACCTACTGCATACTACCGCGCAATAGCCGCCAAGCGTTTTAGAGCCCTATGGTCAATACGTAGAGTCTTTAGCCATGTCGACGCTAAAGTCTTCATGACTTTGTATACAGTAATCGTTCGTTCTGAACTTCAGTACTGAACACAAGGGGCTATCCCTGCTTAAAATGGAAGTGACTTTTCACAAATGGTCCAGAGAACAGCAACTAAGTTGATTCCTGAAAAAGCAGAGCTCCCGTTTGATGCTCGACTGGCCAAACTAAACCTATTCCGATTGTCATATCGAAGAACCAGAAGTGAATTGAATACAGCTTTCAAATTACTTAGTGAATAATTCGCATCTGATATGCCATCATTTTTATTGTCTTCCAAAACAGAGGATTTACGAGGACATTACAAAAGTTCACAAGCTCAGGACAAATTACATCTCAGCTGACTATCGACTTTCTCATCGAATCATGAACAAGTGGAATTCATTACCTCAACACATGATTGAAGCTCTATATGTCGACTCTTTCAAAAGAAAGTTAGAACAACTGAAAGACCATTACTTCCAGGACTGACACAGGCCACCAAGTCTCCTGTCCTTTACAAACTGTAGCTGAAACTGGGTTTCCCCCTTCCATATCTCTATAATGTCCAACAATCACTCCCACCTGAAATTCAATGAAACTTACTTCCCATTCATCATGGTCTTAATCCTTGTTTATCCTCAGAGGAAATATTTTAGAGATATTTGGAACATCGTATTGTTTTTTATACCGTATACAGTGGGCTTTACTGAAAAAAACGGATTGTGTTAAATTAGGCATGTATGACGATGCATCAAACTTTTCATGTTAAGTGAATAATTATTGATAACGTTGTAGGGTTCAGTATATTTCCGCCTTAAGCTCTTATTCCACAGACAGCACTACAGTGACTCACTGACTCTCGTATATTTCATCAATGGATTGCGAATTCAGTAGAAAACCCAACAGGCTATTCGTACAAGACCCAATCTACACCTTGTTTTCAAACCAGTTTGTATCGAAGACCTGAGTTAACATTATTACGCTATGAAGACAACCATTAAGTATCGACCGGTTTAAGTTGTTTCTCTACTGAGGAATTGTTTACTGAATAAAAACGCGTCATATTTGGAATTGTTGTTACATTTTCGCCAGTTACATCTTTGCCAGTGCTGTCTTAATGTTTCGGAACTTCACAGAATTCCTTTCTCCACCGTCTCTTATTTGTAAGCACTGAAGGTACGATCGGTATTGTAGTTTGACAGAACTTTGGTTTATTATTCGAAGTAGGTCGCCTAATAGGTCTATTCTTTAGTGAAATATTCATAGTTGGTATCTATGGTAGTGAAGTTAAACCATCTGATTTTAACGAAATGTTCTCAGCACTTGTAACTAGGTTGAAAGAGTTGTCAACAGTAGACCTTCATATGGATAAGTTTCAGTAACATTTTACAGTTCACGACGAAGAAAAAAGCACGTTTTAGTCATCCCTAGCAAAGGTTCAGTAGCTGGCTATTGTTAATGTGACAAGTATTCATGATCGTATCGATTACAATTGTTCCTTCTCCTTTACAGCGTTCACTGTAGTGCATCATTTTGATAAGTTGTCCTTATTTTGAAATCATTGTTTCCTGATGACTACCATACAGCCGAGGGACTGAAAGTATCTCACTACAATGCTCGGTTAAAAAAGCAGTATTACACTTGAGGGGGACACGCTACCCTTTGGAATGGAGAAGCCAAAGAGGTGATGCAGTTGCTCTTCAAACATCTTGATCTCGGTTTTACGAATCTCACTCAAAGAGTATTTTCCAGTTTGGCAATCGGTTGCCTGGTCAAGGTAACTGGGGTCACATTGACTTCGTCTCCGGTGTCTACTAGGAATGTTGTTGTCCAGGTCATGAAAGGGCGACTGGGAGTTCGACTGGTCCCAGCCGTCCCCATTTCTGTCTGGTCGATACGTTTCTCGACAGGAAAAATGACCCAAAAAATTTGCTGGACGTGACGTAACTTCTGGCTTTGTCTTCTTATTTTCTGTAATACTAACAGGTGTGGTCATGATGTTTATCTGCTCTTGTGGCATGTTGATTATTACTTCTGCGAGAACTAGACCGCGACCCACGAGATGTGAGATTGAAAATTAATGTTTGCAGCGCATCTAGCTTTTCTCTAATAGCTACAGTGCGTGAGTGGTGTGTACGTAGGTCGCTTAATTCAGGGTTTTCGTTATACTAGACGTGTCTGATATATGTGTTAAAGATATGGCACTATATTCTTCACTTCACACCGTCTACGCCAACGATTCTGAGTATTAGTCATTAATTGTTTGAACTCTATTTGTCTTGATTACATGAAAGAACTTTCTGGGGCTTGAAACCAAATAGACAAGTGACCATTCAAAATACCAATAATCAAGGGGTATTTCTGTTGGTAACTTGATGAAGAAGAGTGGGGTTTAACTGTTTTGTTTCCTGTTTATGTTCTGATGAAATATTTTATTGCCATTTTGTTCAAACTTCTTTTTATCAGCCTCAAATATGATTAGTTTAGGCTGTCATAATAAGCTCACACATGAAGTAGCACAGGTCTTCCTAAGACGAAATTAATTGAATATGTTCTTTTTTTATATAGTGTATTAATATGGCCTTTGATCCTCTTGTTTTCTCATACGGTCTGCATAAGACCTGGGTCTGTGTGAACTTTCTATGACTGATTATGTTTACTCGGTTCGGAATTTATCTAAACGAACTAGTCTGATTGTTTATACATTATTAGAGTTATTATACCCATCTTTATGGCTACTGTAATGGTCTTCTTATTTTTTAGTTTACGAGATACCTGTTACGTGCAAGTTAGATCAAAACAGTCATTTCCAGTGTGTGGAGGCTTGAATTTATTCGACTTCAACAAGTACCCCTCACAGTGTTACCACGCTTGTTACGTAACAGTATGTCAGCGTCTAATATTCTGCTAGTTACAGGAAGGCCAGGTGTGTGCTAATTGCTTTAATGGGCTTCATGTATTCAAAGTTCTTTCTGCAACATATTTATCTAATTAATATAAGCACATAATAAATGATCAATATTTTTTAGATAAGTGGAGGTTCTATTTTTTTACTTAAAGCCCTATGAGTGAGAAGTACAGTCTATTTTGAAAACTCGGTTTCTAAATACGGGTTAATGTACTGATGCTTCAATTATTTTCTTATGTGATTATTAGTAGTTCTACTCAGCTTTTTAACCCTATATAGGACTAATAATGATCAATTCTACCGTTCTGTCGTCGGGGATCGAGTCCTTCAACCGAAAATCAATTTTCCACAAGATCTTATCAGAAATATAAATACTAGATCTTTAACAAGATTTAAAATGTTGAATTTTGTCACCGATAATGTTAAATGAATTACTCTGAGTTAACGTAATATTTTTAATAAATATTTTGCCACAGTATTATAATTTGTCATGTTTTAGTTTCATTCCATCTTAAGGTTTTGAAAATTGATGTTATTAGAAATTGTTTCAATGTATCATGACTTTAGTGGGTTGATCTACAGTTATAAAAACGGTTTCTTTTTTGAAGTTTTGTATTATAATATTGTTCCATAAAGCTAATCTATCTTCATAAAACAATTTATGAAACTAATGGGATGTCAATCAATAAAATATGCTGACGTCTGAGATGATGGGCAGAGTTTTTTGAGGGGCAGTTCAACTGGTCTACTGCCTCAGTGACATCGGTCAGACTGTCCCGTCCTCCATGGTTGGTGACGACTGATCCACTTTTATGCGGCTTTCAGGACCCTAAACCTACACTCACTCTGAGTAGTAAGCAGATGAAAGTGGTCAAGTTCGTGTATCTGGGTAGCTGCGTAAGTGTTGGCGGTTGCGTGAAAAATGAGATTAATTAACATGTAGTGAAAACCAGAGAGGTGTATGCCAATCTGGACCATCTTTGATGCCTTCGTCATGCTAGTCCGGCTATGAAAGATCGGATCTACAACGCGTCGGTGAGAGCAGTTTTGCTGTTTGCTTGTGGAACCTGACCTTTCCGAGTTGAGGATGTTAGACGACTCTTTGCTGAGATTCGGTGGCAACATGTTAGTAATGAAAAGGTTCGGCAACTTGTGTTCGGACACAGCGACGATAATTCAATTGGCGTCACCATCCTGAAACATCGACTCCAGTATTTTGGACATGTCATGTGAGTTTCACGTCGTGCATTATTTGCCGACGCTGGATTGGTCTAAAAAAGCGGAGACATGGTCAGTGTATGACATTGTCATGATATGAAAGAAAGTTGTACATGACTGGCTACTGTTGGTCCTTCACACCAGTGTGGTATGATAGTAAATTAACTAGATAAAAAGCATCAGAGATATCATTTATATACAAAAAATGTATTCCCAAAGGAACAGATTAGTTTGGAATAATACAAATTATAGAATACTGTTATGTTATTTTGTGTCTTCGTAAGACAGTGATATTTTTCGACCTAGAATTTTTTGTATTTGAGATATCTTTTTCCACAGAAACTCCGTGTCATCTTTTACTGCTAATAATTGTAAGTAGTTCCTACTTATTATTATTGATGCCTCAATCGTTTAGGGTGCCGAACTTTACTCAAACGTTGTGACGCTTTTTTCTATATCTTAACGTGTTGCTTTCATTAAAAGTTTTATGAATATTTATTTTCCTATTCTATTTACTTGTATTTGGTTGTAAATAAATTTGTATCTTTTGACAGGTATCGGTAAAACCACTTTGGTTTCTCATGTCTTTGAAGAGCTTCTTAAAAATGGAATACATGCAGTTGGCTTCAAGACTGAAGAAGTTCGACAGTTCTATTCAGGAATGTCTGCTCGTTTGGGATTTGATGTAGTTCTATTCGATTCATCTCGAACATATCCTAGAGCTTCATTAGCTCGCATAATTAGCCAATCAAGTCAACAAGTACAACGTCAACCTCGTGTTGGTCAGTACCTAGTAGATATACCATCGTTTGAGAGTTTGGCTATTCCTTGTTTACAGGTTAGCTAATTTCATTGAGGTAATTCATGATGGTCATTTTATTTATTATGTATTTATTTAAACACATAAATATTGGTAAAAGGAAGCACCAGATATATATGCGCCGCACAAATCTCATTCGATTTGTGTGAGGGCTGTGATACTGCCCAGGTGCCCAAACTGAAGCAGGTGGTTTTCTTAGGGGGGCCACACTGGGAGCCTTTGACCTAAAGGTGTGATTCGCAAGGCAGTAGAGGATCGTGAGGAGATGCAGTCCCATGGTAGCCGATGACCAACGATTGATTCATACTCCATTTGTTCCTTCAGGATACTGGAGCCCATGTGCTCCATTGGTTTGGAATGAAGGTTTTCTAACTCCCCTAGGTGGACTCACCGTGTCCACCAACCCGTTTAAAACTCAGGACATTCGTTTTTCGTTCTCTCAATTTCCTAAACAATAATAATGTCAGGAGAAGGCAGTGAGTAGGACTTCCCTGGTAGAGGCTATATGCGCGTGACCATGTGAGAGCATTTCGAGAGGGAGAGTGTACTCTCCTCACTCTCGGCCGTACCAGGGCATTTGGGTCATTGTAACAAGGTTATTTTAAAATGTGTTATATAAACAGATAACTACTATTTCGTCTAGTGAAAAATACTCAAATTTTCCTCTTTTCTTTTGGCCTACCTTTCTTATTGGCAATGATGATAATCAACAGTCTATTATAAACGATTTGGAAAATGTTTCTTCCATTAACAATCTAAGAAAAAATAATCTAATAGTCTGTATCATTGATGAAATTGGTAAAATGGAGCTATGCTCATCAAAGTTCACTTGTCTAATTGAAAAGTTGATTTCATCAATTTCGAATTTACCTACAAATGGTCAATGTGATATAAAACATCCTACAGTTGTTCTTTTGGCTACTGTACCATCACCGAGAAGACCAGATGGTACACGTGGTATTCCGTTTGTCGATCGTATCTGCTCGATGAAGGAGGCTTCGATAATCGAGGTAAGTTATAAATACTAGTTAAATGATATACGTATGTATTTTTGATTTCAGTGCACTCGCCATTGAACTTTTGACTGTGTAGTTAGAAATTAAAAGTAAAAACAACTTAAATTGATATTTTTCTTTATAACCATTGTGACGTATTCTACTCATACAGGCAGATATAAGTAGTATATATCGGTAATAGGAAGTAGAATTCTTACTGATAGAAGAGGGAAATAAGGAGAAGAGAAGGAAAACCGAAAGCAATCGGATTAGCAACAGAAATGGAAGAACGATGGAGTTTGGAAACGTAAATCGAAGGAGGTTGTGCAATTATTGTATTCACTCCATTGTTTTCATCTTTTACAGATGCAGTATGTGACTTAGCATAATACAATAAGTTGTCATACCTTACCCGAGAATTCGTTCTTTACACCATAAATTAAGTCCATAAATAATTTACTAAGTATGTTGACCGATCTATAGATAGTAGAATTGTTCACTGAGTCGGCATCCAACGGTGTTAATGTCTAACTTTAACGAATCCACGAAATTGATCCACCGTTCACAATTGTCGGGGCTAGGCGGGATCGCAGATGCGCACTGATGAAGAGTCACACAGTAGGATGAAATGGCCTTCCAGTCCTTCAAGGTTTTCCATGGTGTTCTAGCTTCAATTGACTCATGAATTCAATTATAAACTTACTAAAATCTCCACACACCCCCCTCTGATCATAACCTGTATTTGTCAATACGATATCACTAAATTTCTTTTCCTTAATGTCATCATTGAAAATATATACACACAAAAAACACTTTTCTTACTTCCAGATTGATATCTCGAATCGTGATAAAACTGTCCAAGAAGTAACGGAAAGAATACTAAGATGTAAATCATCGTAGAGTGATACTTTATGTTTTGTTGTTGGTTTACAAGTATTTCAAGCATTTCTTTAAAAAGGAAACCCCCTTCTCAAAATATTCTTAACGGTATCTAATAAACGTATTTCCGCTTTGTTCTTTTACTATTTCAGTTAGTTTGGTTAATGTCTTTATATTCTATTTTCTGGTTATCAGTTTTTTATGTGAAATATAATAGTGATAATAATGGTTTACCATTTTTGGTTACATCTTTGTCATCTAATAGCAATCATCTTGTGCATGGTAGAACCTACGGGAACATACGTTCCAGCCAATATAGCTCGGTTGAGTCATCACGATAGGCAAGCCCGACCATCACGTCAAGGTCGCAGCTACGGTCGGGGAATACTTATGACTGACATATAGAAATAATTCCTGAAGTTCTTGTAAGGAGTTGTAAACAGTGGAGTCCAACTGTGTTGTGTATAAAACAACATGCCACTAATTTCAATGAATGATGCTCACAAAATATCACGAGTTCATTGAGATTAGAAATATAAATCGTTGAACCGCAACTTAATGATCTGAAGGTTTTGCATTCTATCCTCGGTGGGGTTGTGAATACACTGCTTAGCGGTCCCACAGTATGATAAAATGGTTGTCCAATACTCACTGGTTTTAATGGTTGTTCCATCAAAGTCTGTCTGTAATGTAAAACTTCAGACCTAATATCCTCATTGATGTGTTTTGTTGACCTGATAGTTATTAAAGCTTTACTTCGTGTCTATTTTAGGCCTGAATAGATTTGGACATGAAGCATGAGAAAAGTAGTTAACTGCATTTTGACGGGTAAAGTTGTATATTGAACGATTTAATCCAGGTTTCCCTGGCGGAGGCTGTATATGCATGGTTGTGTGAGAGCGTTTAGAGAGAGAGGGCGGGCCCTCCCCACTCTCGGCCGTACCAGGGCATTCGGGGGCCAGATAGATCTTAATGATGTTTACTTGAGTGAGAAAAATGATACATGGGTTAAAAGATAAATAGAAAATGAATTAGTTGTTAGTGTAAAGAATTTGTGGAATTATTGGATTCTATAGTTTCCATTAGTGATAATGACTATGTGTTAATTTTGAGATGTAATTCTAGACATCGTTATCATTAAATGTCAACTATGTTGAATCTGAACTAGTTACTGACTGATGTCATTACGAAACGTTTGATTAGTGTGACAAGTTGATTGAAGTTGGATATGAATCCTGACTTAGTGGTTTAAATATTGAAATTTTGGATTTATACTCAATAAGTCATCTGAGCATATTCAAAGTTATAACAAATGTATCCACAAAGAATTGTCACTGCTCAACCTTGTTTATTAAATATGTCTTTTTAATGTTTAGTGAAGGTACTTTGATTTCGAAATCTTATTGTTTCTTCGTTCGTCAATAGATTCCTGATGCCCAACTAAGGACTAAACTTACTTATTTGCACCTCGTCGAGGAGTATAGGGTGATCAGTATGCTCCATCCACCTGTGTCCTGGACAATCCTCTAAGGTTCTATCCAGTTGCTATCCATCCTTTTCATGTTTGCTTCCAATTCCCGACGAAGTATGTTCTTCGGTCTTCCACTTTTCCGTATCCCTTCAGGATTCCAAGCTAGGGATTGCTTCGTGATGCAGTTTTATGGTCTCTGCAATGTATGTCCTATCCACCTCCAACGTCTTTTCTTAATCTCCTCTTCAACTGAAAGCTAGTTTGTCCTCTCACACAGTAGGGCGTTGCTAATGGTATTTGGTCAACGGACATTGAGTATCTTGCGTAGACAATTGTTTATAAATACCTGTACCTTTTTGATGATGGTTATGGTATTTCTGGAAGTTTCAGCTCCTTACAGTAGGACTCTCTTAACGTTCGTATTGGAAATTTTGACTTTGATATGAGTTGACAGACAGTTGTTTCGAGTTCCATATGTTCTTCAATTGTAGGAATGCGACCCTTGCTCTGCCAATCTTTGCTTTTACGTCAGCATCAGATCCTCCACGTTCACCGATGATGCTGTGCAGGTATGTGAATGATTCCACATCTTCTAAAGTTTCTCCACCAAGTGTGATTATTGGGTCGGTGTTCTCTGTGTTGTGTTTAAGGATCGTGCTTTTCTTGTGTATGTTGAGATCTACTACTGCAGAGACTGCTGCTACATCGGCTATCTTCACTTGCATTTGTTGGCGTGTATGGGATAGGAGGATCATGTCATCTCTGAAGTTGTCCATTGTATTCCGTGCTTCCTGTCGGATGTAGAAGTTTTCATAATCCTGTCAACTACCAGAAGAAAGGGAAAGGACTAAACACATTAAATTAATTACACATAGCTACACTTATAGAACATTTATGGATGAAGCTGTCAAAGAATTCATTACTAAATTTCGTCCTACGCTGGACCTATTACAGAACGTCGGAAAGATACAATATAAGCGATTTCCAATACCGATAAACCCAAGAAAGACAATATATATATTGGTTGTGCAAAACTAGTAAGTGGTTAGTCTGATTGGTTTTTAGGGTAACAACTATGTGAAATTATTTAATATCGGTTACCGTGTTTCACTTAGGCTAATTATTCTGGACAACTGTCGTTGTAAATTCTAAGAATGAAACACTATTTGATTAGACTTGAATATGCGTTGTTCAGTATCACAAATAATGAGGCATTGGAACACGATTTATTGGTTTATATACCAAATGATATTGATTGATCACTGGGTTGTGATCAATGTCATGCGTGTCAAGTCCTTCTTCGTACTGATCGAATGCTATCGATCAAGTTGCAATATGGCCACTAGTCTAGGTGACTCGACACTGAATAATTGATAGATTTATCTCTTTTAATTATAAATCTAATATTACCGGATAAAAAGCAGCGGAAAGCTACAGATGAAGAGATCCGTGCTAAGACTAAAAAGCTGTTTCACTCAATGTAGTCTATCAAAATGGTCTATCTAAATACAGTCTGTGGCATAAATTACAAACCTTATTCACTAATTGTAAACAAAGATGGATAGTGGCTAGCTGTGGAATTCAGTTTGACGCGCGTCTCGTCCTATTTGGGATTCATCAGCTGGATGTACCTGCATCTCAGATTTGTTCATATTCACTCTGGGATTCGAACGCAGTACCTTTCGCTTCAAACGCCATCACGTTATCCATTCAGCTACTAAGTCCTGATAGCCTCGTTTACTAATGTTTTTACCCAAAACGATGTTAACTGGTTATTCCTGTGCCGATAACTGAGGTAAGCTAATTGTTAATCATTTGGTTATAAAACAGAACAACAGTTTAGGTAATATGAAAAATTATTACTCAGTAATTCTTAGCATTATGGAAGACAAAAATGTTGAATCATGAAGTCATAATGCTTTAATAAAATATCTTTTTAGCTGGTGTTTTCGTTGGAGATCTGTTTTCTACTTGTGATTGTTGTTCGAATATTCTCTGCAACATTGTTGCAAGCTTTAAAAGATTTCTGAAAAAGAAAGGAAATCACTTGTTACTTGATTGTAGAGATGGTTAGATGCAGTTGTCAAGAAAAAAATGATCATTTTATGATATTGTGCTAGTGGATGGTCGTCTTACACTCAGTCAGTCAGTCAGCTACAACGTAGGACCAGGCACATATATGCAACGGTCCAAGTTGCCATACCTCGTTAGCACAACAAGACCGGATTCATAGAAGTAATTAATTTAGTGGTGGTAGTATATCAAGAAAGGTTGTATATAAGGATATAGTACGGGAAGGAAGAGAGATATGAAGCAATTTTAATCTCAAGGTTTAAGGGAAGATAAAGAGTGTATACACCGACGCCATTGTGATCGATTCTGAGCGTCTTACAGTCGTCTTACACTCGATATGATTGAACTTCACTGGTCATGACATCTCACTGGAACTACATTTCAAAGTTAGTCACTAATGAGCACACGATTACTATTAGTATATACGCTTTATGGAGATTGTTGAATTTTTATACCTTACGTCACGTACTAGTTTCTATGTCTGAGAACTGATCAAAATCAAGAAATACTGAGCTTAAGATCATTGGTTTGAGATGTGGATACATACTATAGAAGAGTCTCACACTAAGAAGTAATAGTTGTCCAATCCTTCATGATTTCAATTGTTGTCGATATTAGATTAACCCATGGTGTAGACTATAAAGATTCAACAGTTCCTACCAGATACACACTATTAAAGAGTCCTACACTCTGACGTACCGGACATCAGATACCTTCAATAATTGTCTAACTTTGATCGATTCCTAACATCAAATAATAATAAAAGTAATGGTATTATGCATAAAATTTATATTGTTTAAAATCACATACTCGTTTTCTGAGGATTCAATTGTTTTTCTAAAGTAAATACGTAAAGATACATCACAATTCATGAATATATTGAATTTAATAACAAAAGCATCAAATACTTTACATTTCCATCATTTCAACTTTCTATTCGATATGTAGGAAGCTTATGATCAGGATACAGGAGCCCATGTGCACCGTTGGTTTGGAGTGAAGGTTTTCCAACTCCCCTTGTTGGATCCTTCATATCCCCGAGCCCGGTTACAGCACTGGATATTCATTTTTCATCCTCTTAATTTCGTAAACAACAGAAATTCCGTGAGAAGGTAGTGAGTAGGACTTCCCTGTAAGAGCATTTTGAGAGGGTGAGCTGACTCCCCCCACCGTCGACCGTACCAAGGCACTTAGGAGCTATGCACAATCGGAACAACAGATAGTCCAAACATCTAAGTTATCTATAGGTTATTGTCAGTTTAAACCATTAACCAATTTTGGATACACCACTATTGAAAAGTTGAAAGAATTGTTTCGTCCCAGAATGAGACTTGTCAACAGTATTCACTCACGATCCCATCATTATAGATCGAACCCAAGATTTTCAAAATCGTATGCATGTGCTTAACGTTTAGACTGCTCAGCCAGAAGTTGATGGTATAGATATCTAACCTTAGTCAATTCACACTATTACACAATCATCTTTCTTTGTCTGCAGTTGATATCTATCTCATACTTGACATTTTTAAACTCTACTGGTCACAGCTACTGTCAGTTATTATAGAAAACATCTCGTTGATTGTTGTTTAAGGCAAAAGGTAACAAGTTCAAATTTTGTTGTGAATACTAACACTGATATGGTGAAATACCAGTTCACCATTCTGACATAGAATGCAATGCATGTCCTGGATTTCATTTGTATATACAATCTAGTATGTGCATATATAACAAAAGAGACTGATTGATTACAGTAAGTAATATCACCAATGAAGAAATTCAAACCCTAACACTAAAATTAACGTTCAAATTCACTTGATATTGTTTTGCTTATATCTTACCATTGTCCCATAGTGAACATCAATTATGAGATGCATTTACATCCAGTTGATGAATCCTAAATGAGATGAAACGTACGTCATGGATTTCCTTTGCTAGCCCCTATTCATCTTAACAGTCCATTTAACTTCAGATCATAAAAATGTATGAAATCAATATAGATTTTTACATAAGAGAAATCCTTTGACTTACATTTGACTAATCAAGCTAAATAATAAGCTAATCAAACTGAAATTGAATAAAAGTTTAAGTAGTTTATTAAAATAAATTTTTAATATGACAATAAAACAGTATTGTGTCACTCAATTTCGTAGATTAGTTGAAGTTACACCTTAACACTGTTGGATGCCGGCTCAGTGGTCTAGAGGTTATGCGTTCGTGTGCGAGACCGAGAGGCGGGACGTGGATGCGCACTTCTGAGGAGTCCCACAATAGGACGAAACGGCCTTCCAGTGCTTCCAGGTTTTCCTTGATAGTCTAACTTCAACTGACTTATGCTTTCAACTATGAAAATACTAACGAAAAAGAAAGGACTAGTTAAAGATACTGATGAATATATGAAATTTAATCTGTTCTACTTAGAAAACTTTCAAGTAGTATGTAATTTCACATCATTCAGTAACGATGACGAAATAACATTGATTGTTAGAAGTGAGAGATGATCGCTACAAATAGTATTTGAATATTTTTATAAGCTAAGTTATATCATTGAAGTTAACTGATGAGTTTGCATGGATCTATGCTTAATGTTGAAGTGATGGAGATGATTTGTAGCTCCAAGCTAAACCTATTACAGCTGTCATATCGAAGAATCAGAGGCGACTTGATTACAGTTTTCAAATTGCTTAGTGATAAATTTGCACTTGATATGCCTTTATTTTTCTTGTCTTCCAAAACATAAAATTTACGAGGACACTCCAAAAATGCTGACAAGCCCAGAACGAGTTACCTGTCAGCTGGCTATCGACTTTACCATCGAATTATCAAGGAGTGGAATTCATTACCTCAGCACGTGGTTGAGACTCCATCCGTCGACTATTTCAAACGAAAGCTGGATCAACTGAGAGACCATCATTGCCAGGACTAACACAGGCCATCAAGCCTCCCGTCCTTTCCAAACTGAAGTAAATGATTTGGGTGGAATTTCAAAATGTCAGTGATCTACTTTTACAACAAATTTGTTCTGATGCTTTTTCTGAAAAAATACAATGAAAGTTTTATAACTAAACCATCCAACTCAGGGAACGAAACTTTGACGAAATGCTTGGTGATGGAGTATGTTTACAAATTAAACTCGACTGATCTCTTGACAGGAATTCTCACCTCCATCACCAAACAGTACATTAGCTGATATTACTACTGAACTAAGTCTGACGAACTTCAGAAAATTCGATTTTACATACATTTGGATCATATGGTAGTATAGACAATCAATTAAATGGATGCAATTGTTTGAAAGATAATATTGATGTACTATTTACACGTTAATTAATAACACTTACTTCTCTTGTACGGTTTTATCAGTATGGCTAAAACGAATGTAATAATAACAACAGCAATTATGGAGAATAAATTCATTTAGTGTTGTTTGTTTAAATCTTCCGATGGTTGTTTAGGACTATGACTAATCAATCTCTTGTTGTGGTTACCAGGACTCAGTAGGTAAGTGGATAATGGATAGCGTTTGGAGTGAACTGTACTGTATTCGAAATCCGGAGGTAAAATCAACTCTGGGATGAAGTTACATCCAGCTAACGAAACACGAATCGGGTGAAACACACGTACTGGATTCCACTTCCAGCCACCATCCATAAATCATGGAGAATTATTTCAAGTGATTCACTCTCAATATATATACTTTTAACTAAATGCTATCGATGTTATCATCATGCATTCATATGACCAAGGAACTCAATATACCTTTTGAAACGTATGAAAAAAAATGAAGAAGAAGAATGAAAGAATTGCAAGAATTACGGTTAAATTTTGTTTGTAAAACTATATACTCACCTTGGAGTTGTGTTTGTATGCTGAGATCTAAAGAGAAACACATTATAGTTCATGAATAAACATAATAGTCTCGATGTTATACATTCACAGTATTAGTATGTGTTGTATGGAGTCGTATAATGAATTCACGCTATGATCACTTATGAATCAAGTGAATGTACATCATTGTGAATCGTGTTTGATTGTTGATGTTGGATGATGGAATTGTGTAGAATAATGTTGTTTGTTTGTTCGCTGGCATCTGACAATCAACACTGATCCTCTGAAAATCTAACAACAATATTCACTCATGTCTTGATTTGTCATACCTCCGCCTGTAGCTCCTCTGGGGGTTACTGCCGGTCCCAAGCCCGGGTAAAGGAGGAGGGTTGAGCATGGGGTTAGCGACCCCATCCCGTAGAAAATCAACTCGCTAAAAAACGCTAACCAGAAAAAATCATTCAAACCTTTCAAACTCTGCCCTGGGAGTAAAAGGAATCATTATGACGTCTCATGATGAAAGTCGAGTTCCTTCGGAAGTCATGAGGCCGATGCACCTTCTTACAACCAGAGCGACAATTTTTATAGGTACATGGAATGTCCGAACAATGTGGGAGACCGGAAGAGTTTTCCGAATTGCTGCAGAAATGAGAAAATACAACCTGGAGGTTCTTGGAATCAGCGAAACACATTGGACGCAGGTTGGACAACAACGACTGTCTTCAGGAGAACTTCTGTTATACTCCGGTCATGAAGAACAAAATGCCCCACATACACAAGGAGTTGCATTGATGCTGTCCAGAAAAGCACAAAATGCACCTCTAGGATGGGAATCTCATGGACCAAGGATCATCAAAGCCTCCTTCAAAACAAAGAGAGAAGGCATTACAATGAACGTCATCCAATGCTATACGCCTACCAATGACTACGATGAAGACGCTAAAGACTAATTCTACGACAGGTTGCATCGATCTTCGAGAAGTGCCCAACCAAGGACCTGACAATTCTGATGGGAGATCTCAATGCTAAGGTTGGAATGGACAACACTGGATACGAAGACGTCATGGGACAACATGGACTGGGAGGAAGGAACGAAAATGGTGAGAGATTTGCGAACTTATGTGCCTTCAATAAACTGGTCATAGGTGGCACCATATTCTCACACAAAAACATACACAAAGCCACTTGGATTTCACCGGATCACATTACACAGAATCAAATCGACCATATCTGCATCAACAAAATTTCAGGAGGACGATGGAGGATGTGAGAACCAGAAGAGGAGCTGATATAGCATCCGATCATCATTTGCTGGTCACCAAGATGAAACTAAAACTCAAGAAGCAGTGGACAACGGCGCGAACAACATCACAAAAGTTTAACACGGCCTTTCTTCGAGATGGTGACAAACTCAACAAATTCAACATAGCCCTCAGCCACAGGTTCGAGACCTTTCATGACCTACTCAATGGAGAGGGAACTACCATGGAGAGCAACTGGAAAGGTATCAAGGAGGCAATCGTTTCAACATGTCAAGAGGTTCTGGGCCAAAAGAAGCACCATCACAAGGAATGGATCACTGTTGGTACACTGGATAAGATTGAAGCAAGGAGGAACAAGAAGGCAGCAATCAATATCAGCCGAACAAGAGCGGAAAAAGCCAAGGCACAAGCCGAATACACAGAGGCAAACAAGCAAGTGAAGAGGAGCATCAGAACCGACAAACGTAAATATGTTGAAGATTTAGCAACGACAGCGGAAAAGTCTGCAAGAGAAGGAAACATGAGACAATTGTATGATACAACAAAGAAACTTGCTGGAAATTACCGTAAGCCAGAAAGACCAGTGAAAAGCAAGGAAGGCAAAGTAATCACCAACACTGAAGAACAACGAAACAGGTGGGTAGAACACTTCAAAGAACTCTTAAATCGACCAGCTCCACTGAACCCACCCAACATCGAAGCAGCACCCACATACCTCCCAATCGATATTGGCCCACCAACAATTGAAGAGATCAGCATGACCATTAGACAAGTCAAGAGTGGCAAAGCAGCGGTACCAGACAACATCCCGGCAGAGGCACTGAAAGCAAATGTAACAGCAACTGCCAAGATACTCCACATCCTCTTCAGTAAGATTTGGGACGAAGAACAAGTACCAACAGACTGGAAAAAAGGACTTCTGATCAAGATACCAAAGAAAGGCGATCTCAGCAAGTGCGACAACTACAGGGGCATCACTATTCTCTCAATACCAGGAAAAGTCTTAAACCAAGTATTGTTAAACAGGATGAAGGATTCCATGGACGCCCAACTTCGAGATCAACAAGCTGTATTTCGTAAGGATAGATCGTGCACAGATCAAAACGTAACTCTGCGGATCATTGTGGAACAATCAATCGAATGGAATTCATCACTCTACATCAACTTCATCGACTACGAGAAGGCATTTGATAGCGTGGACAGGACGAAACTATGGAAGCTTCTTCGACACTACGGCGTGCTTGAGAAGATAGTCAATATCATACGGAGCTCCTATGATGGATTAAACTGCCAAATCGTCAACGGAGGACAACTCACCGACTCGTTTCAAGTAAAGACCGGTGTTAGGCAAGGTTGCTTACTCTCACCCTTTCTCTTTCTCCTGGTGATCGACTGGATCATGAAGACGTCAACATCTGGAGGAAATCACGGGATACAGTGGACAGGCAGGATGAAACTTGACGATCTAGACTTCGCGGATGATCTGGCTCTTCTATCACAAACGCAACAACAAATGCAGGAGAAAACGACCACTGTAGCAGCAGCCTCAACAGCAGTAGGTCTCAATATAAACAAAGAGAAAAGCAAGACTCTCCGATACAATACAATATGCACCAATCAAATTACACTTGATGGAGAAGCTTTGGAGGATGTGGAAACCTTTACATATCTGGGCAGCATCATTGATGAACACGGTGGATCAGAAGCAGATGTGAGGGCGCGGATCGGCAAAGCAAGAGCAGCATACCTACAACTGAAAAGCATTTGGAGCTCAAAACATTTGTCAACCAACACCAAGGTTAGAATTTTCAAAACAAATGTCAAGACAGTTCTACTGTATGGGGCGGAGACGTGGAGAAATACGAAAGCCATTATGCAGAAGATACAAGGGTACATCAACAGCTGTCTACGCAAAATACTTCGGATCCGATGGCACATACTATAGAATAGAATGATTGAAGATGATGATGAATTCTGTCAGATGATTGATTTGGAATGATAGTGTTGAGACAATCTGTTCTTGATGTTAGATTGTTACACTGATGACTGAGACACAGATACATGTTAGTGACGATAGATAGTTGAGAAAATTCTCACATTCACACTACTCAATATGTTGTTTGATGATGTCGTAACTTAGCCAATTTAGTGAGAATGAAGAAATATTGATGTGACAAACTGTAATCATCAGTGGAGTTGATATGTGTAAGGGTGTGAAGGAAAATTCTTTGTTTGTCATTCAGTTAGTTAGTTGGTTAGAGATGAATAGAATGAAAGTGTCAATAAAACTATGCTGATTGTTGATAGTTGTCTGTCAAGTGACACTGATTCAATGATGCATCATTGACACATCACCTCTAATCTGTGTGAAGTTGAGACATGTAAATTCCTATACTTTGTTCAACACATTTACAAATCGAACAGCCAGTTGTGTTTCACCAGTATCTTCTTCTCAACGAACAAGTAACATATCATTCATTAATTAGCGGTTATTTAAATAGAAATTGAACAGTATACCATCATGTTATTACATGTAGAACTGTATACTCACCTTGCAGTTGTGGTTGAATGCTGAGACCTAAAGAGAATGCATTATAGTTCATGAATAAAAATAATAGTCCCAATGTTATGTATTCACAGTATTAGTATGTGCGTCAGACGAGGTCGTCTATAGAATTGACGATATGATCACTTATGAATCAAGTGAATGAACATCATTGTGAATCGTGTTTGATTGTTGATGTTGGATGATGGAATTGTGTAGAATAATGTTGTTTGTTTGTTCGCTGGCATCTGACAATCAACACTGATCCTCTGAAAATCTAACAACAATATTCACTCATGTCTTGATTTGTCATACATGAGGACTTTAGTGTATGTTCTATGTAGTTGTGAATTGAATGTTTCCAGTTCGTGAATATGTTCATCAGTTTACATATGTGACATGATAACTGTTATTTATTCAACTTCACGGACTACTTAGTATTGTTCATTGTTGTGAATGGAAATAATGATTAATATGAATGAATTTTACTTACTTTTTAGGTGTTGGTGTTGTTTTTGCTGGTACTGTGTTGTGGTGAGACCTAAACGAAGTGTGTTGAAATTGATGAGTATGTTACATGAATCAAATAGTTTGTAGAATAATAAATGGAATGACAGTGATAATAATCAGTCTGCCAGTATGCTTCAACTTAGGATAAGGCACATATGTGCATCCTGTCTTAGTTGTCACACCTCATTATCACAACTACATGAATAACATATTCATATTGTTTACTTGAATGCTAGTGATATATAAAACAAACGTTGCGTATAATGATATGATTCAGGAACAAAGAATTAATAATGCCACAGAACATCTCGGTCTACAGAGTCAAATACTGATTTTAAGTCAACAGAAATTACCATTGACGGACGCCGATAAGCATGCTTGTGTTCTTAGATCTGACGAATGGCGAATATGTGGCCACAATCAAATCTGAAGTCAACCTGATTTTCTCGTGTTTGGAGCTTAAGAGCCTTTGTTAGATGTGTGATAATTATTGCGGCTAGTACTACAGATAATATACTGGGCAAACTAATCCATCTGTGGTTATTACAGGAAGATTTCAACACCTTATATTTTGGGACCATAAGTGATTGTGACCAGTCAGATTGGATTACATCCAACTCCCACATTCTATCTAAAATATTATTCAACCTAATCAGCAAAACCTGAACATCGTACTTAGGGACCTCCGGAGTCAATCCGTCTGGACCGTCTGGTCTTCTTTGTTTCACATTAGCTATAACCTTTTTGAACTTCAGCCACAGTTGGAAGACCTACCTCAATGTTCCATTCAAGCTGTTTGGTAATGTTGTGTAGTTGTAGAGTAGATGAAGACCAGCTGAACTGCCACTTAAAGTGTTCAACCTATCGTTCTGAACGTCTGGGTTGAGAGCAGATAATGGTGTCGTCTTTTTCTGAAATAGTCTCATTTACACTTCACTTGTTAATTCCAGTTTCTTTTATTAGTCTGAAAAGTTGCCTTGTGTTACCTACAGCCGCTGCTTTTTACATTTGTTTTGATTTGGTTGCCGACCGCTGCTCACGGTCACTCCTTGGACTTTTGGTCAACCTAGATCTGATTTGTTTACATTCTTCATCGTGTTCAGAGCCTGATGTGATGATTTTACGAGAATACGTCAGCTCATTAAACTTAGTAGGATTTTACTGGATTTTAGTGAGCCTTTAGTTCAGATACCTAAAGGATGTTACGGCTGTTTCCACAGCTACTCACTTAACTTTCCATGCAGAATCTCTGTTAGCCACTTTTACAGAACCACCTGAGTGTGACCTCAGTTGTTCGACTATTGGTTTTCGTGTCAATCAGTTCAATTGTAATGAATCTCCTTAGTGTGGTTATTCTGCGTACATTCACCGATTGACATTCTACTATCTTTCGCAAAGTCGTCACTGATAACATTTGTGTCAGTGAACAAAAGGAAAACGTTAACCACTTACAGTGTAGTTTTCAGCCAACTGTGATGTCTGAATGAATCGTGTTAAAATTCAAGAAATAAACAAGTGAATATTCAATATACACAGTATTCAATGTGAATACATCAATGAGTGACGATCATATGTTGTTGCAAAACTAAAGCACAAATGTGGTTGGCATCACTTATTCCAGCAATAGTCGATTGAAAGATACAAATCAATGAGTGTCATGTTATACATTCACGATGTTAGTACAGATCGAACGATACAGATGTAGGAATTTATGATGTGGCATATACTATAGAATAGAATGATTGAAGATGATGATGAATTCTGTCAGATGATTGATTTGGAATGATAGTGTTGAGACAATCTGTTCTTGATGTTAGATTGTTACACTGATGACTGAGACACAGATACATGTTAGTGACGATAGATAGTTGAGAAAATTCTCACATTCACACTACTCAATATGTTGTTTGATGATGTCGTAACTTAGCCAATTTAGTGAGAATGAAGAAATATTGATGTGACAAACTGTAATCATCAGTGGAGTTGATATGTGTAAGGGTGTGAAGGAAAATTCTTTGTTTGTCATTCAGTTAGTTAGTTGGTTAGAGATGAATAGAATGAAAGTGTCAATAAAACTATGCTGATTGTTGATAGTTGTCTGTCAAGTGACACTGATTCAATGATGCATCATTGACACATCACCTCTAATCTGTGTGAAGTTGAGACATGTAAATTCCTATACTTTGTTCAACACATTTACAAATCGAACAGCCAGTTGTGTTTCACCAGTATCTTCTTCTCAACGAACAAGTAACATATCATTCATTAATTAGCGGTTATTTAAATAGAAATTGAACAGTATACCATCATGTTATTACATGTAGAACTGTATACTCACCTTGCAGTTGTGGTTGAATGCTGAGACCTAAAGAGAATGCATTATAGTTCATGAATAAAAATAATAGTCCCAATGTTATGTATTCACAGTATTAGTATGTGCGTCAGACGAGGTCGTCTATCGAATTGACGATATGATCACTTATGAATCAAGTGAATGAACATCATTGTGAATCGTGTTTGATTGTTGATGTTGGATGATGGAATTGTGTAGAATAATGTTGTTTGTTTGTTCGCTGGCATCTGACAATCAACACTGATCCTCTGAAAATCTAACAACAATATTCACTCATGTCTTGATTTGTCATACATGAGGACTTTAGTGTATGTTCTATGTAGTTGTGAATTGAATGTTTCCAGTTCGTGAATATGTTCATCAGTTTACATATGTGACATGATAACTGTTATTTATTCAACTTCACGGACTACTTAGTATTGTTCATTGTTGTGAATGGAAATAATGATTAATATGAATGAATTTTACTTACTTTTTAGGTGTTGGTGTTGTTTTTGCTGGTACTGTGTTGTGGTGAGACCTAAACGAAGTGTGTTGAAATTGATGAGTATGTTACATGAATCAAATAGTTTGTAGAATAATAAATGGAATGACAGTGATAATAATCAGTCTGCCAGTATGCTTCAACTTAGGATAAGGCACATATGTGCATCCTGTCTTAGTTGTCACACCTCATTATGACAACTACATGAATAACATATTCATATTGTTTACTTGAATGCTAGTGATATATAAAACAAACGTTGCGTATAATGATATGATTCAGGAACAAAGAATTAATAATGCCACAGAACATCTCGGTCTACAGAGTCAAATACTGATTTTAAGTCAACAGAAATTACCATTGACGGACGCCGATAAGCATGCTTGTGTTCTTAGATCTGACGAATGGCGAATATGTGGCCACAATCAAATCTGAAGTCAACCTGATTTTCTCGTGTTTGGAGCTTAAGAGCCTTTGTTAGATGTGTGATAATTATTGCGGCTAGTACTACAGATAATATACTGGGCAAACTAATCCATCTGTGGTTATTACAGGAAGATTTCAACACCTTATATTTTGGGACCATAAGTGATTGTGACCAGTCAGATTGGATTACATCCAACTCCCACATTCTATCTAAAATATTATTCAACCTAATCAGCAAAACCTGAACATCGTACTTAGGGACCTCCGGAGTCAATCCGTCTGGACCGTCTGGTCTTCTTTGTTTCACATTAGCTATAACCTTTTTGAACTTCAGCCACAGTTGGAAGACCTACCTCAATGTTCCATTCAAGCTGTTTGGTAATGTTGTGTAGTTGTAGAGTAGATGAAGACCAGCTGAACTGCCACTTAAAGTGTTCAACCTATCGTTCTGAACGTCTGGGTTGAGAGCAGATAATGGTGTCGTCTTTTTCTGAAATAGTCTCATTTACACTTCACTTGTTAATTCCAGTTTCTTTTATTAGTCTGAAAAGTTGCCTTGTGTTACCTACAGCCGCTGCTTTTTACATTTGTTTTGATTTGGTTGCCGACCGCTGCTCACGGTCACTCCTTGGACTTTTGGTCAACCTAGATCTGATTTGTTTACATTCTTCATCGTGTTCAGAGCCTGATGTGATGATTTTACGAGAATACGTCAGCTCATTAAACTTAGTAGGATTTTACTGGATTTTAGTGAGCCTTTAGTTCAGATACCTAAAGGATGTTACGGCTGTTTCCACAGCTACTCACTTAACTTTCCATGCAGAATCTCTGTTAGCCACTTTTACAGAACCACCTGAGTGTGACCTCAGTTGTTCGACTATTGGTTTTCGTGTCAATCAGTTCAATTGTAATGAATCTCCTTAGTGTGGTTATTCTGCGTACATTCACCGATTGACATTCTACTATCTTTCGCAAAGTCGTCACTGATAACATTTGTGTCAGTGAACAAAAGGAAAACGTTAACCACTTACAGTGTAGTTTTCAGCCAACTGTGATGTCTGAATGAATCGTGTTAAAATTCAAGAAATAAACAAGTGAATATTCAATATACACAGTATTCAATGTGAATACATCAATGAGTGACGATCATATGTTGTTGCAAAACTAAAGCACAAATGTGGTTGGCATCACTTATTCCAGCAATAGTCGATTGAAAGATACAAATCAATGAGTGTCATGTTATACATTCACGATGTTAGTACAGATCGAACGATACAGATGTAGGAATTTATGATGTGGCATATACTATAGAATAGAATGATTGAAGATGATGATGAATTCTGTCAGATGATTGATTTGGAATGATAGTGTTGAGACAATCTGTTCTTGATGTTAGATTGTTACACTGATGACTGAGACACAGATACATGTTAGTGACGATAGATAGTTGAGAAAATTCTCACATTCACACTACTCAATATGTTGTTTGATGATGTCGTAACTTAGCCAATTTAGTGAGAATGAAGAAATATTGATGTGACAAACTGTAATCATCAGTGGAGTTGATATGTGTAAGGGTGTGAAGGAAAATTCTTTGTTTGTCATTCAGTTAGTTAGTTGGTTAGAGATGAATAGAATGAAAGTGTCAATAAAACTATGCTGATTGTTGATAGTTGTCTGTCAAGTGACACTGATTCAATGATGCATCATTGACACATCACCTCTAATCTGTGTGAAGTTGAGACATGTAAATTCCTATACTTTGTTCAACACATTTACAAATCGAACAGCCAGTTGTGTTTCACCAGTATCTTCTTCTCAACGAACAAGTAACATATCATTCATTAATTAGCGGTTATTTAAATAGAAATTGAACAGTATACCATCATGTTATTACATGTAGAACTGTATACTCACCTTGCAGTTGTGGTTGAATGCTGAGACCTAAAGAGAATGCATTATAGTTCATGAATAAAAATAATAGTCCCAATGTTATGTATTCACAGTATTAGTATGTGCGTCAGACGAGGTCGTCTATCGAATTGACGATATGATCACTTATGAATCAAGTGAATGAACATCATTGTGAATCGTGTTTGATTGTTGATGTTGGATGATGGAATTGTGTAGAATAATGTTGTTTGTTTGTTCGCTGGCATCTGACAATCAACACTGATCCTCTGAAAATCTAACAACAATATTCACTCATGTCTTGATTTGTCATACATGAGGACTTTAGTGTATGTTCTATGTAGTTGTGAATTGAATGTTTCCAGTTCGTGAATATGTTCATCAGTTTACATATGTGACATGATAACTGTTATTTATTCAACTTCACGGACTACTTAGTATTGTTCATTGTTGTGAATGGAAATAATGATTAATATGAATGAATTTTACTTACTTTTTAGGTGTTGGTGTTGTTTTTGCTGGTACTGTGTTGTGGTGAGACCTAAACGAAGTGTGTTGAAATTGATGAGTATGTTACATGAATCAAATAGTTTGTAGAATAATAAATGGAATGACAGTGATAATAATCAGTCTGCCAGTATGCTTCAACTTAGGATAAGGCACATATGTGCATCCTGTCTTAGTTGTCACACCTCATTATCACAACTACATGAATAACATATTCATATTGTTTACTTGAATGCTAGTGATATATAAAACAAACGTTGCGTATAATGATATGATTCAGGAACAAAGAATTAATAATGCCACAGAACATCTCGGTCTACAGAGTCAAATACTGATTTTAAGTCAACAGAAATTACCATTGACGGACGCCGATAAGCATGCTTGTGTTCTTAGATCTGACGAATGGCGAATATGTGGCCACAATCAAATCTGAAGTCAACCTGATTTTCTCGTATTTGGAGCTTAAGAGCCTTTGTTAGATGTGTGATAATTATTGCGGCTAGTACTACAGATAATATACTGGGCAAACTAATCCATCTGTGGTTATTACAGGAAGATTTCAACACCTTATATTTTGGGACCATAAGTGATTGTGACCAGTCAGATTGGATTACATCCAACTCCCACATTCTATCTAAAATATTATTCAACCTAATCAGCAAAACCTGAACATCGTACTTAGGGACCTCCGGAGTCAATCCGTCTGGACCGTCTGGTCTTCTTTGTTTCACATTAGCTATAACCTTTTTGAACTTCAGCCACAGTTGGAAGACCTACCTCAATGTTCCATTCAAGCTGTTTGGTAATGTTGTGTAGTTGTAGAGTAGATGAAGACCAGCTGAACTGCCACTTAAAGTGTTCAACCTATCGTTCTGAACGTCTGGGTTGAGAGCAGATAATGGTGTCGTCTTTTTCTGAAATAGTCTCATTTACACTTCACTTGTTAATTCCAGTTTCTTTTATTAGTCTGAAAAGTTGCCTTGTGTTACCTACAGCCGCTGCTTTTTACATTTGTTTTGATTTGGTTGCCGACCGCTGCTCACGGTCACTCCTTGGACTTTTGGTCAACCTAGATCTGATTTGTTTACATTCTTCATCGTGTTCAGAGCCTGATGTGATGATTTTACGAGAATACGTCAGCTCATTAAACTTAGTAGGATTTTACTGGATTTTAGTGAGCCTTTAGTTCAGATACCTAAAGGATGTTACGGCTGTTTCCACAGCTACTCACTTAACTTTCCATGCAGAATCTCTGTTAGCCACTTTTACAGAACCACCTGAGTGTGACCTCAGTTGTTCGACTATTGGTTTTCGTGTCAATCAGTTCAATTGTAATGAATCTCCTTAGTGTGGTTATTCTGCGTACATTCACCGATTGACATTCTACTATCTTTCGCAAAGTCGTCACTGATAACATTTGTGTCAGTGAACAAAAGGAAAACGTTAACCACTTACAGTGTAGTTTTCAGCCAACTGTGATGTCTGAATGAATCGTGTTAAAATTCAAGAAATAAACAAGTGAATATTCAATATACACAGTATTCAATGTGAATACATCAATGAGTGACGATCATATGTTGTTGCAAAACTAAAGCACAAATGTGGTTGGCATCACTTATTCCAGCAATAGTCGATTGAAAGATACAAATCAATGAGTGTCATGTTATACATTCACGATGTTAGTACAGATCGAACGATACAGATGTAGGAATTTATGATGTGGCATATACTATAGAATAGAATGATTGAAGATGATGATGAATTCTGTCAGATGATTGATTTGGAATGATAGTGTTGAGACAATCTGTTCTTGATGTTAGATTGTTACACTGATGACTGAGACACAGATACATGTTAGTGACGATAGATAGTTGAGAAAATTCTCACATTCACACTACTCAATATGTTGTTTGATGATGTCGTAACTTAGCCAATTTAGTGAGAATGAAGAAATATTGATGTGACAAACTGTAATCATCAGTGGAGTTGATATGTGTAAGGGTGTGAAGGAAAATTCTTTGTTTGTCATTCAGTTAGTTAGTTGGTTAGAGATGAATAGAATGAAAGTGTCAATAAAACTATGCTGATTGTTGATAGTTGTCTGTCAAGTGACACTGATTCAATGATGCATCATTGACACATCACCTCTAATCTGTGTGAAGTTGAGACATGTAAATTCCTATACTTTGTTCAACACATTTACAAATCGAACAGCCAGTTGTGTTTCACCAGTATCTTCTTCTCAACGAACAAGTAACATATCATTCATTAATTAGCGGTTATTTAAATAGAAATTGAACAGTATACCATCATGTTATTACATGTAGAACTGTATACTCACCTTGCAGTTGTGGTTGAATGCTGAGACCTAAAGAGAATGCATTATAGTTCATGAATAAAAATAATAGTCCCAATGTTATGTATTCACAGTATTAGTATGTGCGTCAGACGAGGTCGTCTATCGAATTGACGATATGATCACTTATGAATCAAGTGAATGAACATCATTGTGAATCGTGTTTGATTGTTGATGTTGGATGATGGAATTGTGTAGAATAATGTTGTTTGTTTGTTCGCTGGCATCTGACAATCAACACTGATCCTCTGAAAATCTAACAACAATATTCACTCATGTCTTGATTTGTCATACATGAGGACTTTAGTGTATGTTCTATGTAGTTGTGAATTGAATGTTTCCAGTTCGTGAATATGTTCATCAATTTACATATGTGACATGATAACTGTTATTTATTCAACTTCACGGACTACTTAGTATTGTTCATTGTTGTGAATGGAAATAATGATTAATATGAATGAATTTTACTTACTTTTTAGGTGTTGGTGTTGTTTTTGCTGGTACTGTGTTGTGGTGAGACCTAAACGAAGTGTGTTGAAATTGATGAGTATGTTACATGAATCAAATAGTTTGTAGAATAATAAATGGAATGACAGTGATAATAATCAGTCTGCCAGTATGCTTCAACTTAGGATAAGGCACATATGTGCATCCTGTCTTAGTTGTCACACCTCATTATCACAACTACATGAATAACATATTCATATTGTTTACTTGAATGCTAGTGATATATAAAACAAACGTTGCGTATAATGATATGATTCAGGAACAAAGAATTAATAATGCCACAGAACATCTCGGTCTACAGAGTCAAATACTGATTTTAAGTCAACAGAAATTACCATTGACGGACGCCGATAAGCATGCTTGTGTTCTTAGATCTGACGAATGGCGAATATGTGGCCACAATCAAATCTGAAGTCAACCTGATTTTCTCGTGTTTGGAGCTTAAGAGCCTTTGTTAGATGTGTGATAATTATTGCGGCTAGTACTACAGATAATATACTGGGCAAACTAATCCATCTGTGGTTATTACAGGAAGATTTCAACACCTTATATTTTGGGACCATAAGTGATTGTGACCAGTCAGATTGGATTACATCCAACTCCCACATTCTATCTAAAATATTATTCAACCTAATCAGCAAAACCTGAACATCGTACTTAGGGACCTCCGGAGTCAATCCGTCTGGACCGTCTGGTCTTCTTTGTTTCACATTAGCTATAACCTTTTTGAACTTCAGCCACAGTTGGAAGACCTACCTCAATGTTCCATTCAAGCTGTTTGGTAATGTTGTGTAGTTGTAGAGTAGATGAAGACCAGCTGAACTGCCACTTAAAGTGTTCAACCTATCGTTCTGAACGTCTGGGTTGAGAGCAGATAATGGTGTCGTCTTTTTCTGAAATAGTCTCATTTACACTTCACTTGTTAATTCCAGTTTCTTTTATTAGTCTGAAAAGTTGCCTTGTGTTACCTACAGCCGCTGCTTTTTACATTTGTTTTGATTTGGTTGCCGACCGCTGCTCACGGTCACTCCTTGGACTTTTGGTCAACCTAGATCTGATTTGTTTACATTCTTCATCGTGTTCAGAGCCTGATGTGATGATTTTACGAGAATACGTCAGCTCATTAAACTTAGTAGGATTTTACTGGATTTTAGTGAGCCTTTAGTTCAGATACCTAAAGGATGTTACGGCTGTTTCCACAGCTACTCACTTAACTTTCCATGCTGAATCTCTGTTAGCCACTTTTACAGAACCACCTGAGTGTGACCTCAGTTGTTCGACTATTGGTTTTCGTGTCAATCAGTTCAATTGTAATGAATCTCCTTAGTGTGGTTATTCTGCGTACATTCACCGATTGACATTCTACTATCTTTCGCAAAGTCGTCACTGATAACATTTGTGTCAGTGAACAAAAGGAAAATGTTAACCACTTACAGTGTAGTTTTCAGCCAACTGTGATGTCTGAATGAATCGTGTTAAAATTCAAGAAATAAACAAGTGAATATTCAATATACACAGTATTCAATGTGAATACATCAATGAGTGACGATCATATGTTGTTGCAAAACTAAAGCACAAATGTGGTTGGCATCACTTATTCCAGCAATAGTCGATTGAAAGATACAAATCAATGAGTGTCATGTTATACATTCACGATGTTAGTACAGATCGAACGATACAGATGTAGGAATTTATGATGTGGCATATACTATAGAATAGAATGATTGAAGATGATGATGAATTCTGTCAGATGATTGATTTGGAATGATAGTGTTGAGACAATCTGTTCTTGATGTTAGATTGTTACACTGATGACTGAGACACAGATACATGTTAGTGACGATAGATAGTTGAGAAAATTCTCACATTCACACTACTCAATATGTTGTTTGATGATGTCGTAACTTAGCCAATTTAGTGAGAATGAAGAAATATTGATGTGACAAACTGTAATCATCAGTGGAGTTGATATGTGTAAGGGTGTGAAGGAAAATTCTTTGTTTGTCATTCAGTTAGTTAGTTGGTTAGAGATGAATAGAATGAAAGTGTCAATAAAACTATGCTGATTGTTGATAGTTGTCTGTCAAGTGACACTGATTCAATGATGCATCATTGACACATCACCTCTAATCTGTGTGAAGTTGAGACATGTAAATTCCTATACTTTGTTCAACACATTTACAAATCGAACAGCCAGTTGTGTTTCACCAGTATCTTCTTCTCAACGAACAAGTAACATATCATTCATTAATTAGCGGTTATTTAAATAGAAATTGAACAGTATACCATCATGTTATTACATGTAGAACTGTATACTCACCTTGCAGTTGTGGTTGAATGCTGAGACCTAAAGAGAATGCATTATAGTTCATGAATAAAAATAATAGTCCCAATGTTATGTATTCACAGTATTAGTATGTGCGTCAGACGAGGTCGTCTATCGAATTGACGATATGATCACTTATGAATCAAGTGAATGAACATCATTGTGAATCGTGTTTGATTGTTGATGTTGGATGATGGAATTGTGTAGAATAATGTTGTTTGTTTGTTCGCTGGCATCTGACAATCAACACTGATCCTCTGAAAATCTAACAACAATATTCACTCATGTCTTGATTTGTCATACATGAGGACTTTAGTGTATGTTCTATGTAGTTGTGAATTGAATGTTTCCAGTTCGTGAATATGTTCATCAATTTACATATGTGACATGATAACTGTTATTTATTCAACTTCACGGACTACTTAGTATTGTTCATTGTTGTGAATGGAAATAATGATTAATATGAATGAATTTTACTTACTTTTTAGGTGTTGGTGTTGTTTTTGCTGGTACTGTGTTGTGGTGAGACCTAAACGAAGTGTGTTGAAATTGATGAGTATGTTACATGAATCAAATAGTTTGTAGAATAATAAATGGAATGACAGTGATAATAATCAGTCTGCCAGTATGCTTCAACTTAGGATAAGGCACATATGTGCATCCTGTCTTAGTTGTCACACCTCATTATCACAACTACATGAATAACATATTCATATTGTTTACTTGAATGCTAGTGATATATAAAACAAACGTTGCGTATAATGATATGATTCAGGAACAAAGAATTAATAATGCCACAGAACATCTCGGTCTACAGAGTCAAATACTGATTTTAAGTCAACAGAAATTACCATTGACGGGCGCCGATAAGCATGCTTGTGTTCTTAGATCTGACGAATGGCGAATATGTGGCCACAATCAAATCTGAAGTCAACCTGATTTTCTCGTGTTTGGAGCTTAAGAGCCTTTGTTAGATGTGTGATAATTATTGCGGCTAGTACTACAGATAATATACTGGGCAAACTAATCCATCTGTGGTTATTACAGGAAGATTTCAACACCTTATATTTTGGGACCATAAGTGATTGTGACCAGTCAGATTGGATTACATCCAACTCCCACATTCTATCTAAAATATTATTCAACCTAATCAGCAAAACCTGAACATCGTACTTAGGGACCTCCGGAGTCAATCCGTCTGGACCGTCTGGTCTTCTTTGTTTCACATTAGCTATAACCTTTTTGAACTTCAGCCACAGTTCGAAGACTTACCTCAATGTTCCATTCAAGCTGTTTGGTAATGTTGTGTAGTTGTAGAGTAGATGAAGACCAGCTGAACTGCCACTTAAAGTGTTCAACCTATCGTTCTGAACGTCTGGGTTGAGAGCAGATAATGGTGTCGTCTTTTTCTGAAATAGTCTCATTTACACTTCACTTGTTAATTCCAGTTTCTTTTATTAGTCTGAAAAGTTGCCTTGTGTTACCTACAGCCGCTGCTTTTTACATTTGTTTTGATTTGGTTGCCGACCGCTGCTCACGGTCACTCCTTGGACTTTTGGTCAACCTAGATCTGATTTGTTTACATTCTTCATCGTGTTCAGAGCCTGATGTGATGATTTTACGAGAATACGTCAGCTCATTAAACTTAGTAGGATTTTACTGGATTTTAGTGAGCCTTTAGTTCAGATACCTAAAGGATGTTACGGCTGTTTCCACAGCTACTCACTTAACTTTCCATGCTGAATCTCTGTTAGCCACTTTTACAGAACCACCTGAGTGTGACCTCAGTTGTTCGACTATTGGTTTTCGTGTCAATCAGTTCAATTGTAATGAATCTCCTTAGTGTGGTTATTCTGCGTACATTCACCGATTGACATTCTACTATCTTTCGCAAAGTCGTCACTGATAACATTTGTGTCAGTGAACAAAAGGAAAATGTTAACCACTTACAGTGTAGTTTTCAGCCAACTGTGATGTCTGAATGAATCGTGTTAAAATTCAAGAAATAAACAAGTGAATATTCAATATACACAGTATTCAATGTGAATACATCAATGAGTGACGATCATATGTTGTTGCAAAACTAAAGCACAAATGTGGTTGGCATCACTTATTCCAGCAATAGTCGATTGAAAGATACAAATCAATGAGTGTCATGTTATACATTCACGATGTTAGTACAGATCGAACGATACAGATGTAGGAATTTATGATGTGGCATATACTATAGAATAGAATGATTGAAGATGATGATGAATTCTGTCAGATGATTGATTTGGAATGATAGTGTTGAGACAATCTGTTCTTGATGTTAGATTGTTACACTGATGACTGAGACACAGATACATGTTAGTGACGATAGATAGTTGAGAAAATTCTCACATTCACACTACTCAATATGTTGTTTGATGATGTCGTAACTTAGCCAATTTAGTGAGAATGAAGAAATATTGATGTGACAAACTGTAATCATCAGTGGAGTTGATATGTGTAAGGGTGTGAAGGAAAATTCTTTGTTTGTCATTCAGTTAGTTAGTTGGTTAGAGATGAATAGAATGAAAGTGTCAATAAAACTATGCTGATTGTTGATAGTTGTCTGTCAAGTGACACTGATTCAATGATGCATCATTGACACATCACCTCTAATCTGTGTGAAGTTGAGACATGTAAATTCCTATACTTTGTTCAACACATTTACAAATCGAACAGCCAGTTGTGTTTCACCAGTATCTTCTTCTCAACGAACAAGTAACATATCATTCATTAATTAGCGGTTATTTAAATAGAAATTGAACAGTATACCATCATGTTATTACATGTAGAACTGTATACTCACCTTGCAGTTGTGGTTGAATGCTGAGACCTAAAGAGAATGCATTATAGTTCATGAATAAAAATAATAGTCCCAATGTTATGTATTCACAGTATTAGTATGTGCGTCAGACGAGGTCGTCTATAGAATTGACGATATGATCACTTATGAATCAAGTGAATGAACATCATTGTGAATCGTGTTTGATTGTTGATGTTGGATGATGGAATTGTGTAGAATAATGTTGTTTGTTTGTTCGCTGGCATCTGACAATCAACACTGATACTCTGAAAATCTAACAACAATATTCACTCATGTCTTGATTTGTCATACATGAGGACTTTAGTGTATGTTCTATGTAGTTGTGAATTGAATGTTTCCAGTTCGTGAATATGTTCATCAATTTACATATGTGACATGATAACTGTTATTTATTCAACTTCACGGACTACTTAGTATTGTTCATTGTTGTGAATGGAAATAATGATTAATATGAATGAATTTTACTTACTTTTTAGGTGTTGGTGTTGTTTTTGCTGGTACTGTGTTGTGGTGAGACCTAAACGAAGTGTGTTGAAATTGATGAGTATGTTACATGAATCAAATAGTTTGTAGAATAATAAATGGAATGACAGTGATAATAATCAGTCTGCCAGTATGCTTCAACTTAGGATAAGGCACATATGTGCATCCTGTCTTAGTTGTCACACCTCATTATCACAACTACATGAATAACATATTCATATTGTTTACTTGAATGCTAGTGATATATAAAACAAACGTTGCGTATAATGATATGATTCAGGAACAAAGAATTAATAATGCCACAGAACATCTCGGTCTACAGAGTCAAATACTGATTTTAAGTCAACAGAAATTACCATTGACGGGCGCCGATAAGCATGCTTGTGTTCTTAGATCTGACGAATGGCGAATATGTGGCCACAATCAAATCTGAAGTCAACCTGATTTTCTCGTGTTTGGAGCTTAAGAGCCTTTGTTAGATGTGTGATAATTATTGCGGCTAGTACTACAGATAATATACTGGGCAAACTAATCCATCTGTGGTTATTACAGGAAGATTTCAACACCTTATATTTTGGGACCATAAGTGATTGTGACCAGTCAGATTGGATTACATCCAACTCCCACATTCTATCTAAAATATTATTCAACCTAATCAGCAAAACCTGAACATCGTACTTAGGGACCTCCGGAGTCAATCCGTCTGGACCGTCTGGTCTTCTTTGTTTCACATTAGCTATAACCTTTTTGAACTTCAGCCACAGTTGGAAGACCTACCTCAATGTTCCATTCAAGCTGTTTGGTAATGTTGTGTAGTTGTAGAGTAGATGAAGACCAGCTGAACAGCCACTTAAAGTGTTCAACCTATCGTTCTGAACGTCTGGGTTGAGAGCAGATAATGGTGTCGTCTTTTTCTGAAATAGTCTCATTTACACTTCACTTGTTAATTCCAGTTTCTTTTATTAGTCTGAAAAGTTGCCTTGTGTTACCTACAGCCGCTGCTTTTTACATTTGTTTTGATTTGGTTGCCGACCGCTGCTCACGGTCACTCCTTGGACTTTTGGTCAACCTAGATCTGATTTGTTTACATTCTTCATCGTGTTCAGAGCCTGATGTGATGATTTTACGAGAATACGTCAGCTCATTAAACTTAGTAGGATTTTACTGGATTTTAGTGAGCCTTTAGTTCAGATACCTAAAGGATGTTACGGCTGTTTCCACAGCTACTCACTTAACTTTCCATGCTGAATCTCTGTTAGCCACTTTTACAGAACCACTTCGCGGATGATCTGGCTCTTCTATCACAAATGCAACAACAAATGCAGGAGAAAATGACCAGTGGAGCAGCAGCCTCAGCAGCAGTGTGTCCCAATATAAACAGAAGGAAGAGCAAGACTCTCCGATACAATACAATATGCACCAATCAAATTACACTTGATGGAGAAGCTTTGGAGGATGTGGAAACCTTTACATATCTGGGCAGCATCATTGATGAACACGGTGGATCAGAAGCAGATGTGAGGGCGCGGATCGGCAAAGCAAGAGCAGCATACCTACAACTGAAAAGCATTTGGAGCTCAAAACATTTGTCAACCAACACCAAGGTTAGAATTTTCGAAACAAATGTCAAGACAGTTCTACTGTATGGGGCGGAGACGTGGAGAAATACGAAAGCCATTATGCAGAAGATACAAGGGTTCATCAACAGCTGTCTACGCAAGATACTTCGGATCCGATGGCCAGACACTATCAGCAACAAGTTACTGTGGGAGACAACAAATTAGATTCCAGCAGAGGAAGAAATCAGGAGGAAGCGCTGGAAGTGGATAGGGCACACTTTGAGGAAATCACCCGATTGCGTCACAAGACAAGCCCTCACATGGAATCCTGAAGGTCAAAGTAGAAGAGGAATACTAAAGAACACATTACGCCGAGAAATAGAGACAGACATGAGAAGAATGAACAAGAACTGGATAGAACTAGAAAAGGAAGCCCAGGACAGAGTGGGTTGGAGAAAGCTGGTCAGCGGCCTATGCTCCATTGGGAGTAACAGGCGAAAGTAAGTAAGTAAGTAATGAAATGATTTTTGTTTTGTTTCTATTTGTTTGTTTGAATTCATCGAATAGTTTTTGTGTTATAGAGTATACTACTTACAATCACTTATTTTATTTTTGAAAAAAATTTGTACCATTAGTTATAATAATGTGTCATTTTAGATGACTTACAGCTTTCCTACATAATTATTTGTAGTGCTAAAATGAACAAGAGTTTTATTGATGTTAAAAAATTGTTGAAAATTTGGAAGCACTAGTCGTCTGTTTTTCATTGAAAAACTTAACAATCTTTACAACCCTAATGCTGATAATAATCATCATGTGCTCACCAGTGTCTAGCTTTGTCAAGTAATTCTTAGAGTTCTAGTGAGAAGCTGTGACCAGTGGAGCTGAACTGTGTCAGAAAATATTTGTATTAAACAATGGAAGATGGTCGAGCGATTTCGTGAATTGGTTGAGGTTAGACAATAACACCATTGGGTGCCAGCTCAGTGATTTAGAGGTTAGGCGTCCGCGGACGAGTTCGAAGGTCCTGGATTTGAACCCTGCGAGTTAGATTGTGGATGAGCACTTCCAAATAGTTCCATACTAGAATGAATAACTGTTCAGGTTTTCATTGTTGGTCTAATATTAATCGGCTTGTGATCTTAATCGACATAAAACTAAAATCTCATTTTCTTTTTGATGACTCCTAGTTCAGTTAACAATTGGTAGACTTTTTTACTGTTTTGTTAATTATTGGGATAGATCGTATTATGCTTATATGAATGATGACATCAGATGATGAATGTATTTTGTGTTAAATAAATAGAGTAAATGAAAATTCGCATGAATAATTGAATAAAAAAATGTAGGATTCTGTAAATCAATGCTCAGTAGTGGATTTTACATCGAGGCTATAATTTGTGGACGACCTTTGAACGAGTCTTAAGTGACCTTCGAAAACATTAGCCAATCAGGAAACAGTTGGCACAAAGTAAAAATATATTATACAAAACCAAGGAAGTAAAGTGGATATACTTCTTTTTATATAGTTCAAAAACTTGTCAAGGTTAGAAAGAGTTTCAGATGTTCTAAAATCGTAATGCATAAGGTAGAGGAAGTTATTCATATAATTCCATTATAGTCGACCTCTAGAGCCATGATAAGGTCACAAAAACTCTTTCAGCCTCGATCACATAGCCTCAATATTGTTTGTGTGCTCTCCGGCTGTTGGGTCCAGAAATTACCACTTATGGATAGCGGTACGACGGACATAACCAAGTCTATGTATGCATCGGTACGCTCTCTAATCACCCGTGTATATTTAAGTACCCGGGTGCATATGTTCCCGTATAATTAGTATTATCGTTGAAGCCTGTCGGTTTCTAAACCGTTAGAAGTGAACAACATGGAATTATGTTATGTTATCCAATCACGATCATACTTTGGTGACCGAAAACTCAGGTGTAGACAACTTATGTATTTTGACACAGAATTACAGAATCTCTTGATAGAATATGGAAACTATACGTTAAATACTTCATTTGCAAATTTCTATCATTTGTCCTTCATATTCTGTACGATTCTCCCAGTTCCCCTCTATTCTCTTCAACTCGATCGTCTTAACCTGCTGGTGCTGTCAGTTTTTCCACTTCCACTTGGTGTTACATACTACTTATGTATGTCGACATGAGTAGTGTACACCATAATACTACCACAAACTTAATTCTATCTTTTTATGATACAACAATGTGGCTATTAAACTAAATGATTAGGAATTCTTCCAGAGCTTTTTGAGATGTTTAAATATGAAATGATAGGACTGAATTGATCAAAGTTTCATATCTATTAATAAATAATCCGATGTCAATCGGTCACTTATTCACAGTGTAATGTGAGCGAATATAGACGTGAATTTATGGTCATATGGAAACATGGCGTAATGTAGCTGGGCACGTCAAGGGCATACATATACATGGAAAAGAGAACGATTCATCGGACAATATGCAAACTATCAGCTTATTGGCTAGAGTCTATCCTATGAGCATGTTTATACAAACACGATCGTGATCATAATAATACAAACAAATGGACAAACTATCAGAAGGGGGTTTTGTGAAGATTTTAATAATTTTATATAGCCGGCTCAGTGGTCTATCGGTTAAGTGCTCGCGCACGAGACTGATAGGTCCTGGGTTTGAATTTCACGAGGTGGGATCGTGCATGCGCACTACTGAGGAGTACCACAATAGAATGAAACGGCCGTCCAGTGCTTCCATGTTTTCCATAGTGGTTTAGTTTCAATTGACTCATGATCTCAACTATAAAAAATAGACAAATTGTTACTATCCAAATACTATTGTCTATTAAGTAAATGAATAAAAGGAATTAAATGTTTAACATGAAGAATTCAATTATCAATTTTTTTCTTAACTTACTGTCTAATAGTGTTGTTGGTTCTGTTTGAAATATTTTAAAAAAAAATTAAAAAATTTAAAAACCACCACCACCATAACAACAAAAATCATAATAATCTTCTTAATGTTTTTATTGTCATTCAAATGGTACTTCTTTGTCCAGGTTAGAGTTTCTTTTTTTAGCGAACTAGTTTTCTACGAGATGGGGTCGCTAACCCCTCCCCCTGTGTCCGGGCTTAAAAGTGGCAGTAGCCCCCAAGAGGAGCTACAAACTTTAATGTACTCCTATCGATTTAAATAATAATAATAAGTTTAGTTTTTTATCCCAATCAGATACTCTATTGAAATTTGTTTGTTTTTTTCAATGTAATCTTTTAATAACAAATGTTGACTATATTTGTTATGTTGCTACCTATGGAAAATATTACTGCCGTTGTGATTTATTTAAAACTCTATAGTTTAGATGATCTCAGTTAATAAATCAACATTAGAATCTAACTGCATTCAGTTAACAAGTTTTAAAATAGGTCTCTACTGTCAGTAATATATTAAATATAATCTCTAATCTATATATACAGTTGAAATCATGAGTCATTTGAAGCTAGACCACCATGGAAAAACTGGAATCACTGGACGGCCAACTTGTCCTATTGTGTGACTTCTGAACAGTGCGCATCGACGTTCTCACCTCTCGAGATTCAAACCCAGGACCTACTAGTCTCGCGCGGGAAACTAAACTACTTAGTTAGCATCCAACGGTGTTAATGTCGAACTTCAACTAATCCACAAAGTCGAGTAACCAATTCACCTATGTCTACAGTGGGTTCAAATCTCGCAAAGTGTGATCGTGGATGCGCATTGCCACTGAGGAGTCCTACAATAGGGTGAAATGGCTGTCCAATGCTTCCAGGTTTTCCATAGTGGTCTAGCTTTGATTGACTCATGATTTCAACTATATATAATAAATTACCAAAAATCTCCACAAACAACCCCATAGTCTCTGATTGTTAAGAAAACAAAGCTTATTTTTATTATACAATCATTTCGATTACCCTTATTTATTATTAGTATACAATGTAGATTTTGAAATGATGGAGAAGATTTGTATCCCATTGTGTGTGTTTAAACTGAATTTTTATATGAATATTAAATACAAAAATCACAAGCAAGTTCATTTAACTTAATACTTAAATTGTAGTGTAGGTTACTTATATTCACATAAGTAGTAGATAACAATGATCATGCACTAAATGTAATTCATTAGAAGATCAATAAAAAAAAGAACCGGAACAGAATGTAATCTATATGATAATGTATGAACAATAATAATCAAAGACAATGGACTGATATTTACAAAAGGAACAGTTAAGATTGAAATAATCGATTGATAGTTTACAAGTTAACCATTTATTATATGATTCTCATATTTTATTGGTATATTCTGTAATTTTGTACCTGAATACATTCGACTGTTCCCCACTTGTAATCTTGATTATTACAAAACTACAGTCATACATATTTGGAATAGCATGACTTAAAGTATAAACAATGTATTCTACCATCATAAATGACTCTTATATATAAATCATAATTAAGATACCTATTTTGATGAAATAGGTTGAATGAATATTACCGTATAATGACAAGAAGAAATTTCAATTCATCATTTAAATAAATAGAATCTAAACATTCTACTCATTGAAAATACCTTGGTGGATCTCTTTGACCTATATATAGAATAGAATATAAATTATAAATGTATTTCAATATAATGTTTATAAAAAAATAATAAACAAAGATAAAATGGTGACTAGTAATGGAATCCAGGAAACACGCTTCTTACCTGGATTCTAGAAATGATATTCAATCTGGGTTTCGAACTCGATACCGTTGGCTTCAAACGCTAACTCGTTATTCACTTAGCTATTGAGTTCTGATAGCTAGTAGCTTATGCAATTGGGGTGAAGTTTAAATTCATTTTGTATTGGTTGTTTGGATCTTTCTATTGATATTTAGAGATGCAATTGATCGGTCTCTTATTATCCATATGTGCATACTGTGCGTATTGCCTCTATATAGCCTTAATTTACAAGCATTATAAGCAAAGATGGATAGTGACTAGCAGTGCAATCCAGGAGGTGCGTTTCGTCCTATTTCGAACTCGTCAGCTGGATGTACCTGCATCTCAGAGTTCATCTTCACTCTGGGACTTGAACCCAGTACCGTTCGCTTCAAACTCCATCTCGTTATTCACTTACCTACTGTGTCATGATAGCCACTTACTTGTGAAATTGGGTGAATTTTGAATTCACTTAGTATTGCATACTGTGCGTATTGCCTCGATATAGCCTTAATTTACAAGCAGGACGAAACGCGCCTCCTGAATTTCCCTGCTAGCCACTATCCATCTTTGCTTATAATGCTGCTGACTTTATACTATTTATCTGTTTGAATTGAAACAGACAGACAGATAAAAAAAATTAATAGATTTTAACCATTCTATAACAATGAGAATACTATTAATAGATCCTAACCTCTAGTAAATAACCTATATACTACTGAAAACTTTAAAGACATTTCAATGATACCTAATTATATCATATTCTGAACTTAAGATTCATCTAAAAAGTAACACCAAGATCAGAATTTTCAATACAAATGTCAAGACAGTTCTACTGTGGTGGAAGAAATCAGGAAGAAGCGGTATAATTGAATAGGACACACATTGAGGAAATCACCCAACTGAGTCACAAGATAAGCCCTCACATGGAATCCTAAAGTCCAAGGGAAAAAAGGAAGATCAACGAACACATTACGCCGAGAAATAGAGACATACATGAGAAGAATGAACATAAGTTGTATAAAACTAGAAAGGAAGACCCATGATAGAGTGAGTGGGTTGGAGAATGCTGGTCGGCAGCCTATGCTCCATTGGAGGTAACAGACGTAAGTAAGTAAGTAAGTAAGTATTTAAGTAAACCTTTATAAATTTATCAAAAAGGTTTACACTTACCTTGTACATTATCAAATGTAACAATTCCTACGAATACAAATACCAAAATCACTATGAATCTATTCAACATTGTTGATGTGAATAAACAGAAATAAGTAGTATATTTATACTGTTCATTATGAAATTCTATTTGTATGGTAATTTTATCTGAGTACATTGAAATATGATACGTATATATGTATATATGATTAAATATTATTGTTTTAATAAGAATAATACATTATATTTACATTAATTATGATTAGTATTGCTTGTATTGTGGTGTGGTCTACTTATATCCACATAAGTAGTATAAGGTGATGGTCAGACATAGAATGTATTTTGGCACAAGATTGATAAGGAACGAACAGGAATGAAGCGTGATCGGCACGAAAATGCAAGAACAATGTGATCAGAGAAGACAAACTGATATCTGCAGAAGGAACAGTCAAGATTGAGACAATTGATTGTTATTTCGGAAATAAACTTCTTACTGTTTGGTTATCAGAATTTAGTGAGATAGTCTGTAATGTGTGCTAAAATACATTCGATTGTCCCAACTTATGTTCTTGTTCACTACAGTATTACCATTATTATTACTATCGTTATTGATATTACTACTATCGTTATTCGTATTCCGTGGAAGTATTCACTTTCGACCAGATCGTGATTGGAGATCGTTTAGATAGAACAAAGTTTCCATCATAGGCGAACTTCTGCATAAATTTAAAAGTAAGGATACACAAATTAGAAATAAAAGGAAGTGAATAAGTGACTTGATAAATAATAATAAAGTGTGAATTATCTGACTTTTAATCAGAGCGTGAACAGTATTTCCAGTAAATATCGTCATTTCATTTATTTGTATGTGGGCCGTGATACTGCCCGGGTGCCCTGACCGAAAAATGTGGTTTTCTTAGGGGGCCACACCCCGAGCCTTTGATCTAAAGGTCTAACCCACACGGCAGTGGGACATCGTGAGGAGATGCAGTTCCATGGTAGCCGGTGACCAACAATTGATTCATAAGCCATTTGTTCCTTCAGGATCCTGGAGCCCATGTGCCCCACTTGCACGGAATCGGGGTTTTCCAACTCCCCTAGTTGGACTTTACGTATCCACCAGCCCGGTTAAAGCGCCTGACATAACATGGTGTCGTGATATGAAAGAAAGCTGCGAATGGCTTGCTTCTGTTGGACCTTCACGACTCCCTGGCTGGGATTCCAGTGATAGTGTAACACAGTGGCTAGAGACGTTATCAGATATGGCTCAGAATAGAAGCCAGTGGCGATTCTGCTGTAACTTTCTTCATAAAATTGGTTATAACTTCCTTAACTAAAAGAGTTCTTCTGGTTGTACGTTTCTGTTTCTCCTATTATTATTCTTATTATTACACCAACGTACACCAATCTGTGGTTGTTATTGTTCTTTTCTTTTTCTTTTTATATCCACCTTGCCCCTTTTTCTCTTCCCATTCTGACTGTTTAGTGTGCCGCATATATATCTGGTCCCCCTTTGTACCAATATTTGTATATTTAAATAAATAAATAACTACCGTTATTACTATTACTATTATTACTACTATTATTATTACTATTACTATCATTATTGCCATTCTCCTTCTGCTTCTTCCTCTTCTTCTTCTTCTCCTTCTTTTTTTTCTTCTTCTTCTTCTTATTGTTATTATTATTACAATTACTATTACTATTGCCTTTATTCATTATTATATTATTGGTACAATATAGAATTCTCAGCACAAAGTATATCAACTAGTTTCCGTTTTCTTATTTCTTGATCGATCCTGACGATAAATATTCAGTGATCGCCAGTTAGATGCTATCAGTTCATTAAATGGACATCTGAATCATGTTCATTCTTTTCAATGTATATTATCGGCAACTACAATGTCTCTGATTGTACTCTTTCCTAACTTGTACAACGAAAGGTCGTAAACTTTTCATAAACAGATCAAAACAAACAAGGAAATAGATAACTTGTTGAAATATCTAGATGGCAGGAACAAGTAGTCCAGATATTCAAACAGACTGCCTCGTGTTAAAGACGAATTGTTGAAACTTGATTTATTATAAACGGAATCAGAATAACATGAAAACAATTGTGGTTTAATTCACTTGGTGTTGTTTACTTGTATCTTCCCATTATTATTTACGATTGCAGTTGATCAGTTTCTTGTTTGGCATATATGTATCCTTTGCGGACTGTCTCGATACAGCCTGAAGTCACAAGCTTTATAAGCCAAGATGGATAGTGGTTAGCAGTGGAATCCAGTTTGACGCGCGCCACTTCATCCTATATGGGATTCGTCATCTGGATGTACCTGCATCTTAGAATTGATCTTCACTCTGGGGCTCTAACCAAGTACCGTTCGCTTCAAACGCCATCGCGTCATCCACTTAGCTACTCAGTCCTTCATTGCTTATAAAAATTGTGGTTTAAATTAATTATTTACACCCATCCACGTATTAATAAACAATTTTTCACAATTTCTTCCTCCATACTTTTCAAACCTCTGATGTTCAATAACATTAATCAAGTAGAAAATGATTTAATCAGTTCTTTTTGTTATCAGAAGGTGGTATTGTGGAGATTTTAGTAATTTTATATAGTTGAAATCATGAGTCAATTGAAGCTAGACCACCATCGAAAACGTGGAAGCACTGGACGGCCGTTTCATCTTGTTGTGAAACTCCTCAACAGTGCGCATCCACGATCCTGCCTTGCGAGATTCGAATCTCTCAGGGTGGGATCGTGAATGCGCACTGCTGAGAGGTTCTTATTGTTGTTTTACCATAGATATAAAAGTCAATCATTTGTGTACTGATTATCATTTTATGAATGATAAGCTCTTATTGTTACATGGTCGTTAGTTTAGATTGTAGTTTGAATATGATTATAGTTAGGCTACGGTTTGTTTCTAAGCATTCAATATTTTTCCACATTTACAGGAAGAACAGTATATAATTAGTCCATATTCAGCACATACTTTAATAATACGAATCATTCACTATGTTGTTAGTGTTTACTGTAATAGGGGTAATAAAAAAGTCTCAGACAGTTTGATGTTACGTCGGAATGGTACATATATAATCCTGAAGGAACGAATGGTGGCTGCCATGAATTTTGTCTGCTGATGTTGCTCTATGGCCATGTTGCTTAGATCTCAAGATCGGTTTCCTAAGAAAATCCTGTATTTTGGTTTGAGCTCCCAACAAGTATCCTAGTTTTCTAGCAAATATCTGTAGTCTCTGTTTTCTGTTTATTCTTTCTAGTTGTAAACCTTAATATAAACCTTCAATCTGATCTAGAATAGCCTAACATAATATAAATTATTTTACCGTTTAGCAAAGTTTTAGTCTCCCAGGAAAGATAATACTGAATCCAAAGTGTTTTGCCCAATGGATAATAAGGACTGAAAAATCTGTTACATATTTGAGTACGATCAAATGGCCTTAATGGATATATCATTTATATTAATGGTACTTCAATAAACTTAAACTATTCTGTTGGCTCACGCTTTCAACTATAATAAATACTAAATCTCCACAAAAACCCTTTCTATAATTAATATAATCATATGCTCACTAGTGACTTCGAGAAGTATATCTAGGAGCTCTAGTGAGAAGCATTGACCAAAGGAGTTCAAAACCACGTCTGTTGTGAGATAGGAACTCACTGAAGACAATTGGTGAATGGTTGCTCAACTTCGTGGACCAGTTGAAGTTAGACATTCATACCGTTGGATGCTGGCTCAGTGGTCTATCGGTTAAGGGCTTCGGCTCGAGACTGGTAGGTCCTGGGTTTGAATCTCGCGAGAGCGGGTTCGTGAATGCGTACTGCTGAGGAGTCCCATAATAGGACGAAACGACCGTCCAGTGTTTCCAGGTTTTCCATGGTGGTCTAGCTTCAATTGACTCACGCTTTCAATTATAATATATTCTGTATGTGTTATACACATTACACAGTTTCGTAATACACTAAAGCCGTAAAATGCAACAAGGACATAAATTACATAATGATGACAACTCATGTGTTTGTAAGATTTATAAATCATACACTGCATATGCCAACAATACAAACCAGCTTCTAGCTGAAGAAAAAATTAAGAAAAAACTTTGAAAGTGGTTAGGATATACATTACGGAAATCACCAAACCGGATCACGTGACAAGCACTAACTTGGAATTCTGATGTGAAACGAAAAAGAAGAAGACCAAAGAACACACTACGTTTGGAATTAGAAGAAGACATGAAAAGGATGAATAGTGTTATGCTTGAAACTAAATCGATTCCGCGGTAACGAACGAAAGCCAATGACACAATGACACGATAAGCTATTCTAATCTGTTGTCCCAGGCCCCGCTAACTAGATGAACAAGTCCAAGGCAAGTAGGGGAATATATATGTATTCCGTAAGCAGCCGAGTACAAGCAATCGAATGAGGGAAAAAGTCAAGCGCATTTATACAGCAACAAATTGTCCTTGAGCATTATTGGTAAATAGCACACACAAAGAAACAATGGACCAATAGCGTTTAAGATAGTTTACAAGTGGGAAATATGACGTGAAGGTAAAAGAGCGCTTTTGGCGCGAAAACAGCCAAATTCAAATTTTCAAAATAAAATTACAAAACTAAGCCATTTACCAAGTAAGTTCTGGGGATTTGACATACCCAACAAATAGCAACTGTAGATAGCTGAAAAGAATTACCTAGGACTGGGTTGGATGTATAATACCGGTAGGAAGCCTACGGTGATCGACGAGGGGTAACAGGGGTAAGTAATCAAGTAAGCTTCTATGTTCACTTTTATCAACATACAACTTTTTGACGGTCATCTCTTTTATATCCGCCTTCATTATTGTACACCCTTTTTAAGCATACACATACTCCCTTCTGCTCACGTCCCTGTTATTGGGAACCATGATGAGATATGAACATTGAAAAGTTATGATGACATAACACAATGATATTATTAGTAGGTTAATATAATGTAAATAATTACAATAATAAGACTTTGTGTACTCTTAACAATAAACAAGTCAAATTTCACATTTGTTTGTTTGACTTTGCAGAAAAACAAAGAATCAACATTTCTTTAATAAATAAAACGTTATGCAACGATCTTTTAAGATAAAAAATGCAAGTGACTTGAACTTTTCTCA